CGCGCGAGCGAGCTCGAGATATATCCTTTCGCGAGAGTCTGCAAAAAGGACACGACGACGACAACGATGACGACGTGAGGCGCAAAAAAGCGAGATTGTGTAGCTGCTATGTGTATACCTATGCTGCCTCACTGCTGCGCTTCGTCTTAGTCATTTTTTTATGCTTTTGAAAGAGCTGCGGCTGCTTCTGCTGATGCTGTTCATGCCGGTAGGATAGGTAGGCGGTATGCGAATATATATCGTACACAGTATGAGAAAAAGAGAATTTTCAGCTTGCACAAACACATCAGGTGTGTGGGAGCTTGTTTCGTATATATTATATATACTAGGGCCGAACTCTGTATGCGAGTCTGTTTATGTGCAGTGCAGCAGCAGCTACAACAGTAACAGCAGCACAGAGAGCTTGGCTTGCTCGGGTGCTACTATAAGCGAGAATGTGGCTGGCATTTTTGATGTGCGACTTTTTGCGCAGCTCGCATACGCTGCTGCAGCACTGCTCGCGTCATCCGGATAGACAGTGAAGACAAAGAATTTTTCTTTTTTCCTTTTCGTTTTGTTTTTTATTTATTTTATCCTCGCCAACACGAGAGCGGATTGCTCCCTGTAAGGTCACAGTCTTCTAAGCGTTATTTTTTTAGTTTTTCTTTAAATATTTTACTCGATCAAAATAATTTGATTCACCGATAATCTTGTTGATTACCGAACCGTATTTTAATTATTCGTTTGCAGAAAGTGCAGTGCCAAAAAACGAGAGATTAATCTGTTTTATATTTCTTTGAGTATTGATTACATGCGGGGAACGAATCCGATTTTAGATCGGTTTTATTATTTACTTATACAGAAAGAAACTGATTGGTGTTGCACAGATTCTTAGGAATGCAATTGAAAAGTGAAAAAAATTGTTGCTATGATATTTTGAAATGAAAAATTGTTTACTAACTCAGTTATTTTTTAGAGAACTGTAATTTTTACGAATTTCCTACGAAGTAAATTCTGAAAATTTCAGCATTATATTTTATGAAACATTATGAAGCATAAGTTTGGTGTACGATTCGATTCTTAGGCAAATAATTACGAATTTTTTCATTTCATAACCGATGAAAAAAAGAAGGGTGAAAATCGATACAAAAAAGGGGAAAAAGGGTAAAATCTGTAATCTTCAAATATTCGCAGCACCAGAGTAATCGAAAGAAAGAGAGAGATAGAGAGAGAGAGAGAGAGAGAGAGAGAGAGGGAGAGAGAGAGAAAAAAAAGCCAAAATTGTCTGGCCTCATCTGAAGTTGGTATCGCGCGTCACAGCAAGCTCTCGCACTCGTAAAGTGTATATAGCTCTGCAGAGCCACACATATAGATATAGATCGCGCCGAGCCCTCGTATAGGTTGCGCGCTTGACTATATAGAACGCTTGGCTGCAGCCACGGCGCGGCGTGCGAGAGAGCGAGAGAGAGAGAGAGAGAGAGAGAGCGAGGCAGGCAGGCAGAGAGTAGTGAAAAAGCTCGCTCGAGCGTCAAAGCGCAACCGCGCGCGAAATCCGGCTCTCTCAACCACCCACCCACCTACTCATCCACCAACGTCTGTATACGTATAGATATATATATGCGCGAAGCGGTAGTATAACGTATAGCAGCAGCAGCAGCAGCAGCGGTGGCAGCAGCAGAGCGTAGATAGCGAAGCGAGTCGTGAGGCGGGGTACGGGGTACGGGGATGACGGAGGGTACGGGGAACGGGGAGGGATGGAGTCGAGTGAGCAGCCGGGGGTGGCGGCGCTACGCCACGCTGGGAGGGTATATATCGCGTGCGCGTCTCCGTATATATCTACCCATATAGTCGTGTAGACATATACGTACGTATGCTACGATAGCAATATATATAGCGAGCAGTAGCAGCAGCAGCAGCAGCAGCAGCAGTAGTAGCGTAGAGAGAGAGAGAGAGAGAGTAGAGCACTTGGCGGCACGCGCGCGCGCCTCGACACGTCGACTATGTTCTCTCGTTTGCTATGTGTGCACACTACCCCCCGAGGGCACATCGCTTCCACTCGACGCCCGAAGAAGAGGTGTGTGCGCGGGTGGGTGGGCAGCAGCAGCAGCAGTAGCAGCAGCAGCACAGGGTGAAGAGGCTAGGCAGTGCGCAGCGTACGCGGGGGTGGGTGAAGGGCGGCATTGGCAAGGGAGGAGTGGACGCGGGGGGTAGGTCGGCATAGTACAGTAGTAGCAGCGGCGGCGGCAGTATGCGGGGGATCAGCCGTGCGCGCTCTGTGCTGCCAGCCGCACTTTAACTCGCAGCCAGCAGCAACTAACCCCCTCGTCCCCCGGCCACCACTGCCGCCGCCGCCGCACGCGAATACCTATATCTCTCTCTGTAGCTATATACAGGGGCTATGTGCTGCCTAGCGTATATAGCTCGTGCAGTACTGCGCGTATAAATACAGGTATATACCGCACCTTTATACCGAGTGTACGGAGAGAGAAAGTCTCGAGCGCTCGGCTATCCCTCTATATATACGTAGATAGCTCGTTCTCTCTCCCTCCCTCTCTGGCAAATACTCCGCATTCGTAAATATACATACAGCCACCCCCTAGCTACGTATTATATATACATACACGGGGCTACGGTATAATACGCAAACGTTGTTGTTGTTGTTGCTATAGCTGATGCAGCACATGCAGCACACGCAGCAGCTTGTACGCTGCTCAAATACGTATATGCTGTATGTAGGGTATGGGTAACGCGCACCAGCAGTACATGCGCTCGTATACGATGCACGAAAAAGCCTCTCCGCTACGCCCATGTGTATATACGTACGTAGCTCGTGTGGCCAACTGCAAAAATGGTTATACGCTCGCGAGCTCGTGCACGTAACGCAGTACGCGCCCTGCTCCGACTCTTTCACGATTTTATGTACCCATACCTATATGTATACACTCGTGTATACCTGTAATGCGCGCAGGAATTCGTTTGCGGCTTCGCCAGGAATGCCTGAGCTCGTTGCCTACATCTACACCTTCCTATATACACCTGTACAGAATTACGCTCGAGTTGCGGCGTGCACTCGTGTTTTCCCAAAATATGGATTATATATACGTAGACGAGAGCTGCCGTTCCTGCCACTGCGGAATATGCGAGCAGGCGTCTCGCCTCGATAAATATAGCAGCTACGTCGCGATAGCGCCTGCCTTAATTCATCCTAACGAGCGAATGCGAGCGCGACAGACACTCCGATAGATATATAGATGGAATTGAGAGAAAGAGAGAAACGAGTGCCGATCATTATAATACACATCCATGTCTGCTGACACATGCCAGCTGATAATTTTGAGCTCGATAGGCCGAGCGCTTGGCGACAGTCTTATCGTCTACTGCTACTCCTCTTTTTGCTCGTTCGATTGGCGTTTCAAGAAAAAACTTTCATTTGCCCACGGCCTCATCCACGGACGAAGATGACTCGAACGATTTGCTTGATATTTCAGCGATCACTCAGCTGCTTCCTTTTCCTTCTTTAACTATTATCATTTTCAACGATATTTCTTACGAATCGCTTCTCATCTGTTTTGCAGCATCCGACGATTGTTTTCATTGCATCGTATTTTGGCATATTTTTTTTTATTCGTCGTCTAATCGGAGCTACGAATGAAACGAGCGAGCTTAGTCGATCGATTGTCGCGATCTTGTTCGATGATTCGAGTAACTTTGAATGACGATGAATCGTTTTTCTCAATCTCGCGCGTTTATTTTTTTTATTCCCAAGCATATTACCTTATGGCATGTGCCGTCGTATGCGTTAAAGAGCCTAATTCAGTCGTTGATTCTGTGCGCGTATCAGCGGTATCAATTCGAAAATGATAAAGTGTTTGTAAAAACAACACTTTCAGAACAATTTAATGTTTTTAAATAGAAAAATCGAAGCGTCGTCAGCAGACTCCGACAAAACTTGATAAAATACAGATAAATATAAATTATTTGATAAATAAAAAAGGTGCCTACTTATTTATAATTCAATATTTACAAGCTCGATATTTCAAAACATGGAAATGGAAATGATATTTAAGAAAGCCAGGAGCATCGAAACGTCTCGATTAGATTCGCCAGGCACGGTACAGACTCGTTTGATATTCTATGACTTTTTCCTGCGTATGTATACAAGCAAAAGCGTGCAGCCGCTCGTGCATGTGCGGCACGACGAGTTGTGCCGCCGCCAACGACGCCAGTATAGCCTGCATGTGTATGTGCACATAACGTATGTAGGTGTGTGCATGTGTGCGCGCGGCTACGTTATATAGCGTCGAGTCGACGCGCGCCGCGCTCGTCTCGTTTGTTATAAAGCCGCACGAGCGAACTCGGCTTGCTGCTGCTGCTGCTGCTCCGAATCGCACGCGCGCGCGCGCGTGTATACATACACCTTGTATCCTATAGCTATATACAGTGCGCTCCTATATAGCTATATAGGCGAACGTGCGCGAGCCGCGCGTATATAGCTATAGAGGCATTACGTATAGAGGCTGCTGCGCGGGGGGCTGCTACTCTCTCGGCTGCCGCAGTCTCGAGCTTCGCTGCTGAATCGCGAACCGCCACAGTCTGTCGACGGCGCTTCGAGCGGCAACACGCGCGCGCGATACGCTCTTCTGCCCCACTCTTTCGCTATATACAAATACATATATACGAACGCTCGTCGTAATACATACGACCTCACTTCTCTCGCTTCCCTCGGCACTTTAATCTGTCGCACGCGCCCGACTCTCTCCAAAAGCGCGATATCAACAAGCGAGCTTGCAGCTGTTTACTCGCTCACACGGCTCGACTTCTCTCTCCCTCTCTCTCGCTGTCTTCGTTATTGTTACTTTTACCTTTTACGACTCTGGTAATCACGAGCGCATAGAGTATATTGTGGCGAATAAAATTCGCGATTTTGAACTTGAACAGAGGCCGCGCGATTGATGATCCCAGTGCAAACACACGTGTCAAAATTATCGAGGCGCGCACTCAGCCGGCAAAAGTTAATATCGCACGCGCTCTCTGCGTATACGTATATTGACAAGTGAGAGTTGTTGCTGATATTTCCGACAAATAAAAGGAAAAGCGATAAAGCTTCTCTCTCTCTCTCTCTCTCTCTCTCTGTGTTCGCGTGTGAATAAAATAAAAAATAAAAATTGTGACTACTGTTGGTGATATACGTGAATGATACACAACATCTAGTCTGCAAAAAGTTCACGAGTGTTGTTTTTTTTCTCGACTCGTACGTAGCGCACGTATATAGCGTGCATATGTAACGAGTCAGACGCGCGTACGAGCGGCAAAGCGTAAAGGAAAAGAGAAAAAAAATTTGTGAGAGCGAGACAGACGTTAGATATATGTGCACGCGCCGCGCACAAGTGATAACAACGACGTAGGCCAATTTGATGGCTCCGCAGCCTGTACGTGTGCGTCTGCTGTGCGTGTGTCGGCCTAGGATCGTTATTATCGTTGCAAACGAGTGACTCGTGCGCGGACGATCTTTGGCGCGCAGCGAGAGAGGCTGTTGTCGTTGCCGACAAGTGGCCGCGCAAACAGACTCGCCGCAACTTATACCTCCTATCGCTCCTTCTGCTGTCTACACGTTTGTGCGATTGCTGCGGTGCTAACGCATCGCGATACACGCATACGATACATACTTGGCATTACTGCGGACTTGTTGTGCAGAGCAAATATAGTGCAATAGCACGTGGAACGGACATAGACATAATAATAGTGATCGTCACGAGCGAGAAAAAAAGCTCTCCCATTGTGGCGTTGTTTTTTTTGCCAGCCGTGATCGTTACGAGTCGTCTCGAAGATAAAGATAGAAAAAGCCTGAGTCGATCGAAAGCCAAGAATAATCCAGATCATTAATCGTTAACGCGAATGAGCGAAATGCTGAGCAGATTCGGCCTGATTTTCGTAGCTGGTTGCACGAAGACGTCGCAAGCTCGATCGAGCGGTTAAGATGACCGCGCGCATACACAATTCAAAGAGTCATCAGCAGCAGCCAGACAGTAGTTGTAACAACAGCAATAGCAGCAACAGCAGCAGCAAAAAAGTCCAATTGAGCAACGGTAACTCAGCCAGTGTCGCAGCAGCGGTAGTCCGTCTACAGCAGCAACAGCACCTGTACTTGGACGAGACAAGCTCGAGTCCTTGCACAAGCCCCAGCCCGAGTCCGAAACTCGTCGAAGGACGTAGAGTGAGTATATACCATCGAGCAGCTCGACGCGCATATCCAAAGCTTTTTTTCGTGATCCCGTTAACTATTTCAACCTCGGTTCGATCGTACGGCAATCGACAACGATAACCACGAACGATGATCATCCATGTCCACTCCCTCGCTCATAAACGCAATTCGGATGTTTTTGATTCATTGAGATTATTGCCGATCGACGGTCGAGCTTTCTTACACATATTAGTTGAATAGATGATAGGCGGGAGCCGAGCACGCGCGTGAATCTACAAGAGTTGCCGAACGTCAGGGAAGATTAATCCGGCGCGTCGCCGGTACTATAATATACTACTAGTGCTATGTACGCATTCATGGTATGCCCGCCACGCACGTAGGTGGTATAATAGACGCGCGTAAACGAAACGCGACGGTGGCGGCTGTGCTCGGGTAATAAGCTGCACCTGCACGAGCGAGCGAAGCATTAACACCCTCTATATACGTCGCACCGTCGACGCATTATAACTATAGCGTATATAGTCGGCAAGGGAGAAACAAGCCTCTGTACGGCTTAGATGTATAATAATATCTTTAATATATATCTCTCTCTATATATATATATAGCGCTACAAACTGGCTCTCTGCGCGCACCACCGCGTCTCGAAAGCAGTCGCTCGAGCGGCAAATCAGATGGAGTATTTCGCGTGTAGCTGTATTGTCACGCGTGCGTCTGTGTGTATAATACGTGCTAGGGGATAGCTGATCATATAAACACTTAGCGCGCGCGCCACTCGGCACCCCTCGCCGATCGCTTACATGTATATATGTACTAGGCTCCCGTCGGCCAGCGAACAATGTCGGGCTTCGATCCGTGCCTCGCTATATATCTATAAGCTCGTACATAACAGGCGCGACGTATTATACAACGTGACGATATGTCCTTCGGCCCCTTTATATACGCACGAGCGAGAGAGAGAGAGAGACCAAGACAGAGATAGGTATAGAGCTTGTAACGCACAGTGGCTGAAACGCGCACCGCAACTCATCGACTTATGCACGTTATATAGCAAGCGATCCGACTGCCCATTTATAATGCACCTATGTGTATCGTGCACGTGCTCGCGTGACAATTAATGAGCTCGTTCGTGCGCTTACTCGATTCGCTCGGACGCACAGAGCTTGCAGAGCTTTACGCCACGAGCGCGCATGGCCAGCTCGAGCTCTCGATTGCATTTTTTAATTGCACCCGCACAGCCACGCTCGTTCCAATGCGTTTCATCGATATACACCGAGAATATTTGTATATTTTTTTTAACTACGAAAAATTTTCAAGCGAATCAGAGCTTCATTTTCGAGGATTCGATCTAGTTTCTCTGGATCGCGTTTTGATTCATGAACGTGGATTCGTTTGGAAGCGAGATTCGATCGGTATAAATATATAGTCCGTGTGACAAGGATTGCGTATACTTGCTCGTCGTGCGAAAAATCTGCCGGCGATTCGGAAGGATAAAAGCATGCCAATGTGTAACGTAACGAGAGCTCGCGCGCGCTTCCATTCGAGCGTATACATATAGGTGCACATTATGTACTGCTGTGCACTGCGACGCACGGCTATATAGAGGAGCCATACGCTATAGAGGCGCAGTCGAGCCAGTGGCAATTTTCTCGTAATTGGCCTGTGTGTATATATGACGACGATATAGCTAGCAACTGTACTACTCACTGCCACGAGCGCTACGTATATAGTTATATCACGATTTACTGTTGAGGCTGATAGATGTAGAAATGAAAGTACTAAAAAATAATTCATATCGCATGAAAAATATCATTTATTTTACCTTTGTGTATGTGTCTTGTACAATTGATGTGCTGAACTGAGTGGCGAAAAAGCACACACCTCGGTGCTGTAATTATAGTCAACGTTATACATGAAATTCGATGGTTAATTAATTGATTATTAAAATCTGTTTGGATATTCGATGCTCTCTCACGAGTCATTCGTGAACTGATTAAAGTCGCGTCTGGCCGAGCTAAGCTTCTCATATGCGAGTTATCGCGCTAACCAACAGAGCTTCGCCCTTTAAAGATTAAAATTCAACCGAGTTTTCCTTGTGCTCCTCACCGTATGCGTATGTTCAGCAATGGAAAAAAATCGAGTTGTCTTCCTTTGTCTAGGGATCGAATTTGTTGTTGGTCACTTCAAACGTGGCGTGAACTGGGAATTTGGAGCCGACGGAAGATCGGTTTTTTATTACGGATGACATTGGCCGAGGATTGCATCGCAAGTTAATTGTTGGGTTCAAAAATGTCCCGGTCGTAAAGGCTTTTTTCATATATCCAGAGGTGCAATAGGGTAATATACTCGTAAACATAGCGGTAGGTTGTAATAGCGATGATCTTTAATAGCTTAGCCTGCGTGTCGGGCCATTAACCGAATTGGCGACTCTGCGATACGCGCGTCTCTCCTGCGATATATACATCGCGCGACTCATTTTATATAAATAAAAAAGTGTATAAATGAAAAAAAGTGTTGGTCAACATGCGAGTCAATAATTTTCATGCAAGTATGTCGCACAGGCTTTTAAGCGTACGGCAATTTACAGATTTGTAAATATATATACGTCTGACGCGCTGCCGCTGAGTTTTGCGACTCGAGCGACGATAAGCATCGTGCGCGCGTGTACGTATGTATTTGATATTCACCGCCAGTTGACAATGCTCAAGGCCTACGACCTTTGCTCCTCCGACGCGCCTCGTCCATACTAAAATATTCATATCTGCGCTCGCGTGTAAGTAGATGTACATATATACACGAATCGCCGTTGCCGGGCGTATACCCGAGCTTTCCACTTTTTATACGTATGTACGTGCAATTTATCTTTATACTTGTATACGTGCGCACTCGACGCGCACGAGAGAGTTACACACAAATATTTTTTTTTTTTTTATGTACAGTATTAACGCCAGTTATCGCGTTGCAGCCGTGCTCGGCGGTATTGCACACAAGCGCCTGGCCACTGCAGTATACAGTACATACATCCATGTCAGTGCTGATCTGCACGTATGCACTGCGGCAGAAAGTAAAGCGTGTTACTCATTGACAGTTGACGAGGCGAAAGTCGAGCTCGCTCCCGTGCAGCTATATATTTTTTTGCCTAATAGATCCGACGCTTTTTTTCTCGATATTATTTTCTGTCGCAGTAGCAGAAATAGCTCCAGAGAGAAACTGTATGGAGGATATTTTTAATTGTTCCGCGCTCGTGCCAGCGAGCCACAGATATACAATACATATATAGCTTTTTTTTACGCAGTAATCACGAGTCAGCTTTTGCCACGATCGCTGCGAACGATTTAATTGCCGTAGTAGCTGCTAGTAATCGTCGCGCGGCAGTGGTGGCGGCGGCGGCGGCTGCGAAATTAGCGCCAGGCAGCGTCCCGTAACGAGAAAGAGAGAGAAAGAGAGAGAGAGAGAGCAAGAGATAAAGCGAGAGAGAGAGGAAAATTCAGCCGTCTAGCCGATCGCATGAGTGCTAACTCGAGCTGCGAGTCGCGTTGGTCACACACTTTAACCTCGGGAGAGCTCGAGAGCTGCGATATAATACATGTACGTGCGAGTCGTTTGTTCGTCGCGTGCATAGCACACAGACACGCGCCTGTGCGCAGAGATGCTTATATATACACGTATAAGCTCGGTTTATGCCGTCGCTGTCTGTCGCATACATAGGTATATACACAAGTACGAAAGCCTGCGACCGCAAACAAGCGGCTTTTGAAAGCGCCGCCGACGACGACGCGAACCGGTCGGCACTTTGCCAAACGCGCTCGCGCGTCGCACGCACAGCACACGCGCGCTCACTCATATATCGCAAAAATGACGATGGCTCGGAGCCCGGCCGCCCCACGAGACGTCGCGCGTTATGTATTTACGAAAGTACATCATATATACGCGAGCGTAGACTGGCGCACGAGCTGCGAGCTTTATTTGAATTTCTCGTGACTCAAGCTCGACTCGAGTCGAGGCGGCATATGCCTCTCCGCGCGTTATATGCAAGTCGGCCGCGTGCGCTCTATACTTTTCGTTTTGCCTCTCATAAGCAGGCGCCGTCGCCGCCGACGTCGTCGAGTTTTGCGGCTGCGACTACGAGAACGACGACGACGACGACGACGAGAATTAATTTCGAGACGGAGCGCGTGCGAAGAAACGCTCGCACGCAAGCCAGCGCCTCGAGCAGCTATATTGGATTATAACGATCGAGCCTCGGATGATGGATCGCAATGCTCGGCTTCTGCGCTATACTTTTATAAATATTAACATTTCTTTTACCTTTTTTTCCTTCAAAGTGAATTTTTTTAACTTTTCAAAACGTCAACGCTCGATGCACGCGTGCGTGAAAAATGTTTGCCTTACGATCACGCTTATTGGCCCTTTGCTATATTCTCCTGCCCTCTGAAACTTCCCAATAACTCGTATTCTGAATCGTTAGTCGCATTTCATACCCAAAGTAAGACTATCTTATCGAGCACGTGTGCTTTTTGCGATCGTGTGTTGCAGGCGAACAAACCACTAATGGAGAAACGACGCAGAGCCCGCATAAACCAGTCTCTGGCGGCGCTTAAGGCCCTGATACTCGACAGCGCCCGCCTCGAGAACACGAAGCACAGCAAGCTCGAGAAGGCCGACATACTCGAGCTGACGGTGAGGCATCTGCAGAGGCAGCGCTCGCTGGCCCAGCCGGGACTGTCCAGGTACAAGGCTGGATATCAGGATTGCTCGAGAGAGGTAAGAAACGATCGCGAATATAGAAATATTTTTAATTCTATTTTCAAGCCTGACAAATTCCTTCGAGCCAGTTGAGTCGCGATGTTATTCGCGAATTATAATAATATATGCCTTCTGACTCTGTCGAATTCTGCATGGCGTGCGTCACGAGGCGCAATTCAAAGCTCGCACTGCCTTGTACAATAGCCACGCTGCACGAATTTCAAACAAAAAAAAACTCGAAAAAAGCTAAACGCCGCTTTGGCTCGAAAAAAAGAGAGAGAGAGAGAGAGAAAAAAAGAACAAACGGAGCAGGCGCGATGCGGCCTCCAATAACACGCATGCACGCAAGTTGGAGTATGAGCGCGCACAAGCATAAAAACAAAATTGGCAGACGGCTTTGACGCGACGACGCGTGTGCAATGCTACTGCTGCAAACGAGTGGATCGTGTTTGTGCACACACACACACACACGTAGAGGCAGGTAGCGCAAAGTCGAGCTCGTCTGTGCGAGCTGCACCGCCAGTATAGATATATCGCGTACAAAGGCAACACGCGCGGCACGCATGTAGCGACGCGCCGTGCAGTCCCAGTCGGAGCGAGCGATCGTATCGTAAACGCGCAGCATTGCGCGTATTATACCTATACATGTAGCTGTGCATATATCTGCTGCTGCTGCTTGTCACGACGTGCGGCGGCGGTGGTGGTGGTGGCGGCGCGTCGCGAATTTAATGCCGCACTGCCTTCGATCTCTCTCCGACTCGGCGCGTGCATATATGGCACAGCGTCAGCGGCGTTTGTTTGCCTTTCAAACGCGAGCCGAGCGTCCGCCAGTATGAAGATTTATAACAGCCAGTCTACGCTGCACACACATATATACATATCTGCCTATATTTATATACGTGATGCGCTGGGCTCAACACAACGCAGAGAAAGAGAGACAGATAGTCGGTGCACAAGTGCGCCTGCAGCTCTCAAAGCTTCCCCATTATCTTATCGCGCTCTCACTGCAACGAGCTTTTGTATTTATATTGCAGCTACTATAGCGCGCGCACGCTCGTCTGTATAGTATACGCGAATAGTCGTAGCGGTGCGCGACGCGAGGCTTGCGGCCAATGTTGTTTTTTTCTTTTTTTGTCATTCTACTTTTGTTTCTTTTGCGTCGCATGTGGGTGCGGTATATATTCGCGCGCACTGGCGCGACTCTTTTATTTCAGCCGCGTCGCTGCGCACGTTTATTATCGGCCACGCAGCTGCTTTTATCGGGTATCGATCGATGATTAGCTCGTACGTACTTTTGGCACGACTCTCGAATACGCGAGTAAACTTTTTCGAAATCGAAAGCTCCGTCGGGTATCAAACGAGCATTTGCAGGGCTGAAGTAAGCCAAGCTACTTATCGAGAGGACGCTCGCGCCGAATCGTAATATTACGCGTGGCTCTGTGGAATCGAAACCGATCGAATTGCTCGTCCACGCCCAATCGATTCTCGCTCTTTCTCTCTTGCGCTTATAGCAGCGCGAGAGCAAATAGCAACCTTGCTGTATTGCACGAGTTGCTGCTGCTGCCGCTTATATATACCGCACATCCGTGACGAAAAAAGAGGATAAAAAAGCAGCAACGACGGCAGCCGCAGCAACACGCAACGAGCGGCACGCTTTGCAAAGCGATCCAGGGAAGGAGGGGGGCTTTTTCTCGTGCAGATCTCTCGAGCAAAGCAAGTGCTCATCTTTCTCTCTGTGCGGGGTCACGCAGTGCCTATATAGCATCATCAACGCGCGCACGACGTACGCTCTCCGCGCCCCATAAATCGGAAAAGGAAATAAAAGCTATCTGCGTCAGTCTCTCTTTCTCTCTCTCGATTCGCGCGCACTCGCTAGTATATAGCTCAACGCGGGTATGTAGCTCTGTTTTTCCGTACGGTCAGCGCATATATAGATGTAGACGCAAGTATAGATATATACACAGGTGTAAGGTAGGATATAGACTCGGGCGCGTGCTTTACTGGTCGAGTGCTCGTCGAGCAGCAGCTCAACGGGCGGCACTCCCTATGCGATATTTATACGCCACTGCTGCTGTTGCAACGTAGCGAAGAGAAAAGAGAGAGAGAGAACGAAGCATGCCAGTATATATACACGTATAATATACGCCGCTGGTATGTGTGCAGCTCGTGCTCGAGCCTCGAGTGCACGTTATATATGTGCGTTATATATACCGAGAGCTTCGCAGTGACGCTGCACCACGTACTGTACTCGCGCTATATAGTACGGGGCTATGCTCGGTCGGTATTATGTATAGCTATATAACATAACTATATAGCCGCCGAGGCGCAAATATCATATATATAGCTTTCGCGCAGTTGCTCTTTTTGCCGCCTTGAACTCTTTGAAGAGGCGGCTGAGTTGCTGCTGTTGCTGTTGCTGCTGCTGCTGTCCTCTCGACTCGCACGCGCGCCGGCCTTCCTGCCTGCCTTCGTACGCTTACACGCACTCAAAAGCCCGCTTCCTTTTTGCTTCTTTCTATATAGTTTTCTCTCTCTCTCTCTCTTTCTCTTCTCTCTCTGTACTGCTTTTCTTCGTGTGTATACACACCGTGCTATAAAGCCCGAGGCAAGGCAACGTATACTGCAACTAGATCGCAGCGCGTGTGCGGCATGCAGCTCTCAAGTGAAACATAGAGAGAGAGAGAGAGAGAGAGAGAGAGAGAGACCAAGCCAAGTGAAAAGAGATCTCGCACGAACTCGTGCACTTACCTGAGCTTCCATCTATGCACACAAGCATATATACATCACCGTCGCTGATATATCTTGCTTATATGCATCGAAAGCTTCGTGTGCGCTAGCCCCCACTTTTCTCACTCTAACATATGTATACCGATCGGATGATGTCTCATCGCTCCCAAGTTATCATTGGAAGACTTGTACTTGCTCCGAAGCCTCGAGTATATATGTTTGCTTCGACGTTAAATCGAATGCTAAACATTTTTTTTTTCTGCAAAATTAATTATTGGTTAGAAATTTTTGGGCCGTCTACTGTCCTTTTTCGAAGGCCCGATGTCAAATCTAAGAGACGGGAAAAATCCAAGAGTATAGAAAAACGTAGGTAAAAGCTATTTTCTATCATTTTTCAGCTTTCGAATAATTTGAATACAATTTTGAGACATGTAATATCATTAACAACAAATTTTTAAAATTATTAAAATAAAAAAACTGTTTGATATTTAATTTCGTTGAGAATCAACCATCGATACTCGAGACTAAAACATTAGGGCACAAACCTATCGCAACTAAATAGAAGTCATTGCTTATTCCTGATTACGTATACCTTCAACACATTATATATCATACGTCGTGCTACTGATGACAATCAAGATGTAATCAGCCCAAACGACTCGTGGGAATTTAAACTATTCCTTTCCTTGTTTCATCGTAAAATTTGTCATACTGAATCGTACTAGGTATTAAAAAAATAGGCTCACATCACCATATGAATTTATTTGTATTATTTGTGCGTGCGATTTTTATCAACGCATTAATTTTTCCAAGCTCTCGGGTCATTAAGTATATATCTTGCTTTACGCGAATGCGCATTAATCATTTTTGCTACGGTATCACGCATGCGTTCCATACAGTACATGGATGTACAATTCTATTCTTTGCTACTACTACATCTTTGCCACGTTTATGTTACACGCGCTTGAAAAGAAGTTTGAAAAAAAAAGTACAGAAGAAAAAAGAGTTGTGTCTGCAACGGCAAGAGCAGTAGTAGGATCGAAGAAACCGAGGATTTATATATACAGGTATATAATAATGTGCACGGCAGAGGCGGCGGCAGAGGTTTGTGCGCGCCGCGTGAATTCGTAATTGAGCGTCGAGGCGAAGTATAGTGAGAGCTGCCGAGAGAAGAGAGCCGCACGAGCCGCCAACGAAGAGAGAAAAAAGAGGAACGCAGAGAGCTCGAGATATATACGCTATTAGGTAGCCGATGCACGCGCCGAGCAAGGCAGCCAATGTGCGTCACGCTTCGGCATCGTTTTCAAACGCAAGCGAGCGAGCAGAGCAGCAGCGAGAGGTGGCTTCGGATATCGGTCGCCACCGCCGCTCAACTTTTCTCACGCCTCTGCAAAAGCACGACTGTAGCTCTATTCGCGGCTCGCCTCCGGTATATCTGTATATTTTTCACCGCCGCCGCCGACACACGTACACATGTGCACATGCACTACACACAGCGACAGACTGACGGACTGGCTTTCTGTGGCGACTCGGTGACGATAGATGTATCTCGCTCGACAATTCCGAATGCTCCTGATATTTCTTCTTTTTTTTCCGCTGTGTTTTTTGTGTCGTCTCGATGCGATAGCTCGAGTTGCGCAAACTGCAAAGTTCTCGCAAATCTCCGACTTTTCGATTGCTTGCGAGAAGCGTATACATTTTTTATCCGCTTTTTCTTCTGCGACGCGCTATGTGTATCGATTTTGTATATACGTATAAGCAGGCACAGCCGTTCAACGGTCTATACGTATACTAGAGCACAGGAAGTAAAGAGAGAATCGAATCAAGCGGAAATGTGCCGACTGCATCGGAGTCTGAACCTACGCAAGTATGATTAGCTTTGCGTGGCGTCGCGAGTACATAATGTAGCGCCAGACACGGGCTTTCTCTATTTCTCTCTTTTTCCATCGCGCGAAATATAATATATAATCAATGCAGCACATATCTATACAAGCATCGCGACTGCAGTGTAGGTATAGCCTACTTGCCGAACGCCAATGTCTCGCATTTCATCTATAGTTATATAGCCTGTTGCTTATACACGGAGAGAAAATATACGCGATTGAGGTAGGACATGTATCAAGCAAGAATCGCCGGAACGCTTGCCTGGCTCAATCGCTGGCTGTCCGGCGATGAGAGCCGGAGACTCTAGCGTCGCTTTGGTCGCTCGCACGCTGGAACTTGAGTCAACCTATTTTGTGAGATATTCGACTTTTAAGGGTTCCCGGCGATTTTTTCGGGAAAAAATGAAAATTTCGGAAAATTTGACCATACCATTGGAAAGCTAAGACAATTTTCTATCGGAATGGTGGATTCATTTATTTTTTTAAGTGCATTCAGGCACTTTTTCAGTGAGTTATAAATTTAGCGATTAGACTAAATAATGCCGCGCGACCGTAGTTCGACTCAAGTCCCAGCGTCGAGTCTCCGGCTCTCATCGCCGGACAGGCAGCGATTGAACCAGGCAAGCGTTCCGGCGATTCTTGCTTGATACATGTCCGCCCTCAATCGCGTATATTTTCTCTCTGTGTATAGTTATACGTTTGCTGCTGCTGCTGTTGTATCAGCGGCGGCACGCTCACACTTGGCGCACGACGACGGAGTTATATATATGGGTTACATCACGTCAACCGTGGCACAACGTATAAGGACCAAGTACTCTTATGGAGAACATTAAAAAATAAAAATCCTGACGAGGTACTTCGATGCGATATCCACATTAATCCAAAGAATCTCGAAGCTACGATTTTATATTAAAATTCTAGACTTTCAGCTCATTCCGAAAAAGAACTAATATTTTCATCTAGCGATGATATTATCAAGAAATCGAAATCCTTTATCAAAACTCACGAGTGTAAAACTTAAAAAGCTCAATGAATTTTCACGATTTGCACTACATCGGGGTTGACACGATACAGCCCATATGCATATAAGCAGTCGCGCACTCCGCTGAGCAGCAGCAACAGCAATTCGATCGCACGCGCTCCGTGCCTACGTAATATATAATAGCAGCAGTCTGCACACAAGGTGCCGCATGTTTCCCGCACTTCTCTACGTATACAATATACACAAAGCTGAGTTCGCACAAGCGATCGAAGTTGGCGCCTGGCGTGCCGCGACACGCTGCATTCAGAATGTGTCGTGTATATAGCCGAGTGTGTCGAGCGAGCGAGAGAGAGAGAGAGCTTCGGGTTTAAATATAGGCACGCGGTGCACTACGCCGCAGACACGTCGACCGACATGCGCCAACACATACGTACAGTCAGACAAAGAGAGTGAGAGAACCCAATGATTCTCGTTATGCACTATGTATGCGCTTGGCCAAGACATTTATATTGTTTTGGTGTTGAATATTATAAAAATGATTTTCTTCTTTTTCTCGAACCATTATCATCGTCAATCTTTCTAAAACGTTTACATTTTTTCCGAGTACTCAACTCACTTTTACCTTACAAGTCTACAATGACAATTGATCCTCATTAAAATTTCGAAATAAGAAAAACTTGGGCTTATGGTGATATCAGCTGAGATCGATGCATTTGTATTACATTTACAAATGATGGATCAACAAAAAAAAATGCTCGAATTTTAAGTAGATAAATCTATCATTAGTCAGACCAACTAATTTAATTATAGGCTAATCTTTGACAGGAAATCGTATCGATTTTAGCATTTAAAAATGTAAAATGCAGTACTTGGGTTTGAGAATAAAAGAAGATGGTAAAATATCAATAGAAGAAAAATCAAGCACATCCGCATGAAAAATATCAAATTGAAGCTTTTTAATAATGAGATATGTTTCCTTGATCGGTGTTTCAGGTGAGTCGTTACCTCGATGCACCGGACATTATAACCGGCAACACAACACCTCTGGATCCGGCGTTCAAGCAGCGATTCATTCGACACCTCGACAGTTGCGTCTCGGAGCTCGACTTGGACCTCGGCTCGAGGCCGGACTCGGGTCTGGGCTCCAGCCCCGGAAGCGTGACGGATCGCGTCCTCGGGCCCGGCAGTCCCTTGCCCCTCGACCCGGCCGCTCATCATCAGCAGGCGGTCGCCGCAGCGGCCGCGGCAGCCGCAGCAGCAGCCCACTGCAACGCGGCGGTCGCTCTCGGCTCGGCGGCTCTCATCAAGCAGGAGCTGCCCGAGCTGGATGCCGCCGCCGCCGCAGCCGTGGGCGTGTCGGGCCTCGCTGCATCCGCCAGACCGGACAACGGAGCCGCACCCATCCCCGGCGACGAGAACAACAACAGCAGCCGACCGACCTCGGCTTTCGCGCAGATGCACGCCGCGGCGGGCGTCCTGCCACCGGGTGTTCCGCCGCCGGTGATCGATCCACAGGCTGCGGCTTCTGGTAATCAGCCGCCCAGCAATATGCTGTCGGTTGTACAGGTACGTTCGTCGTTTCTTTCTTCAAAGTCTTGTACACGATGTATGGGTCTTTTATGACAAAACTTGTAACGTAGATGTTTTGAAGCTCATCCGAGTAACAAATCGGTATTTTTATCAACATAACAGGTTATTCCATCTCGTCTGCCCGATGGCCAAGTGGTTTTCCTCTTACCGAGTCACTACGTACAGTTGGCAGCTGCTGCAGCCGCCAACGGGATCAACATCGGACCTAATCCACCGACGGCCATATGGGCAGCCACGAACATGTCGCTGCTCAAACAAACCGACAAGTTGCTCAAGAGGCCGTTGTGCGACGAAGCCGATTGGCCTCTCGACCCGATAAGCAGCATGACCAACGGTAAGCCCAGCAAGATTCCAAAAAGCGAGGGCGAGCAGCCTCTGGACTTTACGACGAGCAGCGTTAAAAAGCTCAAAGCCGCGGCGGCGCGACTCGTGGCCCAGCAACAGGCCGAGACGTCATGCGCCGACAAGCAGAGATCGCCCACCGCGGGGGTGTCTAGTCAAAGCTCGGCTGCCGGCGAGGTCAAGGCCGAGGCGATGAGCGACGCGTATCATCACCAGCCAGGATCTCATAGAACGATACCTTACGAGGCGCATACGAAAGATGAGGAGGGTATGTGGAGGCCATGGTAAATTCAAGTCTGACAACAAAAACGATCTATCCGTTGTTTAATTACGCGAAATATTCATCGTGCGCTCTTACGGACACTCGTATATTATACCTATATCCTCGAGTGTCGTTCGAATCATCTTTACGATCGTTGTAAAATAATTTCTTCGTGTGTCATGTATCGAGGTAAATACTTGTAGAAATCGATCTAGAATTACTAGTTTACTGACTTGGCACGTTGATGTTAAGAAACGTTTTAACGGATTATTTATTGAAAGTTTTAAATCGAACTTTACTGATAAGTGAAATATTTATAACCATCAATGTAATGCCTTTTGTCTTCCTTAAAAACCAGCTTTGCATTGCTATTGGATATTGCTATTGTATGATAATATAATATAAAACAAAATACGCATCGTCGAGCATGCGATGTTTCTCTTTCTATATATAAATAAGGTAATGATACCGAGTCGTTTTTATTTTTTACCGATTTCTTATAAACACACGGCTTTAGCGAGTTTTCAAAAAATTCGGTAACAGTAGATTTGATCGTGTTGCGGTTATGCGATAGAGCTGAAATTTCTGAACGTTTGGATGGTCTTGTTATACTTTGTTAAAAAAATAAAATGAAAAAATTTCTATTTAATTTAAAAAATTGAATCTGAAAATAAAAAAAAAATGATAGATTTCCGCTCTATCGCCAATATATGACTGAACGAGTTTCTACAGTTATTGTATGCGAATGTACACACTGTAATAAAGTAATCGGTATAGTTAGTATAATAAACAAGTACGCTGTGAAAATTATTAAGAAGCTTACCAATACACAAACTATTTCCCTAAGAGAGTATTAAATAGAATAATTTTAAATATTATCGTACCTTTACGTTATGGATATAATTATTATTTAGATTTACATTGCGCTTTGTAAATAAATCAATTATATATGGTAAAACAGTATATAATGATCAATAAATTAACCAATAACACCTATTATTATTTATCGATAAAGATATACATACATACAGGTTTATTCTAATGTTATCTAGGTGTATATGAAAGTTATGTTCAGTGAAAGGATGAGTGAAGCTATTCGTAATATTGTATATTGTTTGATGTCGTTGATATAAAAGAAGAAAAAGTTGTCAAATACCCCAAAATAATGTTGGTGTATATTTCATTGTGTGATAATTAGAATTTAGGCGAATCAATTTACTGAATACCTAATACTGTGTATAAGAATAAAAAAATTCAATGTGTATTAGCGATTAATTTGCGCATGAATCATATTTTAAGCATATAATTCATAAGTGTATCTGTTATTATAATGGCTAAAAAATGCATATTCATTTTGTGAAATTGTGGTCAACACCCACCATTCGATGTACTTAGTAAAACAGTCAAGTCTTGCTGATATAAAACATCTTTAAGCTACTACCAATCATAGTTAAAATTCATTTATTGATTATTTAACCTAAAATTTTTTAGATTAAGCCACCGTCCATACTTTTATAACTGCTAAAGTTTTCATTTTTTCATTTATCATTATTTAAAACGATAGAATATTTTTTGGATTCCATTACTTTTAACCAACCCTTCCATTCCTTTTGACCTCAAAAACCTGAGTATAATAAATTTATGAGAATACTCAACTCCATCGTTAAAATGAGTGCAAAGCAGTAACAGGCATGATTTTTTTTAGCAGACACATAAAAATGACACAAAAAGGGTGAGCCTAATAATCATAAAAATGAGTGTAACGCTGCAAGGAAATGGTAATTGTCGCTGATTATCTCTCGACGATCACAGGCTCGCGGCAAATTTCAGAGGGCCAATTTATCAGGTGCTCCTTATGCGATCTCGCCTTTTCGATTTTGCACGCGGACGATCATTAGGTTCGGCTCGTTTTGTATAAACATGTGTCTCTCGGTATTTATGCTGTTTTTGCGTGTGTAAGCGAGGATGTTAGTGTGGATAATTTATGGTATTAAGACAGCACTTTTGCCTTCAATATTGCAGGAACCAAATTAGATGAAGCGTGACAATATCTTTTTTTAGGTGCGGAGTGCTCGTGAATTATAATGAGATGTTACAATTTTATATCAAGTCAAAATACGTCGAAAATGAGTATGATCTTGATACTTTTTATCATTTTCATCATGTTTCATATGCTTATTATTCTACTATATTTTTGAACCAAGTAATTTTTCTTATTTTTTAACTTCGGATGAATTTGTGACGATAAAAATTTAGTGATGTAATTTAGCAACCCCAATTGACAAACACGTGACTATCAGATTTTCTTAACAACTAAATTTTCGTTCAAAACGTTTTCTTCTCCAGTACTTTTTAATCTTTAAAAATTCTTTACTTCAGATGATGAACATCAGATAAAGAAATATATGAAATTCGCTATAGGCTTGAAGTAATATAGCTATAGCATGACGTGAAGATATAGTCAACAATTGCTGTTTAATTGCCAAGTTACAAGTGGCATCAAACGTACATCATGCATTATATCACGCTCTCGAGTCCCACAGGCGATATTATTTGGCCACAGCACGCGTCAAAGCTCCTAGGAATTTGTCTTTGTTTTTTGTTTCTACTGGTATTATTTATACAATGAGTATTAAGTGAGTCGGATCAACAAATATGTAGACACCCAGGAAGGATGCTGTTTGATAGATAATAGCCCAGATGATCCACTATATTTGGCATTGACGTTTGTCTAAAGGTTGGGGGTTCAGTCAGTCTACTGTAAAAAAAGTTTATGATCAATAAGCACAAAATCATCATCTTCTCTCAGTTTGGACTTTTATTCATCTTAGATAAAACATACTTCATATTCACTCTATGCCGCAGTAATCATCCAAGTGCGAAATAGCTCCGTTCAGATATGCGAAGTCGACAAGAATACCATACGGACGTATATTATGAGTGATCAGGTTGAGCAGGTGCGACTCTCACGCAGCTCTTTAAAGCGACGATTTAACATGGTCGCAGCTCTTGAAATGTATAATCGCGTCCCTCTAATTTGCGGTTGATTTCAAAGTGGCGCGCAGCACGCGCGACAAGCGGTATGCGGCAGTCGTTGCTCGATATGTGGCATGTATATAGCTGCACCGAAAGCGTGTATAATAACCGTAAGGAAACGAGACTGATTTTACATATTACTGCCAACGTACACGTGTGTATTACATTACGCGGCCGAGGCACGAGCGCAAATCGATGAATGATGCATGCTTTCCTCCTCGTGTTCTCTTTGCGCCCGTCTACAGGACTCAGCGTGAACATATAATGGCGTTGATATCGAGAGGCAGCGGAGGACGATAATTAGGGTGGCCCAATATCGCGCTTACCCAACGTACGATTTCGATTTTTCGGCAGCGGAAGAGCTACTGGAAAGATTTTTTGAGAGTTGCGGTTTTATTATTTAAAAGACAATAAAAATGAGTAAAAAAATAAGCGGCATGGGTGTTTTTTTTGTACTTTTGTATATTTTATCATGCTATGAGCTCGTCAGCGCAATAATTCTTTTGAATTATTTATAAAATACCTCAAGTTAACGTTTTTTCCCGCGCGTTAAGTCAATCGCGTGAAAAACAGTAACCGAGTAAATAATTCTTGATCGCCAACAAAATCAGACTGAAAAGAATCGTTAATTTTTATTTGGAGGTAAAATTTTGTAAAAGGTAATCTTAAACAAATATCATCGCCAGAAGTCGAAAAAACTGAGAAGGCTCGAGAATACTACGAAATAAGACCAATCCCAGCAGAACAAAATAAATATTTATATAAAATGTATACAAATACCATAGGCGCACTGGTCTGTCAGCGCGCGCGCGTACAGAAAATATCAAAGATCGTGACGACGCGTAATTCGCGAATGAACTCGCGTGCACGCGCTATATACATATATAATATTATACATTGTATATATATAAGACGGCATGGTTGGAGGTGGTAGTAATGGTGGTGGCGGCGGTGGTGGTCCCTCGGGCGTTTTGACACCGCCGCTATATATAGCTATACATATAACGCGATGCTATATACCTTCAGCCGTGCCGAGCAGCGCGCGCTTCGTCTCATAAATCTTTCATTAATGCAAATTGCCCGTAAGCGCTCTCGGGGGCGCGCTGTGTACTGCCTGGCAAGCTTCTGCTTATGTACATGTATATCTATAGTCTATACACACGCGGCATACTCAACGTATACATTAATACATGTAGTGAGTCGCGCAGATGCTCCGTTCCTAGACGACCCCCTTTTCTCTCTCTCTCTCTCTTTTTCTCTCTTTCTCTTCTCTCGTTTTTCTTCCTCTGCTGTTCGTGAAAACTGCGGACTCGAGTATCGACTTTTCAGCCGCTCGATCCTCGTAATCTTTTGACAAATATTTTTTATAAAAATACATTTTGCTTTCCGTATTCACCCATTTTATTAGAATGAGATGGACATGAATGAGTTCCAGTAGCTAAGGGTGCAAATGAACAATGACTTCAGTATAAAGTTAGATGAAGCCAATCTTCATTCGACAAGTGCAACCTTGAAATTATTATCGATAATTACAAACTCAAATCTGAATGATGCGATTGGACATATTTTCGAAGAAAGTGTAAATGTGCGAAATTCAACATCTTTTCTTCTTGTCATTATATATACTGTACGCATAGAAGGATCTCGTGCGAGACGTTGCGCTATCAAGCTGCCGCAAGCGTCCTTTCAGCAGCGAACGTACAGTACCCTCCTTTTAGCTTGATATAGCAGTTAAAACCACCTGTTACGTTCATGAGCCGCTCGCTCTCTCTCTCTCTCTCTCTCTCTCTCTAGCTGCTCGTCGGGGTGTTTTCAGCAAGTTCTCTCGCTCCTTCTGTCTATTTAGCCATATAGATATATATCTACCCAGATTTCTTCCTTTTTCCTAGCGAGTACCGCGGGTTTGCCTCTCTTATTTCTTTTTTTCTGTTCACTTGTTCCACCACTGCGAGTCGTATATACCGACCGTTCCCAACCCCTGCTACTTTTGTGCCCAATTATTCAACTTTCCACTCGCAAAATTGTATGTCAATATTTTTGAAGTTTATCAGTGTAGGAAACTGGGGAGAAATATAACAGTGAGAATGGGTCACGTTTACAATGAAACATGTTTGATCGAGTCATGGAACGTTGAAAAGTTGAAGAAACGCTGAATATTGTAAAGATTATTTATAAAAATGTTTCTTAACATCGGTTCTTATTTCAATATTCCAATTAAAAATCACATTGCCAAAACCAAAGGAACAAGCCTACTTGAATTCATTACTTGAATTATTTTTAATGTTTTCAATATTAATTAGGGATATTAGTAGAATATTGCTCATGACCCATTGCAAGAGGTAACCCGCCTTTGAATTACGTATAACTTTCGATTTAGGCGAGCAAAAAAAAGGACGATAAACCTTTATACGGGCGAGCTCTTGCGGCAATCGACCAAAATATTTTTTGCAGAGTTTACTTTATAATTTTTGAAAAAAAAAATTAATAAAAAACAATTTTGAAATGATAATGAACTATTTCTCATTAGCATATTTTTTTCTGATACATTGTATATAAAAATGTTAATTAGCCTGAAGTATAGTAAGAGTATATAAACGTCATCTTCTTCATGTACGCATCGAAGTACACTTAGATCAAAAGGACATCTAGTTGTTTATTTTTTTTATATTTAAGTTTATTTTTTGTATATTTAAGTTGATAAAGTACTTGCTCCATCACAATTTTATCAATAAGTGAATGATGCAACCAGAGTAAAAACGAGAATACATTTATACCTGTTTTTTTAAGAGTTATCAATGAATCGAAAATAATAAAGTATTCAGTAATTTTTTGGTGTGTTGAATAAAAGAAATCTTGATGTTTTTGTCAATTAGAAAATAAATAAATGTCAAATCATTTAACAATTCTCAACGCATGTTAAACTCGAACTATTTTTAGAGTAGTCATAGTAGTGACATCTACTGGAAACTGGAAAATTTATCTCGATCAGGAAAATGCAAGATGCAAAGAAAATCTAGTTACTGTTTGATGGTTACTAAAAATTACACTGTTTTTGACTTGATCCCCGAAATCGCTCATAGTTACGGTATTTGACGGTAAATTTACATCTACATGAATAAGTTGATTAATTAAGTTCTGTGAAGCGTAGCATTCTTTAGAAATTTCCCCTATTAATAAAAAATAACGTAAGAATATTCTATTAAATACATGTTGTTGATACCTACAAGCGATAAAAGTTGAAATTGGCAAAGTGAACAAATGAGGGCTTCAAAATCATTTCACTATGGTGAAACCTATGCGCGTGAAGAGCTTAAACAGCATTAAAACGTACATTAGAAACACGTTGCATTATTAAAAATATAGCTGTAACCTTTTACAATGAGAAAATCAATGATAAAATTAATTACGAGTAACGAGTTCTAGGAGAAACTTTTTACAAAACATATTTTACAGTTCACCCTGTTACTTTGTATCACTTTATTATGATGGGTTTGCATTTTATGGGATTGCCTTTGCACAGAGTCAGGGACTTTTCTGCAACTGTGGTATATTTAGGACGTGTATTGCGCGCAGAATAGCGGGCCAAAATAGGATTGTGCCGAATAAAAATCAAACTGGCACGATCTTGCTCTGTTTTGTCCACTAAAATCTTGCTGCTAGGAGGCATCGAAAGAGCCGAAAGGCTTAAGGGGTTACTGAATCCAATTCCGGCATCAATTTTTCTGAACTGGCTCATTTAAAGGCCAGATTGAGAAAAAGTAATAAAAACATCGGAAAAATCTATATCAAGGTTTTTGTGATAAAAAAGAAGAAACAGCTGCCCCTATCCAGACACAGCTTATCATTTATAAGGTACAGCTGACTTCATAGAAGTCATCTGGCCTCAGATTTGGATTTAACATCCTCAAAAACCTTGGTATGAATTTTTTCAGATTTTTTAAAAAACTTTTTCTTAATCTTACCTTCAAATGTCCTTGAAAATTAGCCAATCTTGAAAAACTAATGCCGGATTTGGGTTTAGCGTCTCCACTATAAGGTCCGATCTCTAAATCTTTACTTTTCAATTTTGTTGTCCGATCTCTAAATCTTTACTTTTCAATTTTGTTGTGTGCCAGTGTAATTTTTAATTAATTGAAGTTGGGACAACTTTATAATGAAACGTTTTTAACAAAAAATTTAATGGATCATAAAGTTTTTTTTTATAAACGTTTATCTCAGTTCTTAAGTATTAATAATGACAAACGTTTCTTGATATGCTTTTTTCTATTATTAAAAATTGTGAACTGTTAGTGCAAAATGTTCGATCAACGTTGGTTTTTTTTCAAACGTTGCAACAAAGTCATGATAATAATGACACAACACCAAACCAACACTTTTATAACCTTCGCTCTCTTTGTTTAGTCGCACTGATATCACTCTTCATAAAATATTACACGTATCAGTTACTAAACGTTTTACTCTCACATAATTAGATTTAAAATTTGTATTTCAGGTACCATAGAGGTTTATAGCATTCCAATCTAAAAATTACAACTTGACCACTACTCGTAGTCCTAATGCTGTTGTGGACACCAATGATTACCCGGTGGAAACGTTATTAACTGTTTAGAGTATTAACCAATATTAATGCAAAGCACGTAGATCGTTTAGCATGACTGCATTGCATCGTAGCCAAGTCGCTGGATTGAACGTATCGGATCAACAAGCCATAGCAACACCATTTTGTTAAGGTGATGCCTCGGCCACAATTTTTACCGACCGAGCACAGAAAATGTATATTTTCGTAACTTTCTTTCCAGGCCGATTTTCGAAAAACGGCTCTGTGGAGCCCTCCGTATTGTTGCTGTGAACAACTGCACCAAATTTCAGCCAATTTCATCGGGTAGTTTTCCCGGAAAACAGGATCGAAATTTTTGATTACTGTTTGTAGGATAAAAAAGTTTGATCCTGTTTTCCGGAAAAACTACCCGATGAAATTGGCTGAAATTTGGTGCAGTTGTTCACAGCATCAATACGGAGGGCTCCACAGAGCCGTTTTTCGAAAATCAGCCTGGAAAAAAATTTACGAAAATATACATTTTCTGTGCTCGGTCGGTAAAAATTGTGGCCAAGGCATCACCTTAAAGCAGGTTGGCTGACAGCATTGCGAAGAAAATCGAACATATGGAGGAGTAATAAAAATTGTATATATCCTCTTCAGATCACCATAGGTTAGCATCAATGACATAAGGCAATTCCTGTCTATTGAAATTAATATTGAATTCAATACCGGTGATGTGAAGGTTTATTTATACCGGTGAAAATGATAAGTTACAGGGAGGGTATACTGGGGGCTATTTTCATAACATTTTCACTAATGTGCACTATAAATTACTTCCTAATAACGAAATCAAATTTTAATCCTTCGAAAAAGCTTTTATTGGGATCTACTATCGTTTAGTTGGCGGTAATAAAATTGAATTTTTCACCACAGACATGGATTTTTTTTAGTTACGTTGTATGGAATAAAATTAAATAGAACATTTTAATTGGTTATATGAAGTTTACTATAATTCTATATTGATAGCATTTTCCTGATTCACGTCTCAATGGAAAAACTTTTATTTCGTGTTTATTAAATTACTTATTATTTTATTCAATATACATATGTACTAGTAATCACAAGATAGTTGTGTATTGCAGTTCATAAAAAACATTATGCTTTATCGCTTGATACAATTGAATAATATAATTTTTATACATTTAATAGTATCATTCGATACATTGTAATTATTATCATTATAATACCTCTGTGTCATGGCGTAAACCTCTTTGTCATTATGTTTGTTACAATAATATCCATTTGTTCTATTGTTGCACTTAGATACATTTTTGAGCAATAATATTCATAATAATTTTTTCTTTTATATAGACTAATTTTTTATCATCTTTCATCAAATGTATTTTCTCCTTCCATCTCACTTATTTTCACTTTCTAATATTTACTTAATTATTTTATTTTCAAACATAGATTTATTCGTTTTCGTTTTAATACCGTATTTAGCTGCCTTTCTTCTAATGTTTCTCACGGCTTTAGTCACTTAAAGCTTTTTGTACCAGAAAAGATAATGTTCTCCGTCACTGATTTGTAAATCATCAACACCTGTAATTGAAAAAATCGATCGATTTTAAATTTGAGCATTTTACTAAAATTACTTAAAGATTGTTACCTCCTGGCGCAACAAGTTGATTTCCTGGTGGAGATGATGGTTCTGGTGGCGAAGGCAATCTGTAGAGTAGCCAGTAATGGTAAGACATCGGTTCCTCTTTGTAACCTGCTAAAGTGTGTACGTAATGACCATTAGGCCATTCATAAGCTGAAAATGTAAAATCAGTCGATCGTTGGGCGGCTAGTACCATAACTTCATAAAAGGTTTCATTTTTTGGCGCCTGGAGTGATAAATTGTGAATCTCATTGACATCGCTTCCGACCCACAATGTATATGTAACATTAACCAGGGGGTTTTGAGGACGAGTTATGACATAAGAGCTTGTCACAGTTGCTTCTTTATTTATTGCTGTGCTGAAAAAGTCGGAGCTAACACTTGGAATCACAGTCGATTGATGAGGTGACGAGATTGGTAGACCGGTTGAACTTGGAACATATTGACTATTCGTAGGCTGTGATGTTTCACCCCCTTTAAAAACATTTTTAAAAATAAATATAGCTTCAATGATAATAAATAAACGAAGTATAAAATAGCGATCGCATTAGAAACTGATCTATAAAATACGCGAAATGTTCATATTAGATATACTGCCGCTCAATCACTTTTGCCATTCCTTAGCAAAAATGAGTAAACTTCAAAGTTCTTGTTTTAGCTCGGTCTAAAAAGATCGGATCGAAATTTTGAAAACACCATTCGAAAGGTATTTACAAGTACTCTATTATTATATAAATATTCTGGAAAATTTAATATTAGGGTATAGTAAAACAGTCGTATCTCGGGGTAAAATGCACGTAGAATAATTTAAAAAAATATATATTTAAAGGTCTTGTAAAACCCTATAAATCTCTTGGCCCAGAATGTTTCTACGACTTCTTTAACTAAAGTGTCAAAAGAAATAGCCAAGACAAAAAAACAATATTTTCGATTCGTTAATTGTTAATAATAATCGGCGAGTAAAGAATAAACCTTAAAAAAATTATATTAAAATAGAGTACTTGAAAATACCTTTCGAATTGTTTTTTCAAAATTTCGATCCGACTTTTTAGACGGAGCTATGACACTTTGAAGTTTACTCATTTTCGCTAAGATTTATGACAAAAGCGATTGAGCGGCAGTATATGTGCCGACAAAACTTGCATTATATATCTTATTGGAATATGCTTCATTTAAAAATAATTGTGTAAATTTGACTGACCATTAATACCAATTATTTTAGTGACTTGACCATTGCCAGCCAATTCTTCACCACAATCAAGCATTCTGATACTTGATAGTTTCCTTGGTGCCAATGCTGCCACTACTTCCGCTGTATTTCTTAAATCACCTTCAAAAGAACCATCGTCTCTCTGTCTTCTAGATAGCCAGTTTATAGCCGCTGTTTTATTCCAATTATTGAGGGGTTCATTCTCGACTTCTTCCAGGGCTTGTAGAGCCAAAGCCGTAGAGCGCAGGTCCCCAAAACTTCCGTCACGTAATTGACGTTGGGCCAAATTCAATGATGGCTTGCGCACAAAATGCTGCAGATTGCGATGTCGATGATCCTGAACGATGCATCTTAACGTCATTATGCACATGGCAACAGTATCTAAAATTCAATGTCAAAATATAAATGTCTAGTTTTCAATTTATATTGAAAGTATTTTTTAAAAGGCTTAATGATTAAATATTTACATAATATGTGCATTGTAAATGAATAATCACCGAAATAATTCAACAATATTATTCATGTAGATTAACGAAATTGACATATACAATGCGAAACAATAATTTCTATTTGCATTACTAATTAGGATAATCTCCAGGTAGTACTTAATTCCATTCTGTTAGTAGATTATTTGCGGTTCGAATATTTACCACGTCTATACATACACTACATAGTAAATTTAACTATATTACACAGTAAATTTAAATGCTTTATCGATTTTAATAGTATTATTTCACCTGAAATTTTAAGCGCTGTATCACGCCAGTTTTTATATTTAAAATGACGATTAAAGTAAGGATTGGTAGTGGTAATGAAAATACTTGAACTTTTTACAATCAGTGAAAGTGAAATAAAAAATCAAACAGTTTAAATTAACTCTGAACAATTACTTGAATACTTGAACATAAAAATAAAATCATTCCTCAATGGAAAGAAGAAGAATTAATGTTTTGATGATAATGTTTCATTGTATGCAAGTTATTAGTAATAAAAATAAATGAGGTAGGAAGAAATTATAGACTTACCTATAGTGTGGTCCTGAGCTGTGTGAGCTATATCGAGGAGCCTTCGCATCTGTCGCTTTCGCACGTGAGCTTGCGCGTTGCAGGCGGCTAAGGCGGACAGAGTGAATTCGTAATCAGTCGGTGTCTCGCGATGCTGCAGAGTGCCTATCAAGTCGTGACCGTAAAATTGTCGCGGATCCATACACATTGCGTTCAAAGCAATCGTGTATCGGGCGAGTCTCAGAGGTGAACCTCCGATGTCTCGGTGTCTATACGTACAGATACAAGTAAATTAGATATGCGATACAATAACAACTTAATTAGTACATTTGTGCAGCGTAAAATTGGATAGAAGCCGTGGTAATTTTCCATTGATTAGCTGCTCTCGTCAATTTCGTAGAACGCATTGTTATTTGTGAATAATAAATTTGGAAACTATGAAACGTTCAATGCTACTTTCATGTATGTATACATAACATGACGCAAATGCAGCTTTATATAATTAATTAGTTTATTACAGTCGATATAATTAAAATACAGCGTAAATATACAGCGACACAATCAAGTGGTTAGTATACATATTAACATCGACGCATGTGCGCTTATAATCTTCAGTAGATACGATCTGATAATGGAATACGCGTTAAAATAAGCAACGAGGTGATATTGGATATTTTGTATGAAAAAAATTACTGCATTGTGAAACGACAAATAAAGTAAAAAATGTAAAAAAACAACACTCGATTTCCTTAAACGCACTCTTGGGAAGATAAACTGCTTACCTCCATAATTGTAGTACAATTTCGAGTTCAAGGCGTTTCGCGCTAAGTTGCATATCCAAACTTGCCGGGGGTGCTTCGTCGACATCGCGAGACAATTGAGTCAGTCGCAGTGCCAAGAGGACGCGTTGGGTCTCGTTACCCCAGCCAGCCTCGCGGTCTCGCTCAGACCACAGCCAAGCCTCCGCACGTTCCAGCATCGATTGTTGAAGAGCTTTCGTTGCCGCCGTGCCATCATTCGTACCAGCTGAATTTGATGAACGAAAAATAAAAAAAAAATTCATTCTACTTCAATTGCATTTTCTCGTCGGTTATAACAGGGATTTTTCAATGTATAAAAATAACGACTTGATTTTAACGATTTAAAATATTGCGAAGCAATTGTATCGTTGTAAGCAATCGAATGCCCATTTTATTTTACACGAGAATATCTAATTAATAGTCGACCATATATTAAGCTCAATACAGCATTTCAAATATAAAAATGTAATCCATCAACTTTGATACAAGAATATATGGAGTCTTGATAGACGAAAATTGACATGAAAATTTCGGTAAAAGTGTGTTACTGAAGGAGTTAGAATTGCTTGCAGAGCACAGAGCTGTTATATCCACATATGAAGCGGCTCTATTTGAATTACCTTTAATAACACATCATCAAATACTGCGCATTCATACTCGGAGCGGCAGTAGCAGCTTGCGAGAATATTTGGCTCTCGGGCCCTCGAGAACAAGAGACAGAATGAAAAAGCTCTCGAGCTTGCGAGCGCGCGGGAAACAATGCGAGGCATCCTCGCACGCGAGCCGTTCTCTATATCGTTGCGCAAGTTTTTAATATTGCGCGCTAGACGAGAACATACGCACCGAAGCGACATTCTCTCTCTTCTCTCTCTTTCCTTACCCGTTATACCTGTGTCGGTGGTATACATAGTGTACAATTCGTAGCGCGTTATATCTTGGTCGTCCTCGTTTCAATTCTCCGAGCTTTTTTTCGTTCGCCTCTTTTATATACGCGCCGTCTATCATGTATATGCGCGCATCGCGTTCGCAGCCATCCAGGCTTGCATACGTATACGTATACGACGAAAATAAAGATGAATGCAGCGTCGGTTTTTCAATGGGAATACACGCTGTTGAGTTTTTTGTGCATCGTTTTTTCTCTCGACGCCGCGACACGAAGTTTGTAAGAATTCCTTCGACTGTGTCGGATTTGATTGTTTCCCGGCGATAAATATACATAGGTCTTTGTATACATAAACGCGAGACTCGTTGCGCAAGTTTCGCATGAACACGCGAGAGTCGATCTACACGATACAAGTATAAATATGCTCGCGCGCATATGAAAATGATCCGCTTGTATGTTTCGATAGATATAAATAATTTACACTCGGACTCGCAAACGATGCGTCACCTCATTGTGGTCAGGCAGTCATAAAAATCCAGAATGATTATATGCCGTCAGAGAAGCAGGGTTGCATATCGAAAGCACTGGAAAATTGTTTTAATTAAACTTACGTGTGTCTGTTGCAGAGAGAGAGAGACGGCAGCAAGGCACGCGCGGCATATTGTCTCCGTGCGAGCGTGCATATACTGTGTGGGGCAACGCAACGCCATCGTCACCGCGCATTAATTATATGAACGCGCGCAAGCATCACAGAGCCAAAATAAACGTACGAACACAATTAAGCCAACGTACACAGACAAATAGCGCAAAAAGCCGTCGGTACACGCGAACACGTATAATGTGCAAGTATTATATACAGCGCGTCTCACGCTTGCACGAGGCTTGCCTCGAGACTTCGAAAGCTGCGTTTATGCCAGCAAACGTTGAAATTGAAGTGCTGTCAAGCATGCAAAAATGGGCTTGATGCCCCTTCTCATTTTACTTGTGCGCGCATTATATTTATGCGTACACAACTTCACTAAACGAAAATTATTATTCATCGTTATAAACTTCATTACCATGATATCAGTAAGATGCCAGAATTTAATCAAACTCCACTTCATATAATAACTCATAAATGGCAAGTAAAATGACGATGCTAACAAAGAATCCGTCATTCTTTCATTTCCATTTTTCTTTTTTTGACGCGAAAAATGCTACCCTACTGTTGCAAACAATAAAATTTCTTTCTAAGAGCGAGTAAAGTTAATAAAGAGCTGGGCTATCGGTTATACAGAATAACGCGATCAAAGATATGAAAATGCAAGGAAAAATTCGTTTCAACCCAAACGAAGCATCATAATTTAATGAAAAAGTCGGACTCTCGTCGACTTGCATGCATCTCCCATTCTCCGGTGAGTAGCTCTTTTACATGCCCAGAAGGAGGGGAAAAGATCCAAGTTGCAGCTTCGCGGCACTGTGTATAGCAGTAGCGAGCCATATAACTAAGTAAGTACATTTTCATCAGAGAAAGGGACTCAAGGGGATGAGGGGTGGGAAAAGGAAAAAGTAAAAGAGCGTTTGACGACGTCGACGACGGAAAGAGGGACGATGGTGCATGCTTAGAGCCGACGCGAGAGATAAAACTAGTGCACTCACCCTCGGCGAAAATGCAGATACATCCGAGCAGCAACAGCGGCGAAAGTAGTAACAGCGGCAGGGTCAACGTCGGCGACGACGCCATGTTTGTTCTGTCCCACATTCTGTAAAAGGCGTTATAAGATGTTGTATACACACACTCATACTCTACATACACATAATACATAAATGTACACTAAAATAAACACTAAGAGTGCGCGATGCTATGGCACCTGTTCGAGCTTTATATATATACGTGTGCTGTACATTCGCGAGATAATCATAAAATTAATTGCTTTTGTTCGTTGCCGCTTTCTTTTTTTTTTCTTCCAGCTAGTGCAAAGGTATATTTTAACTACGAGCTTTTATACGTATGCTCTGAATCAACGACAAAAAAAGTGACTGCAGGTAGACAAGGTGTATGCATACATCAAGATTTTAATGCCGTCAATAACCGTTATCGTCTAGAATATCTGCAACAACGCTTCTTGCAAGCTTTCATCGAAGCGAGAGAGAACGGCGCGTCCAGGTGAAAAAAAACAAGATATATACGTATAGAAAAACGTGCAAAAGTGATTCGGTTAAAAAGTTATTGCTAGCCGCGGGGGTTTCTCTTGCTGCCCCGCTTCGTAAATGGATCGTTGCGTTGCTGCAGCAGCATCAAGCCTGGCTTTAACGGCGAACTCAATGCCTTACTCGCTGGCAGAAGCGGTAAACATCGACGTTACAGAAACGAGCGCGAATACATTGACGATTTTATTATAGAGATGCAAAAAACAATGCCACATGTTTCTATTACATTTATATATTATTCATTTATATTTTAGATTTATTTTACCCCACCTGAAAAGAATCTGATCGATGAATGCGACGAACCCGAGGCAAAAAGCATCAATAAGGGAGAGACGTTTGGTTAGCCAAAAATTCAAAAATTATGATCGCTATTCAAGTGGTGGCTGCTATTCAAATATGCATGGTGCATATACTACAAGCAGGCATAAGCTCGATACCAAGTGAACATACCATACCATGTTGTGGGGCTAATGCTTGAAATATACATGTGACCCGCTACTACGTATCTCCCACGTTTTCAAGAGATTTTCACGGAGAATTCGAAAACTGTATACGTATGCATGTAATACAAGTGAGTTTGGCAAGTCTACATAGCTCAATGTTCCCTGGCAACCAGCGACACAAAATCATAACATTTCCTCTTCGCCAGCAGTGGGTATTTAAAATATTCACCTCTTTTGAAAAGTGTGACTTTATATTTATGCAAGATGTTATACATATACTTGAAAATATCACGAGATCCGTGACTAAATACAAAATTTTAAACATTTTTTTCGAAAATATTATGATAAATACTTCGCAAAAATAAGTACAAAGCAAAAATATTTAAAGGCTTTTTATAAAAAAATTAGATAAATGTTACGGCAAACTCCAAATTTTCGTTTAGTTCTGAGTCTTTTTGAAATAAATTTTTGTCAAAAGTTTGATTTTTTGTTAACTCATGAAGACAACTCTTATGATAAAGAACCAAAATCTTTAGAAACATAATTTTGAGCACTCTGTACTAAAAAAATGTTTTTATTTATTTATTGAGCTTTAGCAGATTTCAGAGACCTCTGGAAAAGGATTGTAGACGGTTATTAAAATTCTGAAAAAATTCATATGTACAGTGGTCGCCGCTTGAGAGAATCACTACGGGACAAAAATTTTCATTCTATTAAGCGTATCATTCTACTATCCGATAGGTATTGCAATAACTTTGAATCCGAGAAATTATGCATTATTATAATAAATGATTTATTATTAAATATTTATCCCAATCATTTGTGACACCATTATGATCTAATAAAATAGTCAATAATCTTAGTTTGTTTTTCTTTTTGTCAATTACATTGGAAATGAATTTTTCAAATTTGCAGTACTAATCAAAGGATTGTTGAACTCCTCTTTTCAATACTTGTAGTGCCTTAAACATTTCTGTATTACTAGGTACGGGTTCTATAATATCATCTTTCTCTTTAATTTTTTAGTCATCTGTGTCAAATTTTTGGCATATTTTATTGTCTGTTGGTTTTCTGTGGTTTCTGGACATTCGTCAACATCTATCCAGTCGTTATAATCGATTTTTCCATTCTTGTAACGCTAACACAATTAATTGCTATGAATATGTAATACCGTCGGTGCTATGAGAATCGACAATAATATTGAATGTAAACATCGATTTCAAACTAAATTTGATCCTATTAACCGAAAAGTTTATTCACTTAAGCGGTGAATTTTACATGTATAAGGATACAGGAAAATCAGTGTTAGGATTTTTGATAACCGGCGTAATCTATTAAACACAATTCTCTTAAGCGGCGACCACTGTATATTTGCTCAACTTAAAAAATTTTTTGTTCTTTGCTTTTTTTGGTCCTTCCTTACATAGAAAAAAAATTCAGAATGATTTTTAATAACAAAAAAATATTTTAGAGGAGGGTCTTACGGTTCCATTGGATCAAAAGAAAAAATACCGCTATTCAAAAGTCAGAAAGAAGTTGCCATAATAATTTTTGAAAAGATTTTAGTTCCGGATATCAATGAGTTTCCTTGTGAGTAAAATTCACCATTTTTATAAAAGAATGTTATGTTTTGTTAAACTTGTCACTTTTTTACATACTGTACCATCGAGACACTTTAAAACTTCCTAATTTTGATAAGCGGATGATGCCACACAGCCACGTAGTAGCGTACATGCAAATACAGGGAAAAATCAGATTAGCTCGATCATAATTTAACTTTGCAAAGCTTAATAAGACAGCCAAATGAGATCCTTCCGAATATTTTTTCAACGAATGCGCCAATTAAGTTGAAATAACTTCAGCGTCAAACGAAAGAAGTAAAAGTTGAGAATTAAAATGAGAATAAAAAATTGTTCAGTTTCGCACTTGTAATTGCAATAGCAAGATGGAATGCACTTGTACAAGTGCTCATAATACAGCGAACTTTATTTATTCGCGCTGCGTGTGCTGTATTTACAAAAGTTGAAGACCTAAAGTAAAAAATAAAATAAAATACTCTTTACGTAGGAGCGCTTTATCCTCGAGAACTACGTATATATGTACATAGAGAGAAACGCGCCACCGCAAAAAACGAATCGTCTCTTGTATTCTTGTCTCGTTCAAATGGTTTTCAAAACGAAAAAAAAAGGGTACGAAAAATACTGCTCTAAAATTATTCGTGCGGGCAATTCAGAGTAGTTGAGCGTAGGAGCTTGCGCGACACAAAAGCCCTACGCGCGCATCAATCCAATCGGTCGATCCCTCTTTTTTCGTCCAAACTATACATCAATCGTCGAATCTTTGACAAAACGTGCACATATATAACTCAACTCCTAATCTCGCCAGCCAACACACATCGTTGATGAAAAAAAAGTGAGAAATCAATGTCCAGATTTTCGCTTGTTTCAGCAAGTGCGTCGATAGTGTAAGGAAAATTCGCTCGGTGTAAACGGCATATTTGAGCTTTTTCGCACCTCGTAACCACGCATGTAGTCGCATTCCTCAAAAAGGTTTTATCATGTACGTTGCGATCGATATCTCTGGCTCTCCATCTCTTTCCACCGTCCCTTCACCTGGCAAAACTAGCAGAGCCCGCATTCACGCCTCCCACTCATTGTCTCTCTATCTCTCCTGCTTTGCTCTCTCTCCCTTTCTAGTGCGGAACATAATCGATGCTTGGCGGCACAAGCCTAGACCTCTCTCTCTCTCTCTCTTTCTACGACTGTACGCGAGTACGTCTGTGTGTGTGTATTCGTACAAGTGTAGGTACGATTCCTCCCTTCCTTCAGCGTGTTTAACTCCAGCTATGTTGCCAGTATACTAGAGCGGCTGAACTGGCTTTCCACCTTTATCACTTTCGCACGTGCGAGCTTGCAGCATCAGGCTTGTTGTTCAGTCTCTTTGCTCTCCGTGTGCGCATCTATATAACCTGAGCCATGCTTCTTCTTATTTTTTCTCTTCGTCTCCTCCTACTCTAACTTCCTGTATCGGTTTATTTTCTTTGTTCATGAATCTCGCTGTCCTCTTTCCTCTCTTTATCTCTCTTGCTCTATACATACAAAAAGAAGCGCGTGTACCTAGGAGTTAGATAAATATTGAGCTTGTCAGCGGAGATTGGCTCTAAATACGTATATATATAAGCCGAGACTTTACGATTTTCTTCGTATGTGTGCCGAGACATTCGAGCAAAAGCTTGATGGGCTATCGAGCTGCCGTTCCAAGACGCTGCCTAGCTCACAAACTTGAATGGTGAGAAGTTTATTGGCTTTTCGAAAGAGAGTCCTAAAGTGGAAAGAGAAGTATGGCAAAAATTTGCCTTGTCTCCTTCGTTTGCTCCTTCAGCCAGGCAGATGACGGCGAGTGTATGTAATATAGTCCGAGCGCGCGCCTGAACTTGGCGTATATCGAATGTTTTGGCAGAAACAGAATAAAAACAAGTTCGATTTTGAAGTTTTCGCTTGATTGCCGAGTTTTAATAAATTCTAGAGGCGTATACACGAATACGACGTTTCATGGCCGATATATTTTATCGACGCATGTTATACTGCCCCTGGTATGTGACGCTGAAACATAAATTTAATACATAGCTCGGCTGAAATTTTATAACATTTTTTTTTCTCTCCCACCGCCAAAGCCGCTAAATTTAGCTGTGCAGTTCACCCCGATCGCTTGATTAGACAAGTTTCGCTCTATTGCGATTTTCGAATTTACATTAAAATGTATGTACGTGCCACGGCTTGGCGCCAGGCAGTAAATAATGATTTTCCGCGTGCCTCGCACACATACACCACACACAGACACACAAACACACACACATGTTCAGAGCTATCAATCAGAAAAGCTTATTTGCACATGCCACGAAGGAATTACTTTTTGAAAAGCGGCAAGAAATCAATGTCAATGCTTAAATCTCTTTTGATCTTTTTGTCTCCCGAGCTTCTGGTTGCATATCATGTTTTCAAATGCGTTATTCAGAGTAACCCGGCTTTTGATAATTGTTCCATTGAGTCAAGTGAAGCTTTTGTATCGACTTTGCTACTTCGAATTATTATAATTTTTATACAAGCTTTGAGTTTCCATCTCGTTTTGTGGAAAATCCTTTCAAAAGCTGACATGATTATTCCAATGAGTATAAAAGGATATAACATATTATAATACTTTAAAAATACAAAATTATCTGGTATTATTGGAAATTGTGTCATTTCACTTATGTATATTGGTACAGTCTGGTTCACTAATTTCACGCTTAAATTTTAAACGAGGAATCAAAGTTGAAATGTTCCTTTATGCATTTCTATAAGAGCCTCGATATATAGTATAGAAAAAAAGCTCGTTTTATTTCTGAATCATTGTTACATAATTTCATCCCTGCAATTGGCATATATAATAAATAAAAGCTCGAAAAAGCTGAAAATAGGCACGATTTTAACCTAAAAATAGCATTGTCATGCGAAATCGTTTAAAAAAATATCTCAAAACTGGCTCGTAAAGGATCGTAGGGAGATCGCAGCATATATCGAAACATGGATTGATAATAAAAGTCGCTTACCCCAAAATAATGCCGTGACGAGAGGCTAAGACGCGTCGCGCTCGCAGGACCTCACGTATTATCGTCGAAAGCGATGAGCGCGCTTCTGTATATGTTTGGCTTTGCCCTTACGTGTCCTGCATATACGGCTTGTCGCGGAGCAGCAGCTGCGAAATAGACCTCCTGCGTCGCTGGCTTTGAACCGAGTCGGCTGCGCAATGCAGACTGTTATCTCTGGCCTGCTGACGACTGCTGCTGCTGCTACTACTGCTGCTGCGAGTTCGAAGACCAACCCGCGCTCTCTGCTTTCTCTCTCTTTCTCTCTCTCTCTCTCCTTTCTACCCTTATAGGTGCGCGCGCGCCCGTCTGTGCCTCTGTAAAGCTAATAACTACTGCTGGAGGGGTATAATATCTACACTTACATGCACATACACACACACACGCATACTCGAATGCGTATTGCTCACTTACTGGCGTGCTCCTTCTTTGTAAAAAAAGAAATGGGAAAAAAGCTTGTGCATAGTAAATCATTTTTGTTCACCGTAGATACATTAAAAATATAACTGCTGCTACAAACTATTGCGAAAATGTCATTTCGAGTTTTTCTATTTATGAAAAGTAAATTTTTTACCCCAAATCCGACAAAAAAATTTTTATAAATTATCTTTTATGACACAACAGTAAGTAGTAAATGTTAACAATTTCAAAAGCTGAGTCGGTCAAACGAAAATCTTTCAAGGACAAAAAGCTCAAACTTTGCTTAAAAGTGGAAATCTGAAATATTTTCGACGTGTCAAAGAAAATTGTAATTCAAAAAGAGCACGATACGCTAGTGACCTACTTCAATACCACTGATTTAGTATAGCAGTTTGGACTTATTATAGAAGAAATCACTCACCGGGCTTGCGAGTAAAAAAAATCATTTTTAAGAATATTGAAAAAATAAATAAAAACAAATAAGTATTAATGAAACAATACTTCTTCATTTCTTAACAAATTGTGAATAATCATCGCATGGAAATAAATTTCATAAAAATCTCAATGAAGTCAGATGAGTTATAAAATTATTCATGGAAATACTTCAAATAATATTGCGTTCCAATGAGACGGGCAACGTGCATCGAAAAAAGTCACACGTAAAGAAAAAATGCCGTGCATTTAAAATGGTTTCACTGCTTTTGCTCATGAATAATAAAATAAGAGTTACCTATTTCCCTTCGCGAAGCAAGCGCAAACTTTGAATATTATCTAGATCAACTTTCAAGAATTTCAATCTATTGAAATTTTAAATATAATTAAATGAACGGCTACTCAACACAATACTACATTTTTACCTTATTTTAAAGCTTTATCGCAACACTCAAATGTCTATAAAAAACTACTTAAACCGTATGAAAAAATACCGACAAATCAAATACCTTCAAAAAATTAATTGAAGATAAACTGTTCTTTGTTGATACTTGCCCTCAGTTTTTTCGATAAATGATTTTTAAGATCACGAAAAACTGAAAAATGTAAAAAATAAAAGAGGGTATGATGGAAAACCAAAAAGTTGAGAAGAAATTTTTTTCAGGCCAATGACCGATTAAGTTTTTCCGATCTCGTAATTACGACAATCTTCAAAAGGTACAGTTTCATTCGACATCTCGTTTTCGAAATAATTTCTGCACTCGTTACACTTTTACCCTCATAAATACACTCACATACTCATTCACTATCACACAAATAGAAATTTGTGAGTATTTAAATTAGTTTACAAATAGAAAATCAAATTTTCTTATGACGCCTAGTTCAAAAACTCGTTTTCGAACCTATCACAGAGAATTTCCTCGAAGAGGAAGCAATTTTTTCCCCACTAAGGCGTACATCCGTAAAAAAAATAACAAAAACGTAAAAAGAAACTAAAGCAGTATCGTATTTTCTGTTTGAGGAACAACATAATAATTAATAGGTTATTCATACACGTTGTTGGACCAAATGAGGATAAAACGAGTTAAAAAAATAATTTTAATATAATTCATCACTTAATAAAGAAATAACGAATGAAACGAAAATGTTAAAAACTAGTTTCAAACTGAATTTTAAATTGAGGCAGAGAGCATTACCAACTATATTTCATAATTCTTGAGAATTTGGATCTAACTTATGTTATTATATCTTATTTTATATTACAACTCTTAATGATTCGATTTTTTTTATTTTCAGTTGAAAATTATGTAGCGACGTAACGACTCAATAAAGCTACTTAAAAACGTGTGGTGCAAGTAAAAAATTTTTAACTTCTAGTTCGCGTGTCCAAGAATCGTTAAACTCAGCTTATGAGCGAATGTTAGCCTTTCGATGAAAAAAGTAGAAAACTCGTGAAAAAATGTAACATACATCAATTAGACTTCTTATAAAAAGCAAAGAGATCGATGCTCCAGTGAGAAGAATATGGGAAAATGAATATGAAAATAATATTAAAACATTTGATAATCGTTTTTTCTTGACTAATTAAATGATTTCCTCTTAAAATGAGAATGATAAAAAAAGATTTTTAGTATTTACAGCAATTGTGCAATTTTTATTATGAAAACTAAAGTCAACAACAATGTCATGAAAAATCTTGAGGCTTTTATATTTGTAGATTTAAAACAAATTACATTTTTCTTTGATACTTAAAAAGACAAGCTCCCAAGTAAGTAGTCAAAAACCAAGATTATGCCGTACTTGTGGCCTGAAGCCATATTTTAACGTTGAAATGAAACTAAAAAAAATTTGAAAGCTTTTACTTATGTTTTTTTCTAAGCAAAGCGGTCAAAATTTGGTTTGGAAATAGTCCTAATATTTGATATATTATGAAATGAGCTGAGAGATATCTCGTTTGAACTTGGAGGCAAAAAGGTGCTAAGTCCTATGTTATAAGGAATTTGGTCCCTTTTTCCTCCGAGTTTAAACGAGATACCTTTCTGTACTGAGGCGACAAAGTAGACTGTCCGAGTTTTAGAAGTTGATTTTTCATCTGCCTGTATCATGTTCAATAATATCACCAATGTAGCGTTCTTCAATTATTTCTGAGCGAAAATGCGTCTTGCAAACTATAACCAAAGAAAAGCTCACATCTATTGTATTTCATAGTTGACAATGCTTTTTTGTGGAATTTCACACGAAAGAGTTAAATCAGTGAAAAATCAATTTTTAATAAAGTAGTTTGTGGTGGAGTGAGATGAATCTCGGCCGAGGAACTGTTCCATCTACGCCACAGATGTCTGGGTCAGTTTTGTTCATGTTTTTTTAAAGTCATCACTGGATCGATTGGGAATATTATTGAAAACTTACTCAGGTAATAATGAAATTCTATAGGGCCGCGGTGTACGATAACGCGACATTTGGCGCAAAAATGCTGAGATTCGGGAGGATTTATTGGCGATCGATAGTGGTCTGCGTCATGCCGATAGCGCTTCTTCCTCTAATTTTGGTTTACAAAACTCGGGTAAGTTACTCCGAGCCTCACGTTATTTAACTTTGAATTGCCAATCGTAATATCTCGTTGTTTCGTCCATTTGGTTAAAACATGACTATATATAAATACCGTTTCATTTCAATTAATCACGAGGGCTAAATGTGTACATATATACGTAAACGCAATAATGTGTACCCAGAGTATTATGCCGAGTACAGTGAAGCTGGGCACTTGAAGTTCAAACCTTTCAAGGCTCATTGTAGCCATTTCATGAATTTATTATATTGTGCGAGTGCAGCGCGTCGGAGCTTTCCATTTTCATTTACTTACTGGTCGTTGCATATTAATAATCATAGAAATGGTTGTATTTTTTAAAATTGCACGGCTTATTTTTACGAAATGAATGGTCGAACGATGTCAAAAGATCGTTATTGCTTGCAATGAAGCGATCGCAAGATATAACGATCAATTTCCAAGTGACTTGGTCGAAAATATGGAATGAAAAAGTCAAGCGCGATCCAAGTGTCGGTCTGAAAGCAGCAGGCCTGCGGTTGAGCCGAGCAACGCTTCGGACTACGGATAGTCGATGAAGCGCAATTTATAAATTGTATCACGTTGTAATTTGCAAGTCCGCCCGATGCGGCTTCGTAATCCTGCTGATGGGCAGCTACTGGGCGACGGAAGCGATGCCCATGGCGGTGACGTCGTTGCTGCCGCTCGCCCTCTTCCCGGTGTTCGGCGTGCTCGACTCGGCGACCACGTGCCAGTGCTACGTCAACGACACGATCATGATGTTCGTCGGCGGGCTCATATTCGCCATCGCCATCGAGCACAGCAAGCTGCACGAGCGCATCGCCCTCAGGAGCATGATCGCCTTCGGCTGCAACCACAAGCGACTGCTCGGCGGTCTGCTCTGCGTCACGACCTTCCTCTCCATGTGGATCAGCAACACCGCCTGCACGTCCATGATGGTGCCCATCGTATTCGCCGTGCTGTTCGAGCTCGAGAAGGTCAATGGAACAATCTTGCTTGCTACTTGTCACCAACGGCTTTAATCATTGCCGATAAACCGTATTTTGTCGCTTTTCCATCACTGCAGGAAGGTCTTGGAAAAGTTTTCGAGAGTAATGCTGACGATCCGGACGAGTAAGTTTTGTTTTATTGTTTTGCCAAGATAATACATGGCAATCGACGCAAAAACAGGTTTCCGGAACCGACCCAAGTGACGAAAGCCTACCTGCTGGGCACAGCCTACGCGTCGACGTTTGGAGGCACCGCCACCATAATCGGCACCGGGGCCAATCTCGCGTTCAAGGGCATCTTCGAGGATTCTTTTCCCGATTCGCCCGGTATCGACTTTGGCCAATGGATGATCTGGGCTCTGCCTCAAACCGTAATCAACGTTGCCCTCACCTGGTTCTACATGCTTTTCTTCTACATGGGCTGGTTAAGACCCAACAGCGTCGACGCTCGAAACGCCGAGATCGGACCCGAAGGCATGCGAGTAGCCAAAAGGGTATGCGGCCAAGGCCCTTTTCTTTGCGCTCTTTCCTACACATCGAGTTTGCGATTCTTCCGCTGCAGCAAAAGCTCTGCCGTGGCCTTTTCACCGAGTAAATCATGTACACATCTACTTTATTCGCGGACAATTCCTCATTTAAACTTTTGTGTCCTGGGTCGCACGACGCGATACCTTAGAAACGCTACTTCAAAAACTTACCGTCAACATGTATACATTTATATTAGACGCAGCTCGAGAGTACATTTTTCCAAACTATGTCTTCGGAAAAAATCAACTCTACGCATTTCTTTTGAGTGTATGTGTATTATGCCAGAAGATGCGAGGTATTTATCTGCAACAAATATATGTATGAGTTGTATAATTTTACAACTTAAATAATCCGAAACACGCGAGAAAGTTGTAATAAACTTCATTGGAGCAATTATATTCAAGTTTCATCATTTATGCAATTATCGCTGAAAATATTCAAATGAATAAGGCAAACCTGCGGACTGCATAATCATTCTAATCATTTGCAGATCATCCGTGAAAAATACAGCAGCTTGGGTAAAATGAACTTTCACCAAATCGCCGTCGGAATTCTTTTCTTGCTCTGCATCTTTCTTATGTTCTTCCGCTCGCCTGGATTCATCAGTGGTTGGGCCGACAGACTACCAGTTGACGTGTGAGTATGACAACTATGAACCCAAACCCAGGGTTGAGGGAGATGATTCTTCGACAAAAATGTAATACCTTTTTCTTTTTTCTTTTTTTTTTGAAAAATTGGAAGAATATTTTTAGTGAAGTTTTAAAAGACATTACAAAAACAATATAATTCTGTTACCCTGGCTTTGTCTCTCACACGCGTATCTAATTAATACCCATTTCATGATTACAGGGAAATTAAAGAATCGACTTCTCTCATGTTAGTGGCTATTCTCCTGTTCGTTATACCAAAAGACCTGGCTTTTATTCATGCTTTCAGCAAAAATGGTAATTACAAACGCATCCATTTGTCAGCTTGGTAGGAATTATTATATTAGCGACATTCTGAAATCTAAAATTTTTCAGCAAAGAAAAAGTTTTCGCTACGATATTTAGCGAGTTTTAAAGGTAGTTAATTTGTTTTTATTTTTTTAAATCGTCTTGAATCTAGTGCGGGCTATACAAATTAAAATTAAAAATAAAGAATTTTTTCTCTCTAAAATTATCTAAATTTACTTCTTACCTTCGAGGTGAATTTACGACCAGAGAATTAAGGTAAACGTATCAAGCTGTCACTTTAATTAACTCTAATCCTAACGGATACGCTAGCTCTACCCACAAATCTCGCCTAGTCTAAACATTTATGTGCATTGTTCATAGTACAAATCTTTGTTATAACATTAATTAGTATATAAACAGAAAAATTACTTTTAGTATTCTTAAAAATGGATAAAAAAGGTATTTTTTTACTTATTTTTGACATTCAAAATTTTAACTTAAGAAATGTATTATTAAAAGTACGCCTATATTTATTTATTCAATTTTATGTAGCTACTATAAGGCCACGCAAACCTTCAGACGCCTTAGTATCATGGAAAGTAGTTGAAGAAAAAGTTCCTTGGAGTCTCATGTTCATATTTGGTGGTGGTTTTGCAATTTCAAAGGGCAGTTTAGAATCAGGACTATCACAAAAAATTGGTGATTCAATGGAAGAACTTTTTGGTCTACCTCCCTTTGCCTTACTGATTGTAGTTTGTATACTCATGAGTGTGGTTACGGAATTTACATCTAATATAGGAGTTGCTAATATTATACTACCAATTATTGCTGAAATGGTAATTACAAAAGAAGTCTTTCAATAGTCATACATAATTACATCTACAACAATATAATAAATTAAATTTTTAACTTTTATGTACTTTAAAATAATCTTTTTTACAGAGTGTGCGGGCAAAAATACATCCACTATATTTCATGATTCCTGCAACCCTCGTAGTTTCACATGCATTCAGATTCCCTACTGGAACCCCTCCAAATGCTATTGTATTGGCAGCTGGACACATACGAATCAAAAGTCTTGTAATTGGTGGCTGCGGAGTGGCTACTTATGGCCCAATTGTAGTTATACTTTTATTTATTACGTGGGGTAGATTTATTTATAAGACCGATGTTTACCCAGATTGGGCTGATAGTTACAAAAAGATAAATTGATTTTCATTTTATAAAAAGATAGAAGGAAAGTTTTTGACATAAAATAGATAACTAAAATTAGAATTCAAAAATTAAAATTTTAATGAAAGTTACGATATTTTAAATTAGTTATTATGCATGTTATAAGTTATATTTATAATGAATATATAAAATTAAGTATGTAATTTTTATAAAAAATATCACGTTCTCACTTACTAATATATTGACATTGGTCATAATCAAATTAAAAGCGTACCCTCACAGAGGATAAATTTTAATACCTTATCTAGGTAAATGTTCTTCTGAATAATATTAATTTTATAAATTTTAATGGAATAGGTATTTAAGTATTATCGATTTGAAATATGGTTAATTATTCACCCTATAAATTATATCAATATTTACAATGCTCAAAGTTAAGACTTTATGACTTCATTTATGACTTCATACTAGGTGATCCTGGCTCAGATTTTTTAGGACTAGATCCTATTTCTTGTTCTAACCTTCTATGACGTAACATAGTTGTCAAAACACCATTGAATGTGGCAGTTTTCTTTTTTGCACTCCCTTTTGGAGTACTTTCACCTATTCTTCGAACTGGCTGTCTTGGTGATGACATTTCATCCATAAAATCAAAATCTGAATTTTCTTTCGGTGGTCTATAATTTTAATATGGAATCATAATTAGATTCAGTTATTTAATGTAAGTGCATCAAATAAAATTTTTACTTGAACTCCGTCGTTGGATTCTCTTGGTGATTATTTATTGTTGTGACAGGTGATGGTGCTCGTTTACCTGGACATTTCCACTCAAGTTTAAGAACTCGATTGTTATTTTCCATTTCATCTATAAGAGCAAGTAAATCGTCTGGTTTGGGAATCCATTCATTCTGGAAACACGAAAGCAAAATTAGTTTTTTCTCATACAACAAATCAAAATTTAATCTTACCTTTTTATTAAATTCATATTTTTCATCATCTGAACATTCAACTCTCCAATTTTCTTCGTTATTTTCCATCATGTAGAATTTAATTTTGATTGAAGCAAGCACAATTTTATTATGTTGGAGAATGTGAAAGTTATTAAAGACAATAAATTCAACTCTTAGGGGTTATATTACATAGCGTGACTGACATATGATATGATACAAACAAAATGATGTATTTATATAGCCGGAAAAACTGTTTTATCTCATGTAGGTGTAGCAGATTTTCATAAGAAAAATTTTCTACAATTAATTGAATTTATTAATCAACCACTAAGTTGTATTAAAATGTATCATACAAACAGGTCAAAATATTTTTGAGTTGATGAAATATAACAATTTAAATATTTTTCCAAAAGTTACAACAGCATGACGTCACACTTGTTGAACACTCAGTTTCATTTGCATATTATATTCTGATCTTATGTCTGCTACATACATAATAACGTGCTCTACCAGTCTAAGAATCCTTACAAGTGGCGTTGAAATAATTTGATCTGGTGGTGCTACTAAAGTAGTTTGGTTACAGTGTTACGTTTCAACAATTTTTCAAGATAATTGTGTCGTATTAAAAAAAAGTAATTCGTTAATCTAAAAAAAGTCTCGAGAAAATGAAAAATTTTTTGGCACACGAGTTTGTAATTTTTCTCTCACTGTCAAATCGGTATGTACAGCTAAGCTACCTGCGAAGACAAACAAGTCCTCGGCAGTCATGCGTAGGCACGACGAGAATCAGGCAGATATGTATGCAATGAAAAAACGGATATTAATCACGAGAAACAATCAACGAGTGATGAAAAGATGAAAAGCTCTATGTTCGAGGCTGCGTTGCTTGCGAGCTAGAGAGTCGAAGGCACATTTTTTCTCGCCTTTTGCAACGGTGGCCGCTGCAGGTCAACGTCGTCTAGTTTGGATTTACCTGTAGTGCGTATATAAAGGTGTACGTATATGTATATGCGTAGGCTTATATGCGGACGGTTAGTGCATAGTGACAAGTATACATCGAGACTTGCGAGGCGTTGCAATTGTATTTTTAGATCCGTGTCCGGCGTAGCGGCCACAGCCCCGAGTAAGGCAGAAAAGCCGAGAGGCGATATGCAGCCGTTTAGTATACCACGGACTTCTTCAAATGTGTAGTCGACAGCTTGGTGCTTAAATTTTTCATCTGTCAACATGAATAACGGTGGTTGGAAGCTCAATGGAGACGATGAAGGTATGATCATCGTAAAGAGCTTTTTACGAATTTTGAATCTAGATTTCTAGAGCATTAATTTTACCGCGGCGCTAACAGCAACGACTGATCTTATTGACGTCACGATGTAACAGACTTTGACAGATCTAGATTTTTTTCCTTCTTTGATATTGGACCTTCATTTTTTTTGAATTTTTTTTTTCAAATATGTTCAAATTAATTTCACATTTATTACGATTTAATGATAATTTCGAATAATGTGATAGCTACGTTTTTATTTCGCACTTATACGTAATATTCACGTTGCCGCTCGGTATATTTATTTATAACTTTTGTCAGCTTAGCGTCATGAAATCGGCACAGCTATAGCATGATAAAACTGCGCATAAAATTTTGGAAGACTAGAGCTTTGTAAACCTCGGGTATATCAATTTTTTAAAATTTTCAATTCCATTTTGTAGCTCTTTATGTGGATGTCGAAGAAGATACCGAGGAAGAACGAAGAGACAAAGTTTATAGTAATTGGGATCGATTGCCAGATATCTTGCTTGAAGAAATTTTTTCGCATCTAAACATAAAACAAAAATATTATGCTTCATTGGTGTGCAAAAATTGGTATCGAGCATTTAAATTACCATATACTTGGAACACATTTACCCTACAAGAAACAACTCTTACAAGAGGAAAATATAACTACTACAGTGGTTGGCAATATGTTTTGGATCACATGAGAACTTCAGCTTGCTTGAACAAAGTTGGAGCCAATTTTAAATGTATCATATTTGAGCCAATGATGAACTTTTATAATCTCTATGAATTCATGAACATGTTTTCTTGGTATGCTGAAAAACAAGGTACTGATTATACAACAGTGCCAGGTATTGGCAAGCTTGTGCGCAGGTTGAAATTTACATTTCCTTGTAATATGGCCAACAGAGAAGATCCTGACTCAATTAAACTTTTTGGTACTGGAGGAAAATTGCTTGAAGGTCTAAAAAGACTCATGAAAAATCTTGAAAATCTCAGATGTTTGGAACTTGTAGACTTGATGTTAGAGAGTAGAGAAGCTTTACACTTAATGGATGAAGTTTGTGCAAATTGTACACAGACTTTGAGAAAATTAGTTTTGATTAATGCTACAAAATTTCACTGTCCTTTGTTGCATGTTGGCGTATTTTTGAACTTGAATGTGAGTTACCTTCCGTATGAAAATAAAAGATGTCATTGATTACATTCATTTATATTTCAGACTCTAGTCGTTAGCCCTCAGAGCCTTGATGAAGATGTTATAGAATTATTGGGATTCACTCAATTGAGACATCTTCATATACTGCAAAATCGATACAGTCCAAAAGAAACATATTTGGTAAGTTTGAAATTATGGTGATTGGAAGAATTTTAAGAATGACATGAACTAAAAATGAAAATTACAAGAAAATTGATTATCATTCTGTAATGAACATTTGAATATTTTTGTAGCCAAAAAACTCAGCATGGAAAAAAATGAAAAAGAACAACCCTTATTTAATGGTTCATTTTGAAATAGAAAATCAAAGAGTATGTGAAAATATATTTTTATTTGATGCAAGTTTGCACAGTGAAATCCCGTGCCACAGTATAGTATTAGATAATTCAAATTCTCAGGTACATTTACTTTTTATATTTTTTTATATAGAACTGCAATATTAAAAGATTTTTTTCATTTTAGGTTCTACATGCCACAGTAATAAAACATGCACTATATTTTGGCAAGAGCTTAAGGGTTTATGCTTTTAAAGGACTTTCAAGAAAGTATATGCCTAGAAAGTTTTCAAAAAGAATTGATGAGGCAATTGTAAAACTTTGCAAACTCAGCCCTAATATAAATACACTGGCAAGTTATTTTCTTCTCACTTTTAATTTACATTGCAATCACATATGGTTATAATTTAATTTTTACTTTGAAGTTCATTTTTCTAAAACATATATTTTCTTTGTTTTACATAAGACAATCTGGTTTTTGAGTATATTATTTAAATTTGATAATTTCAATTCACCAACTTTAAGGAGAACCAAATCCAAGACAAATTGAACATACCTATACAGGTACATTCAGATTTCCGCGAAGTATTTTTCAATAAAGCTAGTCTAGATGATGTCTACAAAACAACAAAATGAAGACATCCATGTAGCTTTTTTTAAAGATGTTTAGTGAAATTCTCAAAAAATGTGTTTGAAATTAATTATTTTAGCTTGGCTTTGGTATCTCCATTATGAAAAAAAAAATATTTAATATTTTTTTTTAAATTCATAACGGTGATCTTTTCTTATGTAGATGATACGAGATAAAGTTTCGACGGCAACACTTCTAGAAATCGTTTCGACCGCAAAACAATTACGCTTCCTACATGTAAGACGCAACTTAGTTATGAAAAAATGCGATGCTGAATGGTTAAATATTGGTGACTGGACTGCAGAACATTACAACTGGATTAAAGATCACAGTAATGATTACAAAAAAACTGAAGAAGCTATTTCCAAGACTTTAGGATATCGATGGAAAATGTTGAGTGAAAGAGAATTTTCCCAACAAAAAGTATATTTGCATCTTGATTAGATAAATAACTTCATAATACTTGTTCTCATTCATTGTGTATTTTTTTTAATGTCTCATTCTAGTACATTAACTAGTATGCCTTATGAAATGACACTAGGTTTTGAACCAAAAAATTGTGTTGCTTTTGGAGTTTTAGTATTTTCCGTTGAAAGCAAAAATTTTCTTCAATAATGTCAAATTATCAAAGTATTCATAGTAATATCTTTAAATATGTGTATATATTAAGTTTTTTATGTTACAGTATTTTTTAATTTTTTTGGTTCGATTAGTTTGATATGCTAACAATATTGTCTCTGTACATATGTTTTAATGAAGTGTATATAAAAAAATTTACATTGCAAAAAAACTTTTAGTTTTGTAAATCGGATACAAATAAATATTTATTTTAAGTATACAAATGACTAAAAATCTTAATTATGGACTTTGGACATAATTTAGGTGAATGAAAAAAAGAGATTTTTTATTTTTATTGGATTTATTACATACAGTGTATAATAATATATTAAATTTAATATTTTGTCTATAAATGCTGAGCATACATACTTGACTAAATAAAAAGCAATGTGAAAATTAACGTTGTCAAAGTTTTTCTAAAACTGGAAAACGATGTCTACTCAATCTCACAAACAAATCAACAATTTTACGTGTCCAAAACTTAACACAATTTACCTATTTATCAATCAAAATATTAAAAACCTGATAAATTTTTTTTTGTGATATATATACAATTATAAATTATACACATCTTTTCTGATGTGTATCTTTAGATTACAAAAGTATTAAATATGTATCATTATGCTACATTTTTAAATGAAAGTTAAACTCAATTACATCAGTTTATTACATTCTTTATCATGAAGTTCTTGCTCTTGAAATATGCACTAATTATGTACCAAGAACAACATGACTAATATTAAATTATAATTCAATTAATTTCGAATGCCAATAATGAAAAAAGTAACATAAAAGTAAATTTTTGTTTTAATGATCCAAAAAGTAAAAAATGTACATCAATACCGTGTCATGATAAATAATTAAAATTCGTCCGCCAAATCGGCTGAGCGCTTACTTCTGCATTTGTTTCTGATTTTAGTGCGAGCTTTAAAAGCTGCAGCATTCATCAAAGTCTGAAAATAAAGAAAACCTCATTAGTTTTGAAATTCACATTTTTTATATTATAAACATAATTAATATCAAAATTACTTTTTGAAATTTAGGGACTTTTTTTGTTGGATCTCCAATAGGTTCAACGATTTTGTTGCCAAGATTAAACACATCTCTAAGCACTTGATTTTCAGTCAAATGAATGTTGATGCTAGGACCAAGTAATCTGCAACAAGCATTGTATTGAGTGCGAGCACACCATCCTTCCAAAAATAATGTTTCTTTTCCAAATCTAATTTGAGTTTCTGGAGTAATATCTTCCTACAATGCAAAAGTTTTTATTCATTAGATATTGTATATGTGGTATCTTTGTTGTCAACATCAACATTTATGGTTCATACTTCAATGTAACGCAGAATATCTCTGAAGGTAGCTCGCTGAATAGTTTTATCTTTTTTAGCCCTAAATTTATTTGAATCAGTGGCCAATTCTTTCAAAGATTCAACTAATTCTTCGGCCCAATCTTGCTCATAATCTTCTGAATAATTTCGTCCCAACTCAAAAATTACAGCCAATGCTTCACCTGCTGTCATACGCACATCTAAATGAGGTGATTGAAGCAATCCACTTAATTGATCAAGAGATCTGTTAATAAAAAAAAATGTAATGAAAAATTTTCATTTAATACTATTAACAATCATAATTATTTTTATGGTACATACGGCATAGAGGTATTTGTTTGTGCACTCTTCAGTAAATTATTTATGTCACCAGAATTCATTGTTGTCAAAAGTAAAGTCCAAGATGAAATTGCAGCAGCATGGAGTACAGCAAGTTCAGGTGTAACTTTTGCCATTGCACCATTTCCTTTCAAATAAGAACCAGCAAATACATTTGATAATAGCTGACTTAACTCTAAAAATTCGCTAAGATCTTTGCCGGACAAAAATTGATTCATGCTAAGAGACCAGCAGCACTGCACAAATAAAACAACAACTTTTATAAGATAATTGGCACTTGATTAGAAATAGGAAGTAAAATGTTTAATAAAGTTTTTTACCTCAGATCTACCAGCAATCGAGGCTGCATTATCATTGGCAATTTTAGTCATTGTTGGTTTAAGATCTTTATATACATCCTCAGCATAATCGCCCAATTGTGCACACATCAAGGTACTCAGTTTAGCTGCAGTACTTTGTTCCTCTCCCTTGCCTTTTTTCAAGCTTCTTTCAATGGCGTCTGTGAGGGTGAACTTTCGATCTTCAATGAAATCCGGCACATATTTGTCGGTAAAAGACTTGCCGACCTTACGGAAGTGGGACACTCGGCTCTGGGCACTTTTGGACGTAAGGCCGTCAATTTCATCATTGTAAGAGTCCTGTTCGTAAATTTCCTCGACCTCGTTGTTATCATTACCCTCGTCCAGGACACTATGAGCGTCCGAGCCCGAAATGTAGCTACCAGTATCCGTCACAGACTCGTCATCAGAGTCAGGATGGTTACGCCTACCTGCAAATCATCGTAAAAACGTTTTTTATTATATTACCGGTGTATACTTCAGACTGCAATATTACACAACATTGTATCGTTCACTTTTTTCACAATAACAAACATCATTCGTAAAAATGTTATTGTGCACAGTTGGATCCGGTTTATTGTCGATAAAAATAAGTAATGGAAAATAAATATTGATATCTCGTAACCTAGTCTGCAATGTTAAAATGCCGTCAATCTCAGTAAATACCTATTGAACGAATGGTAGACAGCATAGTCATTGTAGTTTATTTTTGCAGTGATAAAACAAAAAAGTGTTGATAAGCACAGAATGCAGAAAGATAATCCAAGGCATAAGCATATGTTACTCATACAATTGGTCTTGCATAAAAAAGTAAAACACTTTTATACAGTGTAATTTGTCAAATCTAATTTTTATATAATGCCATATTGTATAACGATTTCCTTTCGTCTCATGAATAATATACGTAATTCAAGCGTTACACCTACTAAAATTAATAAAGAAACGAAGGCATCGTCACGATTAGCCCTACAAATTAATTAATCAGAGATTTTTCAGTATTGTTACCCAAAATCTATTTTGGAAAAAAATGTATTCAAAGTTATGAGTGATTGGCAAGAAATGTTTCGCGGCCTATTGCCATTCCTTTCACCTGCACGAGGAAAAAGCCAACGAGGAGAGTGAAAGAGAGTGAGGCAGACAGAAAAAAGAGGAAAAAGTCAAGAATCGAGCCACGCGCAAAAAGAAAACAAAAAAAATCAGTATGGAGCTGGGGTAAAAGTAGAATAACATCAAGGTCTTTTAAAAGAGCGCGAAGGGTTTCTCTTTTGCCCCTCGTGTGCGCAGGGCACGTGGCTTAAGCATCAAAAGCTCGTTTTGTTGCTCTGTCTTTGTAATATGAGTCTATCGCACGTTTTTCACGTGGACTTCAATGACAATGACGACAATGCGAATCGATCGGATTTATGTACTATCGCACTTGGTACCTCCTCCTTGTGTATATGATACGTGAATGTATATATCACACTCTTGCGCAAGTTCGTTTCGTCATTACACTACTCACACTAACATCATGCTTGTGTTGTTTTTATATTCTTTTACATTTAAACTCAGTCAACAGCTGTTACTAGTATGCACGCAAGTGCAATAATTTCAAAAAATTAACTACGAGTTTCATGGATTATGTAACGCGTTTTCACGTGAATTTTCAATATGATGTAGGTAAACATAAATTAACCACGACTGGAAATTCTTGCTAAAAAGCGGGTGTCACCTCTAGTGCACGAGTTTGATTCAATATAACTGCGTACTAAGATAATGATTTTTTCCAAACTCGCATCGCAGTGCCAATATCCGTGTTATTTTAGCGCGAAAAATGCATTTTTTTTCTGTCTGATTAGACTTTCTTGGATTGACACAATTTTTGCATTTAGATTGATATACGCGAGCGTATCATTTTGAGATACACGAGAAATAAAAAATGTGCAAAATAATGCGAAAGTGCATGATGCAGTCGACTTATTACGTTATTGACGTAAGTAGTAGGAGCTCGTCTTGCGCGCGAGAAACATATGGAAGTCGAAACAGTTGTCAAAACATACCGGTGAGAATCTAATTTTTATATTCTATAATTGTACAAATGAAAGGCATGACAGCCACATGACCGCTAGTGTCCCTTTAATAAAAGCTTTCGAGAACGTTCACACCTGCGCATGCGAGCGTAGCGCCCATACATAGACGACGTATATACGTTTGCGTGAATATATATATATATATATATATATATACTAATGCATCTCGATCTTTCTGTCACTCTGGCAAAGCCATAAACGCACTCACTGCATGCCTGTATTCAGTAAATGTAAATACCGAAACAGAGATGCAAAAAATATCGTCGGAACAAAGGCAAAAAATATCTGCAGACGATCTTTGGTAAGTAAAAATAACTCGTGACGTAAGTGCAGTCTGTTAGCAGTTGGAGCATGTATATGTAGGCAATAGTAACAGTAGCAGCAACGCATGAAGAGCACGCCAATACCTGGATATTATAACGCGAGCATGTATGAGGCAGCATGCACATAGTGGCATCGTTGGGTTTTTCACGCACGTGTGTATGTTGTATGTATACGTACATGCCGAGATTCGTTTAGTGCGATGCTACTGCCATGCTGTGGAAGTACGAGAGTCGAGAGGCGAGGCAAGGTCTATATGCGTGTGCTTGTGCTGCCGCATGTGCATGGCTTGCTCACCAGGCGAGCAAAACTTGGCACGCATTATCAACTTGTTATAATAATAATGAAATGGATTACTCACCAGCTTTTCTTCTTTTGCCTTTGCCTGGCATCTTGAAAATTCCAACGTTTTATTTGGATGATAATTCGGTGTACGATCCTACGACGTTGTCTCGGCGTAATTTTCTTGACTATGCGTTTATGATTATGATGAGTGAACGTTATATGTATGCAAAGCTTACTATATTTTTGCGGCTGTATTTAGCCGATTGCACTAGAATTTGACGAGGTAAACTTGCTATAACGAGTTAAAGTAAGAGAGAAGAGAGAAAAAATAGAATGAATTTGTAATGCGTGAGTGACAGAAAGAGAGAGAGAGAGAGAGAGAGAGATGAAAGAGCCTAAGTAGAACGCCTCGATCAAGAGGGTAAATGTCTAGCACTGTTAATTTTCCTTCGTATACTGTTGGCTAAAACACTGTTGATGGCGATGCATCGATTGCTACTCTTGACACAATTGAACGATCCTAATACCGAAAAATCGACTGAGGCTGCTGCTGTTGAAACTGCTTCGACATCATCGACAAGAATAATCCGACGGAAACTTATTAACATGATGCGCGCACGCTGCCACAAAGACCCGACAATTTGATGCGGATACTCTGATCACACACAAGGATTTGTTGGTGAACGTGAACTCGCTACGTATGAACCGACGTTGTTGCCCGATATGCGTATGCGTATGTATACTCGACGACTGACAATTCGGGGTTATATAGTTCGCTTCGAGCGAGGAAAAAAGTTGAGAATGCAAGAGAATCGTTGCTTAGTGTGCAGCTACGATGTTGCAATCAGCGACAACGACACGACCGAGAGCGAGCCACGCGGTTACGAGGCTTTCTCAATGTGTACTAGTCGAGAAGGCTCGCAATGATGGTGGCTATTCTTATACTTCGAGCGAGATGTCCCCCGCTCGTGGCGCTACCTGCAGGATTGGCGCGCAATTACATTTCGACTAGTGATAAACACTGCTCCAAAAATCAACACTCACACTGAGCGCCAAATTCAAATTCATGTAAACATGTTAATTAAAATATCTATTGTAAATTTTTTTCCCATCAAGTCCGGGACGGACACATTTTTGATACTTTTTTGAATCGTTGTACTTTTGCTTAAACTAGGGTCTAGAGAATTTGCGAGTAAGCATAATCAACGCAAAATTTAATGAACTTTCCGAGTCCGGTGTCAGATTTTCGATATAACAAACAGGTCAAAAGTTATGGACGGATTTATTAAAAAAAAACGTGATTACGAAAAAAAAAAATTATTTTTTCGAATTTTCACATGAAAATCTTTTAAATCCTGGCGTCTAAGGTAAAAATGAAGCATCTATAGGCCCTTATCTTAAAGTTATGACGATTCCAATTAGTGAAATATGATTTTAGATTCACAAAATGGTGTCTGGAAAACAAAAATATGTAAGAAAATTTCCCAAACTTTTAACTCAAAAACGATGGATTTGAGGAAAAAATTTTACCGACAAAAAGTTGACTTTTTCAGTCTGCACTCTGTGCTTTTTCTTTTAACATCAAATTTACATCAGAATTTAAAAAATTAATATGAATGGAAATTCCAATGTCAATACACGATTACACGAAGAAACTAATAAACTAATGAAACTATTTTAAATTTTTAGTATTCGATGATCCTTTGAAAAGTTAAGAGTCTCGTCAAAAGTTTCATAACCCTTTCATAGATTTCTTCACAAAAGCTTAAATATGAAAAATTGTGACTAAAAATGTTACATAAAACTCTTAAATATACGTACTTTCATAATAAACCCGTAGGAATTTCGCAATTTTTTCCTATGGAAAAGTTCTTATAAAATAGAAAAAATCCTATATAATTACCGTAATCCCCATAAATGAATTGTTCTTTGTTCAATTTCACTCATTTATTATTTCAAGTTTTTTTATTCTTTTTTGTGGGCAATGCAATGTGAAATATCTATCTGAAAATTATGATTTATCACGAAGGTAATAAAATTAAGTTCAATAACTTATCAAGAATCAGTACCTCTATAACTTATGACATTACGTACGTAAACTGCAATTAAAAATACAATTTTTTTAAAAGAACTTACATGTGAATGAAAACACATAACCAATAATGATAAATTTTATTTTTTGAACGATGATTAACAACTTCACAAATGAAAATTTATCTTTCTTTAAGTGTTAATTTTGACAGGTCTTTTTAATATAAAAAAAGGACATTTATATACAGTCACATGTTAAAACTTTGTACAGTTATTGCATAAGGGAAACAAATTATAATATTAGAAGAGCCCAAAGACTGCAAAAAGTGTTAAAGACATGCCAATGGAACGCTCAGCTGAATTGTGCCCAAAATCTTCGGACATAACAAGAGCCGCAAATCTAGGCTGATTTGAGCACTTTTTCGCAGGGTGTGACTTTTTTTATGTAATTGAAAATCGAGTCCAATAAATTTGCTGGTGTGGGATCATCGCAACCTTCTAACGCATCAACAACGCAAGTTTGAAATTTACCCATATTTCTGTTAAAAAAAGTTTATAGTAATAATATTTTAAAAAATAATTGTTTGAACATATTTTCATAGCATTTTCAACGTTTTTTACCTGCAAGCTTTGTCGTCAAAAACAAGCGAGGGAAGTGACTTGATGTCTTCAAAAGATTGCAAACCATTTGCTGGATTTATAGGAAGGTTTTTAGCTTCATTTCCATAAGTAGCATTGGCACATTCGAAAATTGCTTGGCCTTTACTCTGGAAGCACTCGGGTCCTTTGGCGGCAATAAATACTAAAAAAAGGAATTTTATTTCTATGCTTAATAACTTCCAATTTAATTTATAATTTTTTTATACGTTATGACGAATGGACTTACGGGCAATACGATCGCCTTCCTTGAAGCAAACGAAATTGAGGATTTTTTCCGTGACGTTGAGTACGATTTTTTTATTTTCACGCTCTATCGGCTCAAGGCAAGACTCAATTGAATTAGTGTAATTGACGATGCAATTCTTCAAGATTGGCTTCTTGCGACAGTACTTTTTGAAAACTTCATCGAGATCTCCTGTAGGTCTAGCTTTGTCCATTTCTTCTTTTAGTACAGTAAAGTTCACCAAATTTTTCGCGCAGTTGACAAAATCAAACGTAGCTTGCTTGGCAACATCATATGCTTTCGCCCCGCCATTTTTTTCACATTTTTCTCTAAGCTTGTTTTCTGCTTCCGTAATAGGCAAGGCTGAAGTATTGAGGTTTTTGATGTCAGATAAGTTGGTAAGATTCAAGTTCAGATTCGGAATATTGAGAACCTGGTTGACCTTGGCCAGAGCATCTTCAACATTTGTTGGTATAGTTTGTGCAGAAGCTAGACACAATAGCCCGACAACTGAAATAATATTAATTTAATTTCTATTGAGACTGATTACATTAAAAATGATAGTATATATTAAAAAGTGTGAAAAACACAACATTAAAAATCAAGATTTTTCAGAATGGCCAGTCAGTGCAATATTTTTGTTCTTTTTTTATTTATTAATTTTCTCGAAAAAATTCTGATCGATGCAAATGCGAGTAGTAATAAATTTCGAAATTATTGGTAAATTTGACGCAACAAAAGTAGAAAAGAATGTAATATTTTTAATACGGCTTTTATTTCATTAAATAAAAGTTTAAAATATGAACGCATTCATAAATAATCTACGTAGAAATTTAAAAAAAATGTTTACATTGACATAAAATATTGAATCTTGCACAGAAAATATCTTATAAACTTGAAGAAAGTAAGCTTCGTTTGTTTTTCTCGGCGCCGAAAAGATAAAGTAATCTAATACATATTTAATGTTTTTACAGTAAAATAATACATGCACATTATACGTTGGAATATATTCATATACTACAGAAGTCGCATTTACGCGAGTAAAGAGAAGGCTTCTGTATTATATATACATTCTGGGCATTCTATATCTAGTTTAAAGATAACTTGAACATTCGATGCACGATGATTAGTTGTTGATATTTTTTTTAAATACAGTGTACCAAACTGAAAGAGCAATTTAATCATCAATCGTAATCACAACGATTATACTAAGCTCTAAGAATTTTATGTCTCTGAAATTACGATTTCAGATAATTTTAGTTTTTATCATTCAATGAATTTTATTTATTAACTATTTTTCCAAGTTTATATTCTTTCATAAATGATGTTTTATAAAATGATCAAATAACTTCTCGTATAAATTATTTAAATTGTTATCAATCGTAAATTATTAAAATGAGGCCGTTAGTTGTGTGTACCGAACAGTAATGGAAGTATTTACTACGAGAATGAACTGTGACCCTAAGCTGAGAAAGTTATCGGAAATTAATCACATGCCACTGATCACAACGCATATATTCGACTATTCAAAGCATCTAATACAATTTATTTATTTTGGATCAATTTAACTTATTTTCAAGATGAACTTAAGTTATTGTATCGATCTAATTTTTTGTCAAATATGAAAATCAGTTTTTAGGAACGTAAATTCGATTCCTAGATGCAAACATTTAATTTTCTAAATATCTTATGACTGTCTACATTATTCAAATTTTATTTATTCGTTAGAAAAAAGAATATATTTATCTAATCTGTTTTCGATTACGAGAATTTTTATCACTAATATTCGATAAAAATAGAATAAATCCAAATCAAGTCCGCCAAAGGAACTACAAAACATACTTCAATATGTAAAACGACCAAAAGTGCTACAATAACCGGTCTTTTCATTTCTATTTAATATCGTCTTTTGGGTAATTTCCAACTATTTAACAAAAAACCCACATTTTCACGAGCATACTTCAGCCCAAAGTATTGTTTTGATCTTGATATATTTAAAAAAAAAATCCAAAAAAATATATTTAGTAGAATGTCGATTGTTCAAAAATTGTTTAATGCATGATGAGTCACGAATGTTTTTCTTTTTCTTTTGAATAAAACAATGAACACTAATTTTTAATTGAAACGTCCACACAAATTTGTTCGATGCGATGAAGATTGCACATGCACTCGTCCACTTACGACATAAGAATTATTTCAAATATCATCAATAACACCTTTAACTTACAGGCAAAAGCAACTGCGAACATCTTCATATTGTTGAACTTGGTAAAAACAGTTTTCAGAATAAATATTTTGAAAGCCCTCGACTGTTACTTTGGTTGGTAAACTAAAGTTTACAAGTTTTCGACTACTGAATAGCCGTGTGCCTCCCGTGAGACGTTTACCTCGATACTGAGCGCGGTCGATTGCCGCCTTGGATCGTCTTCAAAGTTCAGCCCGCGCCGTATATATACATACTCGCACAACCTGTCTCTTTCTATCCTTCGCTTTGGACTAGAAACTCTGGAAGCCGTATTTTGTCCGTTAAGACTGCTCATGCCAACTCCGTATGTTTTCTGATACGTCAGTATGCGCGCGCACCCCTGTTTGATAGTTTATGTTTCAAATTCGCAGTTATAAGCAACTTTTTCTTTTTATTGTAATTGTTTTTCTAATTATATTTAGAAATATTTTGCTCAAAATATCAATGAAATATCTTGCATCAGTACTCAACTATTAAAGTCAAAATATTTTTTGAAGCTATTTTTGAGTTTTTACTTTTAATTTTCATTTTATATTTTTATGTAGTTACGTGTTAAATTGTAACTTTAAAATTTAATTTTAATTTGCATTTTGCCCTGAACGGAAATAATGCAAATTAATACAAAAATTATCTTAATTTTAAAAATTTTGATTGCAATTGGAACAGCTTTTTGTCGGACAAGAACATAAAATATTAAAACTCACAAAAAAAAATATAAGACCCTCATATTACTCATCATTTGAAACAATGGATTTACAATTTAGGCAAAAAGACGCTCATTTTCATTGAAAACGAAGTCCTTTGTACGCTGTTTATTAAATTTAAACTGTAATACCATGATTATATTGAATATTCGCTGATTGACTTTGAATGCCCGTGAATAGTGTGTTACTAGCTTCAGAGAAATTGGAAAAAATTTTTTTTTAATTTTTTTTGGGGATGGTTTTTGAATAGATTTCAGATGAGTAAATTTTTATATTAGGCAACAAAGCAGTTGTAAGAAATTCGTTTCTTTGAAATAAAAGAACATCTGTTTTATTTCAGAGTAACACGAATCCCGGTGTACGATATTATATCGATGAAAGAAGCTATTGTTCATTGTAGGTGTCAATCAGGGATTTCTCAACTCCCCTTAAAAATTAGTTCACGATTCATAGACGTTGTATGTATTAATTTTTATTCAAATTCATTCTATAATCTTTTTAATTTTTTTCTGTTGAAACAATCATCAATAACAGCAAATTTGTAATATTGAATTTAGTATTATAAAACGTGGAAGATAAATTTTATACATAGTTAGCGAAATTTTTATTTTACGAAAATGACAATGTTTAACTTCTGGCGTAAGTTTTAGTATTGGGTTTTAATAACTCCTTTAATATATTATGATTGTACTTCCGCAAAAATTTCTACGAATGATACACATAACTGAACTCATTTGTATTCTATAAATTGTACATTTCACATTTTTTAAAATACGCATGTAAAAAATCCAATGCAAAAAATAAGCATAACTTTTAACTTCAGTATAAAAGTTGAGATCATGTTTCAAAATTATATTATATCTTAAATTTTTTTAGATTGCATTATGGTGTAAAGATTATCAATTTTATACCTTAAACTTTTAATAAATAGCAAAACTTCGACTAAACAATATAAATTATCTAATGTTAGTTCATTTTTAATTGGGTTTTAGAATTAAGAACAATAATTTTACCTAAAAAAGTCACGATCAATTAATTTAAAAATAAATATGCTTCAATAAGATGTGAAATTTAAAGTATTGCTGACCTTTGGTGTACGTATTCTATACTATTCTCTATTCTATAAGAGCCCCTACGGTAATTCATCACCACTCTAATTTTTAAAAACTCTTAAAACCTCTTTGAAAGTCTGAATAAGTCTTAAAAATTATTATAAATGTTCGGATTTCGTACCGTGATTTTTAAGAGTTAATAAAACTTTATAAGAGTTTTAAATGATATAAATGGTGCATTATTTCAAAAGTGTGATATTTGGAGTGGGTAAAATGGGCAATATTGGAAAAACCGAAAAACTTACTTTCTTCTATTTTGGGTTTAATTTTTCCGGACCCCCGTAGTTTCTGACACTTGATTCTTTGTTTTTTCATGGAATATTTACTTTTTATCGGCCATCATCTTATGCGTTTATTTTCTTATTGCAAACATGAAAATTTTTCACGGAGGGGACACTCACGGAGGGGACAAATCGCACTTTTATGAAATTTCACGGCGACAGACGAAGTTGAACATTTTTTTCCGATGATCCACAAAAATTGTTTGTAAAAACGAACGTTTTTATGCCACCAGAGTCAAAAACAAAAAGTGCTAGCTCGAAAACTCGTCGATCACGGAGGAGACACTTTATTTTACTATTACGATTTTCGTGTGCAGCTATTGTTATAGCGAAGCTGCAATTAAGATTTGAATATTCTACGGATAAAAATCGAGTACCTTAGTTCTGAAAGATAACCCTCTTATAGTTAGAGAGGTCAAAATGACTGTCCAGCATGTTTACTGGCCATATATTTAAAATGATGTAAAATTTTACATAATTTAAGGACACATTTGTTACTCATGTACAATTGTTTTGAGACTATTTAAGATGACGAGTAATGCAAAAAAACTTTCTTTAGGATGTATAGAATAGGGCCCATGTACCACAATATTGCTGGATATTTATAAAAATGTGTTTAATGAATGAACACAATCGATTCTGAGTTCAGGGCTGATCACGGAGGGGACATTTTGTATGTTTATCCGGCTGGCAAATCAATGTGGTCTTTATTGATGGAAATTTTATAGTTGCGGAAGGTAGAATTCGGTAAAATGAAAGGTTCTACCGTCTTAGTTTTCATTTTTTTAAAGTTTCCTAATAGCTACAATAACAAGACATGTCATATCACGCTTTTGAAATAATGCACCAAATAAATTTTAAAAATTTATGTGAAACCTGATATTTGGTTTCTGAAATGTTCAGACGGGTTAGGCAATCTCTTATATAATTTAAAAAAATGTTTACGAGTGACAATAGTTGTTATAAAGAGTTATTAAGAGCTATTAATTGTTGATAAAAGTTTTCAATATTTTTAAAGTCTTTCTTTATCATTATCCACGCTCACTAAAAGTCACGGCGAGAGAAATATACCAGCAACTATATGAACAATATAGAAAAAATAAAAAAAATGAAAAAAAAAACTTGACTTTTTTGCTGAAAAATTGAGTCTCCTCAAGATTTTGTGAATTTTTAAAAACTCTCATTAACTCTTTAAAATCATTAATCAGGTTTACGAAACTCGAACATTGGTGAAACTTTTTAAGACTTTTTTAGACTTTATAAAAATTTCTCATGAGAAAAATTTCTGTCGGGGAGTGGTGAGGTTTTTAACATGAGAAGTTTGTAGTAGCTACGATTGATCATTCAGCAGCTTGGTATTAAAGGTTTAGTGGCGCGCGAATACGAGTGTTGTAATAAATGAAAAATGTGGTATATTAATTTATTGACGGCTTGAGAATAATTTTAATAGATTTTCTAGAGAGGGCGTTAGTGCGAAAAAATCAATCCATTGTGTATTTACACAGTTTTGTAATACATAATCTTTTTTTTTTTTTTTTCTATTTCAAATATTAAATTTTATAAATCAAAAATGACAAAGCTGAAAAAGATAAAAGAGAGCGCATGGAGCGTGCTGAAAGTAGGACTAGTCTCCTTCTATAAGTAAATTTTGGTTGTTTCTTACTAAAGTTATAGCAAATGTAGTTTATTAAAACCATGGTTTTGAAAAGAGTCTATTATGAACTGTATAAAACATTTTTATATGTAAAAAACGGTTTTCATTGGCAAAAATTAGTTCCAAATATTATCGAATTTTTGAAAAAATAACTTGAGGATTAATTAACAGGTTCATTGAATTTTATTTTTATAATTCAATTTTACAATATCTTATTTTGTGATTACAAGGAGTAGAATTTGAAAAAAAATAATGATAATGAAACTTAAGCATATTAAATTCAGTGAATGAACGTGAAAGAAATATTAAACAAAGCTCGTTTACGTAAAAATTATAAGAGTTTTTACACCTTTTAAACATACAATTTTTGCAGATAAAAATTTAGTGATAATATTATGATTATTTAAAATTTTCAAAATTGATATCAATGAAAATTAAGAAAAAATTTGTGCAATTTTGATTACAATTTATACGCGTTGCGCATCATCAAATCAAAATATGCGTCGTTATCAATACTTGCACTAATAGCGCTATAATAGTTAAGGAATTCTTCGAAAGTAACCTAAAATTAGAATATTAAAATTCATTATCTTTTTACATTTCGAAAAGTTGTAACTATAAAAGTTAATTGAAGAACTTACTATTCCATTTTTTGTGGCATTTTGTTCAAAATTAGCCAAAAATTTGTTCATTATGCTTTCTTCACTTTCTTCTCCGCTTATGTATCGAGGGTGATATTTCACATTATATACTCCTTTTAAATCGTCGATATTAATTTCTCTATCACCTGTTTTATCTAATTTTTCGAAAGCCATTTCTACAAGTTTTTTTCTGCTTTCATTCATAGGTGGCTGTATTTAAGAAATAACAAAAAAATTTTTTAACGTGATTTTCAAAATCATTTTGAGATCAAATCTTACTCGAACAGCGGTGATGAACTCGTCGATGTTAATGCCTCCACTGCCATCAGTATCTAATTTAGTAAAAAGTTGACTGACTTCTTCGTCTGAAACTTCTAGTCCACTTTCCCTCAAGCCATCGCTTAGTTCCTGTTCATTCAGTTGTTTATTTCCGTCTTCGTCCATACGACGAAAAACTCTAAATTTAAAAAGTTTCAATGAATTTCGGTAAAGAAATATTTGTTCTGTGATTTGTTTAATTTTATGAGCATTCTTTTCAGTAGTCACCAGGTAACGACAAAGAAAATGAATCGAAAGATGATAAACTGGATTTTATATGTTGTATATATTTTTTAACCTTATTCGATGTAGTTTAACTGTGCGATCGGATAAAACCTGATATTATAAAAAAATATATTTGTTGAAATAAAAATCTATACATGGGTTTATCACAATAAACGAGGAAAATGTTTAAAAAATTTTCAAATTCAAGTGCATACTTGACCTTGGAAAAATGCTAGTCTTCGTATGGGTCTTAAAAATTATTAAAAACAAAATTTGCAAAAATTCTTATATACAATTATTTAAAGTAGTAAAGTAATAAGTTCTTATTTTTTAAAAGCATTTAAACGGATTGAGTTATGACTAATGCTCATTCTAAGTGCCTAAACATATGCACTATGTGAATAAAAATGTTGTAAACGAGTACTGATCAAAAAGTCATTTCCAAATCGTCAGTGTCTGAAGAAATAAAATAAAACTAAACTATAAATGGTATACTTTTAATTATGTTGTGAAAAAGAGCTCAAGGATCGGCATAAAAATAAAATTCGCCATTTATAAGCGACCGGTGTACAGTAGCTTTACTATCAACGAAAGGTTGTGAACTTGATACGAAGAAAGTCTTTGCCACAAAGACATATTAATAATTAAATTATGCCCCAGAGAATCTCATACACATATGTCACTTTGCTCACGTCACCTTCATGCACTTAAGTTACATTAATGTAATTGACTTTTCGATGCTTCCTAAACTGTCGTAGTCTGATGAATTGAATATCATTTTTGAGATTGTTCAAAGAACCAACAATTTTTAATTATAATAAATCATTTTTAATCTCGAATTTTTCAAACACGTTTAAATAAGTTCATAGTATGAATCGATTGTTTACGCTTGAAAGAGTTCAATTTATCGATATGAATTAGAAATATATAAAAGTACTTACCTGCCGAGACCAAGGATGCCATGGGCACCTCGGGCAAGGCAGAGCAAACGTAATTTCTCGATGATATCCGTTGTGTTGATCGCAGCCCGCTGGGCCTTATTGATCAGCTCGGTCTGTTGTCTGGTTGTAGCACTTTGCGGCCTGTTCAGCATCCCTACTCCACAAAATTCAATGAGTCATCAGCGGTTGGCAATTGTATGTCATATATACACACATATATATACAACTTAACACAGATACGCTATCGAGTATGACTTTTGCTCGAGCAGAAATGTTACTTTCGCATGCTACTACCATGTGTAGAATACTTAGGCCGAGAGAGTGTCTGGAGAATAAGTGAGGGAATTGTGTTGTCTTAGATTCCATAAATAGTCGATGCAGGTAATTATGCCGACTTTGGTGCATGATTTGGATTTTTATCCAGTGACGGCATTTCCAATATCTTTTACTTTTCTATGATCTAATGTCATTCAACAAATTCACGTAAATGAATATTCAGGTCTATTAAAAATATTTTATACTAATACCATTTACAAGTCGATACCTATAAATTGTGCTATAGTCCGATTCAAGAAGAAGTGGATTTTAGAATTCTACCATATAGTTTAATTACAAATTAATAAATTATTGCACTGTGTATTTTTTATACTTTGTGATTATAAATTAGTCAGTACATTATGTATAAAAAATTGAACATGATAAAATTTTAAAGGACGTACTCATATCGCTGAGACGTATCGATTGCATGCACGATTCATCAAAAATATTATGCATTTTCGATGATAATCAAGCATTACTGGTTGAGCAAATTAAGAACTGCTGTAATTTGAAAATAGTACAAACCTCAAATTTATTATTTCATTGCGTAGCCGGTACAATTTGAAAGCGTTCGGATAAACCCAAAAAATAATAAGTATATATTAATTATTAAGCGTTTACAAGATAATCTTAAAACTTTTATAATAATTCAAAAATATCTCCACAATAAAAACGAGAAACTTTTAATTTTTAATTTTAAAAAATGATAGTTTCATTACAGTTTAAAATTTTCTTTAAAATTCATTAAAACATAAAACTAAATGATCAGAATCAAGTCAATTCAAAATTCAAAGCCCCCTAGGTGGCTATGCGATTGAGCTTGCGAGCTTCAAGCACCCTCGTGTTTACAACGAAAAACCTGTACATTATTAATTTATGTTAAAAATCGATACCAGTTACTCTAAAAGGGAATTATGCACGAAATCTTTTATAATTAATTTGAAAATTTAATCAAAAAACCAGACGTGCTTTTACGAAAAAGCTCTGTACATGGCCAGGTTATTTGAAATTTTATACTCACCGGAATTTTCGACGGAGAAAAATTTTTTAAACTTTTAGTTTCACACTGTTTTCACAACTGGTTCAACGGCTTCGTGGACAGTCTACGATGGCAAGTGGACAAGCGTTCAGTACTGGAAAATGCAAAAGTGGCGCATTTAAACCGCGCACCTCGCGCGAAATGCGATAATAATGTAAAGTAGGTAAAGGCGCATACGGCTATGTGTGCATGCGCGGCAAGGAGACACAATACGTATGCACGAGTGAGCCATTGGTTTTTTTTGTTACATATATAATATATATGGTAGGTGTACTATCTGTCTATAAAAGCTACGAAGCACCTATCGCCATAACAACGAATATGTCACAACAGCGATTTGCAGAAGAATAGAGCTATGAGTTCCTTCCTTCCTGCACGTTCATAAAGTCGTATTAAATTTATTGTCTCTACGGGTGCGTAAAAGGATGAATTTACTTAGATTAAGATAAATCAAAAGACAAATAACCTGTGGGCTCCTATGAATATTTTAATAAGTAAATTACTTACTTAAAATTAATTAAGAATTTTTAAATTACTTTTTCAAAATTAAAATTTTTAGACCAGCTCTGGAACTGTTTTATCATGACTTGAATGTAAAATTAGTTCAAACTGCAAATACTACATTTGAATAATTATCTTAAATTTGATATTTGTTGAATATAAGGTTTAAATTTCAAAACTTGAAGAATTGGTAATATTTTTGAATTTCGAAGTTATGTATGTTAAAACGCAATAATATATCCGATTATTATCATATAAAATTTAAACCACTTTTTTTGCTGATTATATTCTGCGTAAAAAGCTCAACACGCCACCATGGGATATGTTGGATGGTTGAATTTTTTTACGCGCGAAGCTTACATCTGCTCGAAAAGTATGGAAATTTTTATCATTTGATTTTTCTTAATATTTACAAAAAATGATCTGTCAGAATAAAAATGAATAATATTCATGATGAAATAATATAACTCAGGGTAATTTATTAGATAATTAATACAAATATGAACAGCATGCAGTCTGGCACAGGCGAGCTCAGAGGCAACTAAACGTGGTGTCACATGAGCATAAAACCCTTGACACACGCAGCAGTTGTAGTGTACCTCCATTGTTTTGCTTAGCAAAAGCCTAAATCGAAGTCAACGGCACTTGTAATATACACATAAAACAATTCATTCGTAAAATATTTCCATTTTAACTTCGCCATAATTAACATTTAAGCCAAAAATGTAATCTTACATGCAGTCGATCAATATTTAGTTCACATTGTCATTTTCTATCCACAAAAAGTATAGATTATACGCTAGTCGAAAAAACAATTATTTACAAAGAAAAAAATTTTTTTATATATTAAAATTATTTCATTTGATACTTTTGCGTATAAATTTACTTTTAATAAAAATAATAAAGACTAACTTGTAAATTCGAAATCACTCAATGTACACTCAAACATTGTAAACTCAAAACCTCTCAATTAGTGAAAATCACTAATTGTTATTATATAATAACTATTACTAGTTGTTGAAAAATTGCAACAAAATGAAATCATCACTTTATAAACGAAAATATCTTAAAAAGAAAATATTCTTTTGAGAAATGCTACAGTTATGACCCTGATGAATGATGTCACAATTTACTTGGATGTCGGTATGGTTTCATTGTGCAGGTTTAATAAGATTTTTATTAAAATTATTTAATTTTTAATTACATAGAAAAATAAAACTTTAATTCATTACTTAATACGTCGAATCTAATAATTATATAAATAGAATCAAGAAAAGTCTATAATTAAGGAATATTTTTATTTCTTAAAGTTAACACATAATTTACAGTATTGGATTATACAAGCAATAAATATCTCGCGTTTCTACTAATTAACAAAAACAACTCATGTACGTTTCTTAAATACATATTGAGAGCATTCGATGATAAACAGATGTGATTTTAGCCAGTATCTTATATTATAAAAAAAAGTTTACTATACACGTCAAGTAATGAAACACTCAATATGACAAGATATACTGCATAAGATAAACATTTTCACAAGTATTGATGTAAAGGAATCATATTGTTACGTCTTTAACAAAAAAATTTTGATAATAAATGAAGAAAGAGCAACTAAGCTAGATAAATAGGTTTATATCAATTTATGGCATCATTACAAACATTAAAAATATTCATAAAACCACACTCCTAGTGTTCATTTCCAAAAAAATTGAATGAAACTATTAAAAATTAATAGAATGCTGTTTTGTGAAAAATACGATTTAATTATTTGATCTTTTAAAAATGTTTTAATTGAAAATTGGAAATTGGAAATATCTTGCGTTTCTATATCCTTCACGTTTACGAAATATTCAGTCCTATCATTTATTTTTTATCAAATACAAATAATTTTTTTTGCAAAACTGTCACATTTAGTAAATGTTTATTATTAAATAAGAATGTTATTTAATGAATTTTTACAATAAATAGCATACGATGATATCTCTTCAGTACAGACATAAAGATAATTATTTTTCTTTCCTGATATATCTTCAATTTTATCACGAATGATTATCAAAATTATTTTCAATTTATGAATTATGAACTTAAACGAAAAATCAACGAACTGCAAATATTTTAAAAGTTACAGATAAAAAAATGATGAACGATTTCTTTGAAAAATAGTAGTGGTGCATTATAATTTTACTTAAATTTAAATAAAACATAGTTTGTTTCGTTTTGGCGCAAAAACATGTATAATTAATTTTCATTTGGAATCAGGTCATTGTAATTACTAATAAGTTGTAAAACTTGACAGTAAAGACAATTGAGTTTTTAAATACTACATAAAACATAATTAATATTAAAAATAAAAATGAATTTTTATTTTTAACTCTTTTATTATAAAAAAAATGTTACTAGAATTGGCCACAATATTGCCCATAAAAAAAGTTTTCAACTAGAAATTTTTTTTTGTTACTTTCTCTCTATTTTGCCTATACGAGTAAATGAATTTGTGAGATTCTTAAGGTTATTTTCATCGCCATGAGATAATTTACCAAAAGTTCAGCCTCAAGCCGTTTGATTCTTGAGTCACAATTTGTTTGATATGATACTTGCAATTGTGATAAATAAACCAATCCCTTTCATCTTTTAAATCTTCAAGTTTAACAATTAAGTATCAAAATTTCATGAAACTAAAACGACTCCAAAGCTATTCTTGAAACTTCTTTTCGACATTACGTAAATTGGTAAAGGGTATTATCGGAGAGTTTTTGTTAATTTGTTGACGTCATGAAAAGTCGTTTTAAATCTAACACAAAAAACAGATTCATCAATTATAGGAACATTTTCAATTCAAGCCACATAGCATAAAGTGATTGATTCCACTTGTATAACTAAATTAGCTTTTTGAATTTTGCACATTTAAATAGTTTTGGTTTCCTAAAAAACCTCATGGAATGATACAAACAAAGTGTAGGTTTTTTATTTCACTTGTAAAGAATTTCTATTCGCAAAATAAATGATAAAACAATTGAGAAATGGGTATAACACGCTTGTTTCTGGTTTCATCCTTGTACTATTTTCCACAGTGCTTGTCTATTTTGGCTATTGACCAACCATTTTAAATCTAAAATATATGGTCATATCACGTATCAGAACGTTGTAAGAAGTTTACGAAATTATTGGAATCCATTTGTTTCAAACATGTTTTTTCTTTACTTTTAAATTGATGGTCACTTTTTCAAAGTCGATTAACTGTTTTTTTGTCAATCAATATTACTTTTGAGGCAAAACATTTCAAGATGTCATAAATATAAATATTAATTGTCGTCGCTACGACTCATTGAAAAATATACATTGTTTTTTTAATGAAAAACAATTTTTTAATTTTAGTTTATATCGTAAAAACAGTAGTTAATTATTGCGTATCATCAATAATTTAATATAACAATTTTACAAAGTAAAAAAAGTAATTTAATCTACTGTAAACATCGAAATTTATTCACAATAACATATTGTGTCTATTGAACCAGTAATTCTACTCATTGCAATCATTCAAGTTGAACCGTGTCGAAGATTTAAGATTACAAACACTTTCCAGTATGAAGGCGCACGTATTTTTTACAAGAAGCCTGAAAGAAGGGAATAAAAAAAGGATCAACCTTGAAACCTTTTGTTTGTGTGAGCGAAAACCTTTATTAACTCTGAGATCCGGGGCGTATAAGCACCGCAGCACCCGTTTGAGCAATGTCATTATAGACTAGCGTGCAATGACCAGCGACATAACTATAGTGTTTTCTTATTTTCGTTTTTTGTCATTATTTATTTATTATATTTACCTTAATGTCGTTCAATAAAAAAATTATACATACATATGGGTCAGATTCAGAATTTTTCAAATAAACCTGCGGGCGAGGTTCACGGATTTTCCTGAAATTTTGGTATGTTATAGTACATGATAAAAAAGTGCCAAAACCAAAATTTTGGACCCCCTCCCCCCTCCTACCCCCCTCCTCCCCTATAGACGTCCATTTTCTATCTATATTTTTTCTGAAGGCCTGAAGCTATTAAAAAATCTGAAAAAATTCATGAAGGTACTTTTCAACAATCCAAACAATCTTGAATTTTTTCAGATTTTTCGAGTGCTTCAGGCCTTCAGAAAAAATCATTGAAAATTTAAATTATTTTATTTTCGGTGAAATGGTTCGATGTACCAGACCGGAGTATTTTTTTCTGAATTCTGACGTCAAAAAACGATTCCTTGAATTTTTTCAGAATTTTTCATTCATGTCCATTCAGCCTAGAGCTGAAAAACCGCTTTTTTTCACGAAAATAATTTTTTTAAGGCGCTATGGAGCCTCAAAAAATCTGGAAAAATTTTTTTCTCATTTTGTTCATCAAAATACATAATCTCAAATTTTTTCAGATTTTTTAATTGAAGGCGATAGCGTCTGGAGCCGAAAAACGTTATTTTTAACAAAAAAGGTTCCTGGAACCCGATGGTTCCGGTAAAAAAATTTGAAAAAATTTTTTTTGAATTCCTTGTCAAATTTTAATAAATTTTGACCGTCGCAAAATTTCGATTGGAGCTTCCTAGCTCATTCTAGAGCATAACAAAGATTAATGCGAAATTCTGAAGACATCTGAAAAAAATTTAAATATGATGAATGTCTTCAGAATTTCGCATTAATCTTTGTTATGCTCTAGAATGAGCTAGGAAGCTCCAATCGAAATTTTGCGACGGTCAAAATTTATTAAAATTTGACAAGGAATTCAAAAAAAATTTTTTCAAATTTTTTTACCGGAACCATCGGGTTCCAGGAACCTTTTTTGTTAAAAATAACGTTTTTCGGCTCCAGACGCTATCGCCTTCAATTAAAAAATCTGAAAAAATTTGAGATTATGTATTTTGATGAACAAAATGAGAAAAAAATTTTTCCAGATTTTTTGAGGCTCCGTAGCGCCTTAAAAAAATTATTTTCGTGAAAAAAAGCGGTTTTTCAGCTCTAGGCTGAATGGACATGAATGAAAAATTCTGAAAAAATTCAAGGAATCGTTTTTTGACGTCAGAATTCAGAAAAAAATACTCCGGTCTGGTACATCGAACCATTTCACCGAAAATAAAATAATTTAAATTTTCAATGATTTTTTCTGAAGGCCTGAAGCACTCGAAAAATCTGAAAAAATTCAAGATTGTTTGGATTGTTGAAAAGTACCTTCATGAATTTTTTCAGATTTTTTAATAGCTTCAGGCCTTCAGAAAAAATATAGATAGAAAATGGACGTCTATAGGGGAGGAGGGGGGTAGGAGGGGGGAGGGGGTCCAAAATTTTGGTTTTGGCACTTTTTTATCATGTACTATAACATACCAAAATTTCAGGAAAATCCGTGAACCTCGCCCGCAGGTTTATTTGAAAAATTCTGAATCTGACCCATATATATTAGCTAGTCGAACAGAGACAGTAAGAAAATTCGGAATTTAATTTTGCGATGTATCGTTACCAGTGCCGTCGACGTAAATAAACTGATTTGACATTTAAAACACTATTGTTCTAAGTCTCGAACGTCGATGATGATTTCGAAATGTGCAGCTTATTTACAAAACATTCAAAAGAACGGATGCATTCTGTGATCAATGTACTTTTTTTGTAAATTTCCATATGGTTAAAAATCGGCACGAAGTTCATTGCTCTCGCTGCATAGAATCATCAAAAATATCCTTGAGTGACGTCATGCAATACGTTATGCTCGTACTTTTTCCACGACATGCTATGCACACGTTCATTCTGTTGAAAAAAGAACCACCGTAATTCCTGGCGCGTGCAAAACATTGTACGTAATTGAACGAATTCTCATCCAATTACCATAATATAACTTCTTGTGTTTACAAAATAAATCGAAGAATACGATTATTGAAAGGAATAACAAAAGTCTTTGCCGCGTCGAGAGGAGAAAAGCTGACCAGGATGATGGCGAACGGCCTTGAGATGAAACGAGCGCGGCGCGTCGCTTTGTCTCTCCGTAATCGAATGACGATCGCGGTAGCTGCTCACACGCGCATATAACGCACACTACGTTAGTGGCGTTAATCTTACCAAAACAACAATCGTGCTTATGATGCGCCATCTGATAAGCAGGACATTACTATTCATGCAGGCTTGGAACTGCGCGCAGCGCCGATTCTGCACTGCTCGAGCACAAGATGTAGCCGCGCGAATTCTTTACACCTCCCCGATACTTTACTCGTTTCTTTACTTTCTTGCTATTTCGGTTACTCACATTGTTTTCAGCATCTCATTTCAATTTACATTACATCAGGAAACTCTCTAGGAAAACTCATTCCTTATGAATCGTTTCAATAAAAAAAGAAATGTAACAATGTTCCGGAAATTATGCATAATCTACCATGCTTCAATGGATCGTTTTGAATACGATGAAGAATGACGCAGGTTCAATAATTACAGATTAAAATTACCACAAAACGATTATCGTAGCATAGTTTGTCTAGACTATTAATTACCAAGTTTACTCATAATTCATGTTTACGATATTCAAAAAATCAAATGGTATCTTTTTATCTTTTTTAAGCTGTCCTTCAATATAAGTTGAACTTCACTGTTATAAGATGAAAATTGTTACTTCTCCATCACTTTTGTATACTTCTTAAATTAATTATTCTCATAAACATACTTGATAGGTCGTTACCCGTGAGATGATTGTGCAGGAAGCGATTGATGCAGATCAATTTGATTCGTCATTATAAGATTGTGGAAAATTCCGATGCTACTGGTGACAATATAATCTTTTCTGATAGTCAAAAGGTTATTCATATTATATTCATGATTTTGTTATAGATATTCAAAAGATTTTTGAAACGAAAATCCTAATAAGAATGTGCATATTTTAATAACTAACAACAAAAACTTGATGGGTTTATTAGCTTTTTATTTTTGAACATTAAATAATTTGGATAGTCAATACTGTAACATATACAAAAAGTATATTTTAATTTTATCAGCACGTTCGCACAATTCTTTTTTATTATTTATTAAATGCACAACTATAGTCCATACCGCATCACTTTCTACTTCATAATAGTTTTTGCTTTTGATCACCTAATACTTTACGGTTTATTGAGTAGAATAATTAGACAAATCGATATGCTCGAACGCATCTGCTTAGTTTTTCTGAAAGAGTAAACTTTTCAAATTAAGCAAATATTGACTGGTTGACGTGAAAAAGTGTGACCACACGCACTCCACAAAACATAGCTAGCAAATATTGATTAAATATCAATCAACGTCCGATTACATAGCTGTACGGTTAACAGAAAATTGGAATTCGAAGCTGATGATTCACCAAGTACATGGGCAAGCTATTGTAAATTCACGTACGGGATTCTCGCGACAACGTGCAGTTGCGATGTACTTATCGATGGATTTCCAAAGCAAACGACGAATAACTGTCAGTTGTATACATCAGCATCTAAAACAGAGAACTCGAATGCCACCGTTCGGCGTATCGTCGAAGACTGGACTTACTGCAACCTGCTACTAGCCATATACGATACGCACCCTTTGTTCGACAGTGTAGTTTGTATAATCGGCGACACTCGACTGGTGCATTACTTACCACCGCATGAACAGTCTCATTGCGATTCCAAAAGTCAGTGGCACGGTTGACCGGCTACTTTTTATAGAATTATTTACTTTTTATAGAATTAGAAATTGGAATCTTTGTGACTTCGTAATTCAATAAAGTGTTTATTTTTATTTTATCAAAAAAAATACACATACACACAAAACTTTTTGATACAGTTGTTATTAATTTAACAATTTGGTTTATTAGTACTCGGATACATAGTTCTTCTGTTGATAATGATATAATAAATTTATTTTTTCAGACATTACGGCGATCGAATGAGCACAAATTTCATACTAGACAAGAAACGGCTCTAAGAAATAACTTATACGTCCATCAAAACTTTTTGTGAAAAATAAGTCGCTTACATACGCACAGTTTATGCAAATTTTACTTACTTTGTTTTTATTCCATCTAATAATGAAGTACTGTTGCACTTATGAATGTTATTATAATTACGTAAGACATATCGTTTATGCGTTATAATATCGACAAGCCACGATTTTTGTTGTAAAAACAACTGCTTATCATTTCATCAAATTTTTCTTTTCATTGCAGCATTCAGTATAATCGTAGTTTTACTGGGAATCGTTGTACTGGCCAAAAATAGATGTATAAATAGAAAACGCAACTATGACCAATATTACAATGATTGAACTAAATCATTTTAATTGTCGTTATGACAAAAATTATCGGAAAACAGATCAAATTGACTACCATCAATGGGTTTTTCTATGAATGATTGAGAAAATTCGCGAACGAATCGCGGAAATTCTATAGCATCGCAGAAGTAAGAAAAAAATTTCCGCAAACGCTCGGTTCAACAATTGACGTCATAAAATGCTCTTAAGCTCGATCATAATGATCATTACCATTAGGCATCACCATGACTCGTTTGGCGTCGATCTACAAGTTTTTCTGTGATTCAAGCGCACGCAAGTGATTTTGCGTGGTTAATTTTTACATGAACTTTTAGTGCACTGCTTCGTCTATATGACTATAAATGAAATGTTCAATAGACCTGGTACGAGTATTGTAATTCTAAAATGTATATCAACATTTGTCTCAGGAATTTTGGGGGCTCACTCAAATGATTTGTGATTTTTCTAAGGTAAATGACCTAGACGGTATTTTGAAGTCCGCCAAACAACATCTCACTTGGCACATCAAGAATCATTTCTTCTGAAAAAAAATAATAACAGACGATTCAAACTCGAAATGCACAAAAGTTCACTCTATTATCATCTATTCATGCATAAATTTTATATCAAAATCAAATCGTTAGGTGGCAACCGGTTCGTAACTATAGAATTTTTTCAAAAACAATAAATTAAAAACTTCGTTCCGATGCCCCCCCCCTAAAAAAAAGCACGAAAAAAGCTTTTACGCTATTGTACACAAGACCCAGAACTTTGAAAAAAAATTGAAGGAGGGGATAAGGAGTACGAGGGTCTCTTATTGAGTCCCAAGCCTCGGCTCGAGAAATAGATATATATACATACGTGTGCGGTATACGTATGTATATATAGATAGTTTGAAGCGGGACGCGAGTCCAGTAGCATAAAAGCGCGCAGACACCTGTTCCCCCTTCATTGCTATAAGTTTCTCGATCCTGAAAAGAGCGCATTTGTTGTTTCTTCATTGTTGACTAGCAATATAAAGTTTATTGTTTACTCGCAAATAGGCTCAGACAGCAGCTTTGAGAGCAGCTTTTGAGCTGATCTTTAGTGTAATCAACGAAAAAAGCTCGGCTGATCGTTATTTTTTAGTGTCACTATTATTTAGCAGAAAAGTGAGTAATCGTACCTATATGATTGTGTTAAAATAAGTGCTCATTCTCGTTTCAATTGTGGTTTCATTTCAAAATCAAAGATTTTGTTGTCAAATTATTGACAAAGTGTGTTTTTCTCATTGATTTGTGTTAATCGTTGATGAAAAATTTGGCACGATAATTTAAAATGATTTTAGGATAGTGGTATTAGTTTTATATAAAAATCAGTAAATTGTTTTTAACGCTGACAAGAATGTTTTATTCAAAGATGTTTCAAAACAATTTATTCCTACGCCCTGGCTTGAAAGGAAAAAGGATTTCATACAGCCTATCGCGTTTCAATGATTACTCCAAATGAATTTAAATAGTTGAGCGGTGAAAAACTTGTTTTCTTTAATTCACTGATTATCAATGTCGTTAGTACAAATTTATTCATATACATTCACTTACGTAAATTAACAAATACGAATGCATTCAATACCGACTGTCTGAATGGTTGGGCATATTATTCAAGCACGATTTTTCATCGTTATAGTTATTTTCACTACCCATCATTAACAAGCGTTACTTTAAATATTTACTCAACTAATATTGTACAAATCTTGACTCAGTCTTCATTTATTTTTCCTGACGAAAAAATTGCAATTTCTTGCCAAATAATGTATCGAGCTGTATATGAGTATACTGATGGAATTCTAATGATCGTTACCTCATTAACTTTATCGAGCGGACGCGGCATTTTAATGGCGATGCACCAAAAACGAAATTTCGTCGTGAAAATTGTAAATCTGTAGTGTGATCACTCGAAACAAATAAACTGTTTACCTTGAATTTCGACGAGTTCACATTGGACTTTTTATTTTTGTCGTTTTCATTGATCCGAGACGTGCGATGCGCTCACACGTATTAAGCGCAAAATGTTGCATCGCGTAAACTTTTCCGTCTCTGTGATAAACGCGTAGTGCAGAGGCTGCACCTTGAAACGCGCGTCGGCGATTCACGAATTTTGCAATTTATTAGCGCGTCGATACGAATGCATATCCGACGTGGTCGGATCGCGCGAGACACAGAGTTATGATACGAACTCGATTAGAATAATAATAAAAAAAAAGGAGACAAAGGAACGTGCGCGTCGCGACGAGCTCGCACGGAATTGTGGAAAAATCAAGAAAAATTATCATTCCTAGCGCACAAATGCCAGAAATACGTATCACCGAGTCAATTGTTACACAAGTTTAGAATATAAAATTAAACTTAAGTAATTCCGTACGTGTAAAAATCATCCCGAGTATTTCTAGAAAAACTCGATAAAAAAAGCTCGATAAATTTATTTTTCACTGGCGCAAGGCATATCTGTCGATGACGTTTTTCTTTTCTCAAAATCATTTGAGTTTCTGGCTAAAAAACGCGTACTCAAAGAAGCTGCAGCAAAAATGAGCAACCCTGGGCATTCCACTGCTTTATATAGCAATATAATTAACGATATGTAGAAGTTAACATTATCCTCACCCTCGATCCGTGCAATGAGGCGCTCTCTCTCGCACGCGTATACAGCTCGTAATCATCGCTACATGTATACAAATTAATTGCACGTTTCTTTGTGTACTTCAGATGTGCGTATACATTACGCGCTCGCACACACGCCGAGAAATGAGCCGTTCGTCTAGCGCAGATCGCGTATACGCACTCGGGCTTGCTCATGAATTAGAGGACTTTTTCCACGCGCCGAGCGCGCGGCACGAGGACTTAGCCCACGCGCCAGCGACTATCGCGGTCGCCAAGGTCGAAAGTCGTGTACTTATACTTACTTATCCTTCGCTACCGAGAATCTCTCTTACTATCAAAGTCTGGATACACATTCATAAAGATATCTTCTCAAGCCCAAGTGCAGCCTTTATAAACTTCGGCTGTCGCAATAATCGCGATTGATTGTACATCACTGGCCGGGAGCCCGAGGGAAAAGATAAAAAAAAAGCCAACCATTTGTGAATGTGTCACCGAGAGTAAGTGAGAGAAACGGAATCGTGCCAGATAATCGCATTTAGAATTGGAATTCTCACGGGCCTGCTTCGGAACGAGAGCAACAGTGCATTTTTTTCTTCTTTTTTTTATTACAAGCGGATACGTATAAGTGAATATGTAATGGAAATCGGTTACATCGTTTTGACTTAATTTATTTCAATATATGCTGCAATGAAAATGCTCCACCTTTTTATTAAAAAAAGAATTCGCTTCATTGGCTTGGATTTATTTTCCACGAGCGAGCGGTGCTCATTAATGGAATAAATTTTCAAGAAAACAAATTTTCAAGAATAAAAGTTTCGCCCAACGATCGATTGATATTTATACAAATGTACTGAATCCACCGAGCAGCATAAGAATCAACTCGCAAGCGTATATATAACACCGCTTACATCACTTTCGTCATAATATGCACGACATTTTTATTACATACCATGTTTTCGCATCCATGCGGCGTTGCAATGCACTCGATCAAGGAGCTCAGCCTATGCTACACTGCTCGCCCGACCAGTCCCCTTTTCATTAATCGAAAACTTCTTTCATTCTAAAAACAATCGCATGATAATAAATGCTATAATAGCTAATGTTTAATGTTATGATAAACAAGGGGATGAACGAACGTCTCACCGATTATTAATCCGTCGCGATTTTTCATGTCAAGATGTAAGGCTATTTTTTTAACGATTCCGGATATTTACCTCACCTGCTGCGATAACAGTATGTTGGATTTTCTTATTAGGAGTAATATATTTCATCTCACGTAATACCGATGTATGTAATGGAAAATGGCCACGAGGTTGCTGCGGATTGCGTTTTTTTTTTACCTCGACTGAAAAAAGGAGAGAAAAAAGGAGTAAAAACGATAGATCCATGGAAAGGAATTTTCGCAATGGGCGAATGTACTTGCAGGCGTGTAAATATTATAAAATCGAAATCGTGGATTTGACATGAGTTCGCTAATTAGGTTGACACGGGTACATACCGTTCGCGCGTGCAAGAACAGCCGAAACTAGGAAGAGCAGTAACTCTCATTTTTACGACGAACCATTTAAACATAAAATATACATTATACTTTCGTCTTCGCACGTCAATCTCTCTCTTTCTTTCTCGGATCGTAACGATTCTACATTTTACATTTAAACATACAAGGTTACACACACACACACACACGTATCGCTTGCAATAGAGCTTGGGAAAGAGAAAAACAATGTTGATTCGATGTACATAAATACGCACACGTGTGTTATAAGTAGCGGGGGGTAATTAACAATGTCTTCTGTTTTTAGGAAGCTTTGCATCGGCTATTTTATTTTATTTTTTTTCAAGGCCACGTAGTCATGCTTCACACAATACGTAATGCATCCACTAGGACTTATTACTTATTAATTTAAATATTTATTCATTGATTAAGATAAAAGAGGCAAGCGTGTGGCGAAAAAGTCATTGATCCGACGATCCATAATGCATGGCTTATTTATTACCGAGCAAAGACAGCACATGATACGCAGCTTGCATCGATTGGTATATCTAATTCAGCGCACGCGTACACCCTTGAACCCAAAAATCGCTCGCACGCGAACCAATCCACCCTGACACTTGGATCTATCTCCGCTTTTAGTCGAGTAGCGACGCGCGAGAAATCAAGTGCAGCGATCTACTTCTTCTGTTTCAATCTCGTTCTCTTGATCGGATCGAGACTCCAGTGGAAAAACTCGAGCGTGCGAGTTGATGGCGGTGAAAGGTGGCACTCGGGATTGCCTTATGAAATAATATGGCTTCGATGAAAAAAGGGAAGGGTGCCGGAAATAATATCCATAGTCCATATACCAGTCGTCCTTAGAGCCATTTTAATATCGACCGCAAAGAGATTCTTGAAATTTTTCAAGTAATTTTAATGGTACTCGAGATTCGTATTATATAGCCGATCGAGCAAGTCGGATTTATGCAGTGAACTTGCAACAGAATTCAATAAATTACAAATAGATATGTGAGTAAGTGTGAGTGTGAGCGTGTGCATGTGCGCGCGAGATTTGTGCAATGATTCCACTGTTACGGGAGCTTGCATAAATTAAACGCCAATTACTTCACATGTGCACTTTTTTTCTTCTGTTTTTTTTTTAACCACCAATAGCGCGTTTGTTAAACATTAATTGATGTTGCCGTGCTTATTCGCAAACTAATATGCGCATACTTGGATGAAAATTTTTATGAAAAAAAATTCATACATCGAAGGTGAAAAAAATGTGCGATGTTTCCTTTGCGGCCATTCGTGGTTTACATTCAGTTGCGTAGATCTGTCACTTATTTTGCTTTATTTGCCCACTCGAGTTCGTCCGCCTGCAAGAGTGTGTGTATCGAGAAAAACATGTCATTCAACCCATGCCAATTATCCATTATCATAATATTTAAAAGAACATTATACGTAATTTTTGTCGCGCTCTATACGTGGCGCAAAAATGTATATGTATATCAAACGCTTATGCAGGGGAATTTATGTGAAGCCAGTCGTGCGCGATTATTTCGTCATTTTCCGTATATCGAGGCAATTTAATGACTAGGTTTTATAGAAAAATGACTCCTGCCTGGCGTTTCCTGCGCAATATGAATATATTTTCACGTATTCGCAGCGAGAAGTAACGACGATAGCTAGCAACTAGTATACAATGTCGATTTGAACAGACTTTTGGCGCGTACTACTCGACAATTGGCAATGATCTCACCATATCATTTGATTTTTTCTCAAGCTTATTAGGAATTGTAAGAGCACACTCGATTACAACGCTGAGACAACAAAAGTCTTAAACCAGTTGGAAATGTTCTCGTAGCCGCGCGAATCACCTCATTTTTTAGAGAGCAAGCAAAGCGAGTCGCAGAATTTGAACAAATATAGTCAGCGCTCTTGTCGATTGGCTCTCGAGAGCGCAATTAGAAATGCATCGCTTATCCATGCGACATACTCGATTTATTTATTATTTTTATGCTCTCCGAAGCCTCTTATAAACGCATAATACGACTCGCCTTTTTGCAGGTCTACTCGACGATGGCGCAATTCGTACACATGGTATACGATGGCTATCGGGACCTGATGAACAACAAGAGCGATCCCAGGGTCAATGATTGGTTCTTGATGAGCTCGCCCTTCCCGACGCTCTGCATATGTCTCAGCTATGCCTACTTTTCCAAGGTCCTCGGGCCCAAGCTCATGGAGAATCGCAAGCCGTTCGATCTTCGCAAAGTCATGATCTGGTACAATCTTTTCGAAGTCATATTCTCCACTTGGCTTTTCTACGAGGTAATCTATCCAAGCAATTATGAATTTATCTAAAAACAAACAAATACATGCAGCAGTAGATTTTTTAATTTTTCGCTGCACAGTGTTTAGTGTCCGGTTGGGGTGGTGATTATTCATTCAGATGCCAGCCAGTGGACTACTCGCAGAGCCCGAAAGCAATGAGAATGGCTCGAGGCTGTTGGTGGTATTACTTCAGCAAATTCATCGAGTTTGCAGACACGCTATTTTTCGTTCTTCGGAAAAAAAATGACCACATATCAAATCTGCATGTGATTCATCATGGAATCATGCCAATGTCCGTCTGGTTCGGCGTCAAGTTCTCGCCAGGTAAAATCAACTCCCATAACTCAGCATTGAATCTATTTTCTTTACCATCGAGTCTCCAGAACTTTTTTCTCTTATTTATATAATTTATCTAGACGTTGAAATTTCTTTTTATTCAATAATGCAATTGCCTTTACAACTAATTGTAATAGAAAATGCTCTCGATTATCCCAATTAAAGCTCGATCCTACGATGGAAATTCCAATCTCCATTCGAAGGTGCTTAATTGACTATCAATCGGGTGCGAAGAATTTTTCCATTCCCCATCTAGTACAAAGAAGTTATATCATGTTCTTTCGTTCTGTTGCAGGCGGTCACAGCTCGTTCTTTGGCTTGCTAAACACGTTCGTCCACATGGTCATGTACACGTATTACCTGCTGGCCGCTCTTGGCCCTCAATTACAGCCCTACCTCTGGTGGAAGAAATACCTCACTTCGCTGCAGATGATCCAGTTTGTGCTGGTCATGATTCACGCCTTCCAATTGCTCTTCATCGAGTGCAACTATCCCAAGGCCTTCGTCTGGTGGATCGGCATGCACGCCGTACTCTTCTACTTCTTATTCCGTGACTTCTATCGACAAGCTTATAGCAACAAGGCCAAAAGAGCTTCGATCGAAGCTCAAAAGAAGAAAGATGCAGCGGCAGCAGAAGCAGCTTCGCCGAATGGCCAGCGAAGAAATGGCCAAAATGGCACTGTCTATCCTAGTCAATATAAAATGGCAACTGCCTATGTATCCGATAGTGGCATGAGAAATCGAGTATTCATCGATAATCGAAGCGATTACAATGAATGAAGTACGAACGTGTTTTCATTTTGATTCCACGATAATATGTATTAGAAAAGAAACAATTGCTACAGGTGTTGGTTGTTTTTTTTTCTTTTCTTTTTCACATCTATTTAATATCTCATCTGAAAGTACGCGAAGTAAAATGCGAAGTTCGAATTCAACCAAGTATCGATCTCGTCAGACTGAACTGAAACAGTAAAAATTGGTTGCAAGCTCGCAAGAATTTAAATTTCACTCGTGATTTCATGAGAAAAAAGCCGAAACAAGTGTTCCGCTATTCAATAATTCTGTTCACTATGAATATTATATTAATTATGCAATTTTATATAAAGTATGATATTTGTATATATGTTTTTTTTCAATATGAGTGATTGATAATTGTGCGTGTGTTTGTATATTTATTATGGAAGAATGCGATACTTTATTGTTAAGTTTGTTCATATTGGCATCCCATTTTTGAATATATTTAATTGTAAACAACAGCGTATTTAAAATATGCATCGAATATTTTTAATTAGGAAGATTAGAAATAAAAACGTTTAAATGTTTTAATTTTTAAAATTTTTTGAACAAAATGTTTTATCATTTCGTTTAAAAATACTAAATATATAAACAAAATATTTTTATAAAATTTTTGATAATTTCATAAGTTCTTAAATCAAGCTTAAGCCTACTTTCATAAATGCAAGGAAGTATAATTAATTTCAATTAAAAATGTATTTACAATTTATTCAGAATATTTTTTTCTACCATGCAATAAACCAGTGCCCAAAGTCAATTTTCCAGAAATGAAAATATCACCTTTCATAATCTGAATATTATAAAAATATTTGTACGATGCGAATTCGTCATTGCAAAACTTTTTCATTTATTTTTTTTCACGATAATAATTTTAGAACAGAAGACTTGAGACACTTTCGTCAAACATGTTACCTTTTACATGTTACCTCAACGAAATTAATATGATTGTGTACTGGGTTTTATTTATTGAAGGAATTTGTAAAAACCTTCATAATTAGAGCAATTATTAGTAAAAATAAATTCAAAACAAATACATTCACTTAAATAGAAAAATCTCAATAAGTTTTTAAACATATTTGGTAGTTTAATCATGTTATTTATAAGTGTATATTAACAAAATATAAGTGTTATGGTTATTTACCTTTTAATAGCAATTGTAGTGAGTGGTAATGATTGTTCAAAATATAGCGTAATAATTTGAACGTATCTTGATTTATATTTTCATGCTTTATTCAGTAAGTTAATTAGAGAAAAAAAAATTTTTTTCTAAATATCAAAAACAAAAGCTAGATATTATTTGTTTTTTCTAAAAATAAAAATTAAATTTCATAATAAAGATGTATTTAAATAAATGTTATAAACTTAATAATAATATCGTATATTTCTTTTTCAAGGATACACAGCTCAATAAAATGCTGATTTTTTCAGAATTACTTTTATCGTCAATAACTATTCTCTCATGGGAGATAAAAAATAATACATTACGTATTAATAATCAGCGCAATAATATATATTTTTTGTATTATTTACCTTCTTCAAGATCTAATTCACGCATCTAAACACACATAATATTATCATCATCTCAAACGTGTGAGTATTGTGAAAATCATCTTCACTATCTATAGCAAGAGATATTCACAAAGAAAACTTTTTGAGCCTTTGAACTTTTTTACTTGTGAGTGAAATTTTTGAAGTTTTGATTTTTTTGTATACTTTCACAAACATTGAAAAGGGCTGAGCATTAATGATTTTTACTACATTTGCATTCAATTAAGTTCTACATTTTTTGACAAAGTATATCATGTTAAAAAAATATGCTTTATCAAGTTATCGCAGTATTGAAAGTAGTCGTTGGCGCGTACACACTTAAGTAGACACTACTATACATAAAAAGATTGAATACCTCACAATATAGGTCCCACTTTTTCATATTGCAACAATTGATTTTGTATGGTAAGATTAATTGAGCTTACTCCGATCATTATTGCATTGAGAAGAAGTTACGAATAGTTGAGTTTATCTTTTCCAGATTTGTCCTTTTAGGTGCATTTTCACTGCTTTGAATGAACTTTTACAACGTTTCAAAGATAAACTTTTCTTTTTTTCATTCGTATTTCTCAAAAAGTTTCATTTAATGTAGATCAAATATAAGGATACATTCATTAAAATCTTATGGTATTGCACTTTCTTTGTTTAGTCATTTGAAAAAATTTTTTCTATTCATAGAAGATACATTATTTATAATTTATTTACATTACTGTCATATAAATTATTTTTTATATACATTCATGAAACTCAATTAAAAACTAATTTTCCCCAATGTTTATTGTTACGTCTTTTCAGATTTTTACTTTTTTTAACAGTTACAAAAAATCATTGTTGAAAAAATCGAATAGTCGTAGATTTGACAGCAAAACATATATTACTCGTCTGGAAAATGTATGATTGCGTACTTAAAACAATCGAATAAATGGTCAATAAGAAAATTCTCAAAAAATTGGAGGTGTTTTTTACATTTATTGATTATTATTGATGTTTTACTTTGTCAAGGCTATATAGCCTGAGGTAGTTGAAACTTAGAGTCACTCATGAACTTTTGCGTAGTTTTTTACATTATTATAATGAAATAGTTCAAGAACACATATATGATAGTTTCAAATCCTGAATTATAATAAGGAATCATAAAGATTATTTCAAATCAATGAATGAATGATTGATCATCAATTAGTCCAACGATTTGATATTTAATAAACGAATGCACTCTGTCTTAGTCAGAATTTGACATATTTTTGACGAGCAATACATTTATCTCTTCTAGAGAATCACCAAGAAAGCCTTTGAGACCTTAAAAAACTAAAAATACACAAACTGATATTCATAATCAAGGTTTTTCTTTATTATAAATACTTGTGTAAATAAATTTAAAATATAGATTCATACTTCATATGATGATTTTTCATGTGAAAAAACGAGAAAACTGTAGGCTTATGGTCATTGCTCTTATTATTCGTTGAATAGCTGTTTCCTAAAAACACATATAGTTTATGTTGAGAAGAAAATACAATTTCATAATGAATTTAAAAAACAAAGTATTATTAGTATAATCGCTGTTTTTATATAATATACCATCGTTGCTTTAGGCACAGATTCGAGAGCTATCAGCATTTATGTGAATTATAAAATCATATAAGTAATTACCATAGTACAAAACTATCTATATACAAAATCTCCCAACCCGAGGGCTAAGGGCATGATAACGGAAAGTTTTCAGTACGTTTTATATGCAAGTAAGAGATCTTTTAAGAATAAGACGAAGACGAGTGAAATATTCTGTTTTTTTGGTTAAATATAAATCGGTTCAGGCACCACGAACCATTTTAACTTTCCGCTGTGTTGTCCTTGAACATTTTACAATTAATAAAAAATTTCGCTGAACGGAGCAAGGTGTTTTTGCATGTATTGTGGAACACAAAGAAAGCATCTTTTTTCGTATTTTCAATTCATATTATGCACAACTATATTATAAGCATATCTCACAATCACACGCTTAGTTTTGATTTATGTATAAAATTTATAATTTTTTTTTGCTTTTATTATTATTTTTTTATGTACAAATCCATTCGCGTAAGATAAGCCAACGATGCTGTCTGATTTTTCTCTTTGTCTCATGTCACTTTCCTTAAATGAATTTTGCACTGCTCTTGGTGAAGTTTGTCTTTGTACCTAACGATAACTTTTATGCTCTGCATAATTTATTATGTACGTTCTAAATGTCCGTGCGCTTTTAGCTCATATCACAAAAATGTTTGTGCATTTAATAATATATATTATTCAAGTTTTTAAAGCTTTTCTGTTCTCTCTCGTTCACAAAAGATAAAAAATGACACTGTCATTACTTAAAAATCCCGCCTAATTTGTGCAATAAAACGCAGCAAATAATATTTCACTAATTTACACCATCTCACTTTGAGTGTTTAATTGATAATGTGCATTTGATAAAAGTGGAAAATATGTCGAAATTTAATAATGTATCTGAATAATGATAATCGGTCATAGTCATTCAATCAAAGTAACGACAGTTTACTATTCAACTCTTGCACATAAAAGAAGATTCCTTTCGAATTTTACTTGAGAATATCACGTCATTATTATTTTCTGAATCTATATGATTACGACGAGAAAGTACAAACATTCGCATATAAACTCTCTCACAGTAAAAATGCCAAAAAATCCGGTTTATACACGTATTGAAAGCACAAAAGATTAAAATCCAAGGCACGAGCTTAATCATAGTGCAAAGCTCGCTAATATATTATTCACCCCCGCGTTTAAGTGAAGTTTGAGTTCAATAATTATTGAATGCAGTTGGTTTTTAGTGCCTTGCAATAGTCTTTTGATAATGCATATATTGCTATTGTTGCTAATAACTAGAAAACTTGAGTTGAAACTTGGAAAATTTTTTTATTTTAAGTACTAAAAATTAACTAATGCAGTTTTTGAATACAATATTTTTTGCACCAAGCATAATATCAGTTCGAACAATTTAATATCATGCTAAAGTAGCCAGCTTATAAAAACTTTCAAATACACATAATTTAAAAACATTTTAAAATTGTATGCGTTAAAAAAGTTTCAATTCCTAAAAATAGAGTATAAGCGGTTCTCATAATAATACGATCTAACAGAATAAACCATTTAACAAATTCGAATCTATTTACAATTTGTGAAAAAACGACGAGTAGCGTGAACTTAATTTGAGGGCGAAAAATTACATATAATTGTGAAAAATGAATAAAAAATTATCAAAATAAACATCCGAGTACATGGTGTCAAACTACTCGATGTCGGAGCTAAAATCGTTCTCTGTAAGACGCACAATGTAAAATGAATATTAAAAAAAGAGGTACATAATAAGAAAGTAATTCTTGACTCTCGTATCACATCGCATACTTATAATCCACTTTTCACTAAACTACATTACATTCATATTTTATGCATAATTGTTTTTTAACTACTAAAATATAATTTAAAAAATATAATAGTAGAAGGTACTGCTACAGTTATTAAGAAATTCAATATTTTGTTCCGTTGATAACGCAATAATAATAATATATGCTCACTTGTACGATCTTTTGAATATTGGCACATTTCTTCACTTTAAAATAATTACATGTATAATATATCAAACGTGTCATATATATATTTACAACCATTTTTCTTTATTTTTATTTGTTCTTGTTATTATTGTGTAAATTGATATATAACTTTACAAATGCATTGCACTCTACTCGATCCTTAACGTCTGTTCGCGTCGCTAGCGCGAACGAGCCAAAAGATTCATTTAATGCCGCCTAGGCACGACCGCACGATACAAAACAAACAAACAATAACAACAATAAAGACCTCTTTCACTAGAAAAAAAAATTGGAAGAAAATGAAAAACCGTCAGGACGTCTTTCATGATCAAAAATTACTATCAACTATTTACGCACGAAACACGAAAAATCTTCAACAAGAGACAGATCGACGTTTACGTATACCCGCGCTTGGAAAGATAAATACAAGATTTAAGGCAATTATATATCGACATCGACGACAGCAGTACTGCAGCAGCTTCGACTATTTATACATACTATAAATACATGCTGTATGGGATTATGTGTTTTATACACATACGCCTTTATGTACGTACGAAAAATTACTATACGTGTATTGCACTGGTACAACTGAGATTTTTCTTTTTTCTTTGTATCGTTTACATATATAATGCGTCAGCCACTGTGTGCGCGTGTGTGAATGCCTAAATTACAATAGGCCAGTTTTTTCGCTATGATCCTCGTGGAGAAAAATGAGATTGTCACGACGAGGCGTGCGAGGAGGCTAATCGCTCGCGACAGCGGCAGCTGCGAATGCGGGTTTCCTCAGATTCAGGCCCTCCGCCGAGGCAATGCTCTCGCCCTTGATATAGTAATCGGCCGCGTCGCGTCTCCGAACTCCGTTGCCGTTGGCGTAGCTGCTGCTACCGTTGCTGATTTTTCCATTCGATGCTCCGTTGCTGGAAGCAGTGGCAGCCGCTGCTTTGGCAGCAGCCAGGGCTGAGGATGAAGCAAGATAAATCATTATATCATCAAATACGGTTGTGGAACATCGAGCAGAGTCATGAATTTTCCCGCTAATCAACTCACCGGCGCTTCTCTGTTTCTTCGAGGCGTAGCTCTGCCTGTAGAAGTCACGGAAGAGGAAGAAGAACATTACGGCGTGCATGCCGATCCACCAGACGAAGGCCTTGGGATAGTTGCACTCGATGAAGAGCAATTGGAAGGCGTGAATCATTATGGCGACAAACTGGAGCATTTGGAAGGCGGTGAGGTACTTTTTCCACCAGAGGTAGGGCTGCAGTCTCGGTCCCATGGCGGCAAGCAGGTAGTACGTGTACATGACGATATGCACAAAGGTGTTGAGCAAACCGAAGAAAGTCGAGTGGCCACCTGTGAGAGAGGATCGTTTTGCTCCGTCAATTGCGAAATACAGATTTTTTCGACGTTCAAAGAGGCGATACAATTGTTTCGAACCTATTATAACACTTTTGAAAATGTGTGTATATAGGTGTGTACGTGTGTCAATCGAGTTACGCGAAGGTAGTGCTTAAATTATCATATTATATCACAGATTGTACTGAGGGGAAGATATTAAATTCTATAAATGACATCATTATTGTGCAAGTAGTATCGTACTCAAGCATATTATTTTTTACTTTCTAAAAGCATTTAATTACGAATATATAGGCAAAACGATTTCACCCATAATTTTTTTCAAAAAATACATTTTTTTAAGTTCATTCACGCGCAATAATTTCGAACGTGTAACACGGTTAAGTTCCTGCTAAATCATTGGCATTAACATTGCAACACTCGATTAACTTTATGAATTGATTATCGATAGATTTTCCACACCGTCTCATACATCTTGATTAAATTAGCCAAAAGAGTCGCTGTACTTTCTAATAATACGAGTTTTCAAGTCGATTTGTAAACCAGCATGAATTTATTAGTGTTTCACGCTTGGTTTTTTTACAAGAGTAAGTAAAGATCTTTAAAAGGACAAGAGCGATTCTCACCTGGTGTGAACTTGACACCGAACCAGACGGACATCGGCATGCATCCGTGGTGAATGACGTGCAGGGTGGACACATGATCATTTTTCTTGCGGAGTACGAAGAATATCTAAAATAATTAAAGGCATAATGTGAGTGTATTGAACTCGAGAATTAAACTTGCTTTGTTTTCAGTAAAATAGAGCTCACCGTGTCCATGAATTCTGTGAATTTGGAGAAGTAGTACCACCAGCTAGCGTGAACCATCTATTTTTTCAATCGGAGAAATAATCAATAAGTAAAGGTGAATCGCTCTTAAAGTTAAGATGTGAAAAAAGACAGCACGTAAGACAACAACTTATGATAATTTTATTTGCAATAATGCTAGTTAAAATCCTTGAAAAAGACGATCTTCATATGGATACATGTCAAAATATAATTCACGAAAACTAGACATTCTTCTTCCATGTGATTTTCGTACTCTTTGCTAGTTTTTGGTCAAACATTAAATTTTATTCACACAAAACAGTGCAAAAAAAAACAGGACAAAAAATAGTTTGTGATGCTAAGAGTCGGTGAGTGTGTGGCACTATTGTCGTGTTGTAAACAAAACAAAAAACGAAAATATAGCACAAGTCAGTCACTTCTTCCATTCTTATCGACATGCTTTTTTTTCTCAAATGAAACGTCAACGCGATTGAGTCATCTGCTGTTTTGAATATAAATTCCACAAAGTCGTAAGGCAATGTATGTCTCAAAAAAGACAATACAAGTATAGAGTTTAACTATAATTGGGCTATGCAGTACTTGTTCAAGTGTTGAACATTTCAGAGCATTGAGGAAGGCGCTAATCGACATTTTTCCCAACTTTCTGCGCGAGAAGAGCTTCAAAAGCGCTATTACGAGTGTTACAAAGAGACGTGGCATATTGAAAGAGTAATTGAGTAAGCCCGTCGAACTGACAACGGAACGATTAGCCGCGAAAGTTTTCAATCGATCAATTTGTTCTAGATTTTATTACATTATGTATCATTCATGTTATGTTATGTTAAATCGCAGCCACGAGCATATTATCAGAGTTGATTCAATTTTAGCGTCGATCATTGCGTACCCATGATTTTTGATTTCTCTCGGACGAAATCGCACTCCGAAGTACTAGTGTCGCAAGTTTGTGTATGTATCGAAGTCATTTAAATTGATTCGAATTCGACGAAAGATATATGATACGTACTTGTGGAAAAAAGAGAAAGAGCCAATATTACATGCCACCAGAGCAAGTAATAATCATTGCAACAGAGATTTGAGAGGCAAAGTTGAAGTTTTTTGGTAGATTTATGTATTGGTCGAGCGGCTGTATATTTTATGGAAAAATCGATTTTGTGCTATTAATTAAAAAATATATCGTACGCGCGATATACACGTAATACATGAGGTGCGCAATCGATTGGGGTCGATGCAAGCGCGCTATTATCAATCAGCCACGGTCAACGACATTGTCCCGATTTACTTTCAATTTTCATAATTTTTCGGCTATGAGCGCGCGCACATATATATTGGAGTTGACGAGGCACAAAATTATCTAAATTTCTTAAAACGACGACGTACCGTTAGACCGGAATATCGAAAAAAAAATAACGAGTTTTCGCGCCGGCAAATCAGGTCAAACGCGTGAAATTCTTCACAGAATATGAGTGTATAGGCGCGTGGTGCATACCGATAACACGCAAAGCCAAAATTGGTTCACGAGGCACACGTGGCATTATGTCACACACATCATACATCATGCATACAGTGGCGAAACGTCGCGACTAGGTGTACTTACGCACACAGACTGTATGCATATGCGTTTCTGCGCGCGACACCCCGCGTTAACGATGAGGTTTTTCGACTGGATCCGATATGTAGGTGAACCGTATTTTGACTCATTTCTCCCTCCCTCGTTCTAATGCTCTTGTGCGCAAGAGCAGCAATAGACAGAAATTTTTTTTAATCCAAATAGCGGTCTGGATTTTCTCGTTTTTCCGGGCTTCGTTTAATGCGTGAGCGAATTTTAACGATGATTTCAGCATGCCGCTTAATAGCATTAACAACCTTGTATCTCTTAATTTTGCTTTTATTTAAACATTGTCAATTTCATACACGCGATCGTTACTTTACGAGTAATGAAAATAAAATGCTTTTTTTTGCAAACGGAAGTAAGTTGTACGATTAATTTGTCAATTTTTTAGTCAGTCGTCGTCTTTTCGTGTTGAAATAGGTCGTGTCTATTTATAGGGTGGTGCAAACTAAAATTATTGTATGAAACTAGCATGCATATTGATCAGTACTGTGAATGCAAAGTGTGTGGTATTTGTTGTAAAAAAAGAAAAAAAATTGACAGCCAATGGTTAGTGTTTCTCACCTAAGCCCCGCAACTAGTAATTTCAATTATAAGAAAAATAAGCGAAAAAATTACTCTAAATAAAAAGCATACAAGTGTACAAGCAATGTTAGTATAAAAATGAACCAACTATTTCAAAATAATCTGCAAATGTTTTTTAAATACATATATTACAACAAATTATGCAGTCATGATTCCACTGCTGTGCAGTATTTATGCATAATATATTGAAAACATTGCAAATTATTTCAACCAGATGTTCTGGTTATAGTTTCAAGATCATTGACCAAAGATTCACAGAGACTCGAGCCAAAGTCTTTATAAGAGTTAACCACTCTTGGGTACACATCGAGGTAAAGATGCAAATGTAGACACGGCGTCATGTGTGAACATTTGAAAACTATTATGAAGCAATAATACGTATAGACATGCACGTTTATATTTAAGTGTACAGTACATTTTCATCTTTGCTACTATGTATGTGCGGCAGTTCAAATTAGTCAAACGAGAGACACACAAACCATTAATCTCTGTTAATGTTGAAGTAAAAACGATACTGCAACTCACAATTAGTTTATTAAGACAGAAAAAATGAAAAAACGTGCATACAGCGTCGTACTTAAATTTTTTCCACGTCAAACGTTGAGATCATTAGAAACACATATTCAGACAAAACTACAAGTTATCGGAGTAACCCACCCGTAATACTTGGGGCCGATCGCTGTAGTCAACCGGCTGACATCTCAATGAATAATCACCCGTCAGCCATCCGCTCATTCCTATCTGCAACCACAACCGTAATACCAAAAAATAATAAACATTTGAACCTTTTCCATGAATTGGCGATTGGATATAATGTCGAACAACTAATTGATACTCAGCAGCAGTAGTTTTTTTACGAGCAATCATTGTCTAAATAGATTGATCATTACACAAACTATAAATATTTGTTAATGGTAATATTGGTACCTTCACCTCCACCACAATCTTGTGTATTTCCACAGACGAGAGATAATGCATTCTCAATAATAATTTGAACCTTGAGGAGGGGTTTATACAATGGAACCAATGCAACTCTCACTACTTTAGGTCCTTGAAGGAGATGAGGATGTGTGGATTGTGGCTGTCCAAAAAGAATACGAACAAGACTAAAGTGTAGCGATGCTCTCGCGCGGGACCGTTTAATGAGCTCTCGAGACGTGTTTAATGCGTATTATACTTTTTGTTTGTGTTTTGATTTCCGCGTGGACTGCAGCCTTGCGTTTTTACGAACCATGCGGTTCGATCAAAATGAGAAAAGTAAAAGTAGGCAGCCGCAGCATCGCTTAAACATCTTTTAACGTTGCTCGTATTCTATCCGAACGTTCATCTGTGAACCTGCTGTATTCAGTTTATAAAATTTGTTTCATCAACGTTATTTTTCTCAAAAGACATGAAACCATTAAAAGTAATAAATAATTTACAGTTTATTATGATAGCAATGCGTATAACTTATCCCTGTATGCTGAAAAAATAATGTTAATTATGTATAAGTAAGTATTGGACTTTCGGGCTAAGCATCGTCTAATACAAAATTTAATTGATTCGCCTGGAATATTAACTTGATATACTAGCGAACATAAATTGACAAATTTACAAGATTTTTCACGTCTCGAACTGCGTATAATTGTTGAGTTATTATAAAATAGAGTCATAAATTAGTCTCACCGCGAGGCTAAAGCTGTTCAAAATTGCCCCAGAGATACAGCGTTACTCGTGGCTCAAAAAGAAGCGATCACGGCGTTACATCATTTCAATTGAGTAGGAATATATAACTAAACGAGCAAACTTTTCCACAGATCTGTACGCGAGAAAACAAGTTGTTTATTTATATTTATTTTTTACTTGATTTTCGTCGTGAAATTCCACAAGGATGAATAAAATTTTTCCCTTGATCCAGACATTGACCGGTTTAAGGCTGGCAATGCTTTTTTGTTCGCTTTCCGATATCCGACACGCAACGCACGATTATATGAGAAAAACGTGATTTGGCACGTGATGAATAATTTTTTTTTTTTTTTAGAACGACGCAACAAGCTCATTAATAATGTCAAGATACGTCGAAATTTGGATTGTGTTTACTTCATATCACTTTGAGGCATCAGTCGTGTCAAAGTTTAAGAGACGATGCGTAACCCAATAGTCATTGTTAATTTTAGTACCTGTAACAATATTAGAATTAGTAGGCAGAATAGTTCTTTGATCATAAAAATACACCTTAATACATCAATAGGGATGAAAATTAAAAAAGGTTAGTAAAATAGAATATAATTACAACATAATGCTAATACTTGAATTGAAGGCCAGTGCTGCATTTGCATCAGCTTTTCTACACCAACCCTTCAGAATTATAATCAAAAACCTTCATATTCCTCACAGTACAGATACATGATTAAAAAATGGATGCTTTTTTGTAAAATGAATCATCCAAATTCATTTGGCACACACATAATTTTGACTTGTATGAGAATCGTATACATAAACGTAAATATCTAGCTGTCACCGTCTCTCCGAACTTTTTTGGATTTTATTATGTAAAATATACTCAAAAGTTACGATAATAGTCTGAAAATAAAGAGTCATGTTATTGCCATTGTAGAACTCACCCTTATAGCTGAAGGACTGTCGGAATAATCCACTGGTTGACAACGGAAGCTATATTTTCTCCACCAGCCTCCCATGAGACACTGCGTTGATAAAAGTTGAAATTTGGTTTGCTCGTTAGATTTTTTTATTAATTACTTTTTGAATGTATCATTATTCGGTAATTCTAGAAAAAATCGTCGAGTAACAACGATCTTTATATCAAATAATGCAGGATACTAAACAACTTATCAGAATTAATCGTATTTACTCTTCGATTTTCAGGTTGTTTTAATTTGGTATAGATAGTTAATTAAAAGTTTAATTCAACAGATCATGCAGTTTTTCTATAAAACATAAAAGTGATAACACATATTTCTACGAAAAAATTATGACCTGACAAAATCATTTTGATCCTGTAAAGATAAATACAAATATAAATCAGAATTTGACATTGATATATACGGCAAACATCGATTAGATGAACGCTAAACTTGTACTGCTGCTGGTAAAAAGTAAAAACAATCGAGTGAAACTTCGATCTCGATCAACGGCGTTACTTACCTCGTAAAATAACCATGCTGAAAATATAACTTGAAAAAGATTATAAGCTATGAGGACGTTCTTGAGCTGGAAAGGCTTTCGGTTCTCCATGAGCTTGGGCCCGAGTACTTTGACGAGGTAGACATAACTCAAGCAAATTAGAAGCGTCGGAAATGGTGAGCTCATTAATAACCAATTCGTTGTTCGCTTGTCTGCAACAAAAAACAATAGAAAATTTACCTATATAATTTCATTAAATTGAAGACGATACTGTATGTAATTGCTAGAACAGATCTTTGAAGTATAGAAAGGGTTTCGACTTCCGGCTCTCGAAAGTGTATAATGCGAGAGCGAAACGAAGAGATAAAAAGAGAAATGATATGCGGAAAAACACCGCAATTCCGAGGGCGTGTATAATTTCAGGCAAATGCACCGAGCGCGCGTGTGATCAATGAGTAAAAAAAAATAAAAGGTAAAAGGAAAAAAGAAGTCACCGCCGCGGTTTTGCGATTCCGCATATATATTTACGCACGTACGTCACAAAAGGGTGAACGCACGTGCTCAATGTCCTGCAGCGAGCCATTTCAAGGACGCATGCCTCTGCCGCTAAAGTAACAAGCAATAAAAGGCGAAATCAGGTATGTAATTACATTACAAAGGCACTGGCTGGTAATGATCTGCATTGATGTATACATTTCTCGGTTCAGTGTAGCTAACAACGACTAGCGCACCACATGCACTGCAGTGTTAATTACTGAATGTGATTAAAGTAAACATTTTATTGCTTGTTTATCCTACTAAGTTTATGTCTATGAAATTTCACAGCTTCTTGAAAACTATTTCAAGTCAATTAATGATTTCTTGATGGATTCTTCAAGAAAAACGAATGAATAAAGAAAGAGAATAAAAAATAGAAACCTTTTAACCGAACTTGGCCGATAATGATATTATACTCGCAGAGCATAATAAAATCATTACGAGTTGAAGGTCCCCACGCGCGGTGTACATCTCGGAAGATTGCACTGGAGGACAATTTTCATTCCATTAAAACGGAATTTTTCGTACGTTCAGTCATCGTGTCGATCTTTCAAAGAATGCAAGAATGCATACGCGATGATGACGACGACGAAGGCAGCGAAGATGATGGATGCCTGTGTCTCATCGAATGCAATTATTGACTTTCGCTTGACGTAAGCTATTATGCTGGCCTTTTATAAATGAATGAATGTGCGTTGTGTTGCTTTTTTCGCTGTCGTTGTTGTCGATCATAATTTGAAATCTCACGACACGCGAATGATCTAAATTTTTGCCGGTTGCAATGTGTACGCATTTATACGTAGCTTAGTTTGCGCGTGTAGTTTATTCAAAAGTGAAATGACTCTGCAGATAATATGTATGAATTTATGTACATGTGTAAAATGAAATATGAAAAAATGGTTCATTAGCATTGCAACATCGTAATTAAACTTATTTAGAACGTGAGTTAGATATTCTGTTAAGAATTTTTCTTTTCCACGTCCCATTGCCTAATGTCCTGCCAATGATCCGGTGTTTATATTATATACAAGTGTACACCCATGCATAGAAAAATTCAAATATCAGATAGCCATCGACCTTTCTAATAATCTGTTTTTTTCTCTCTCTTTCTGAGCTACATTATTTGAATCATAAGCGCGAGCGCGAGGGAGAAAAGCCAGCGTTTTTCGTGGAAAACCTAATGGACGTTGCTTATTACGATTTTGCAATTTTGTAAAAAAAAAAATACATATTGTGTACTTAAATGCACACGTTACACAGACTTTGCAATTAATGCGTTTACTGCCCTCATAATTTTTGCAAAAATGCGCCCATCTAAATAGCCTATATTATACTCCAAATGTCGGTGGGTATATCTGCAAAAGATTTGCAGAAAATATTATACGCATGTTTACGCATGCTGCAAAAATTTTGCGTCGGCTCAAGTTTGTCTTCGCGAGGACGCATATACCGTTCATTTTAAAATCAACATTTTTTAATTGAAAAGTACGATGTTAATAAATGCGGGCCAGTAGTACATTTTCTTTGCGGCTTAAATCTCGAACCCCATAAATGCGGCAAAATATTAATCAGCATACGTTTAAGTTATAATGGAGCAAATCTTGATTAAAAATGAAAAAAATATATATTTCAATAACGAATTCCGTTCGATAAGATCTCAGATCATCATTTTTACCGCTCGTTTGAGAGAAATATTGCAATTTTTTGACTACTCGTTTATCAAATTGAGTCGTTTCTGGCATTCATGTGGTTTGTGCGAAATCGTTTATGCGCAATTAAATCAAAATTATAATAAATAATGTATAAATAAAGATGTGTTTCGACGTCTTGTGTCGTTGGTGCTCCGCTATGTGCATTATATATATCGACAGACTGGCACGTGTGCAAAAGCTGCGTATAAATTACGCATAAAGCAGCGATCGCATTGTAATATAGGTATACAAAATCACAAGGTAAATAGTCCACGAGGCGACGTCGTCGGAGCGCTCATATAACTTTCACTACTGTACCGCACAAGTCCCATTGAGCGATTGCAGGCAAATATATCTATATATACGTACGTTTGCAGCACGATGAATTGCTCATGCCCACGAAAGAGAGAGAGAGAGAGAAAAGAGAGACGCGCCTGTGCGTGTAACCCTCCATCGCAGCCGATTTATTCGTACACATCTAAACGTACACATGTACGCAAATAATGTACTCGAGCATATATATGTATGAGTACACGTCCTTGATCGAGAACTTGCGCTGCATATCAAATACGCGATACTCGATACATACACACACATATGCCCGATTTATTCTCTACTTCATTCCCGTACTGCAGTTTCGTCTTTGTTTCGAGACTCGATTTGCAATTTTACTTTTTTTCCATTCGATTTTCATTCAAACCACAACGTGATAGCTATGCTCCGATTTACCCATTTTATGCGTGATTGGGCACGATTCTCTCGACGAGCAGCTTGCTTCATTTCCCTCGCAAACGAGAGAATCGGTATGAAGGAAGAAAAACATTAAAACTATATAAAAGTTGCAAGAGAAAAAACAGGGAGGTGAAAAAAATTGAAAAACAAGACTGAAGACTGAAAGATTAAGAAGCGAAGACGCGCTACATCGAGGCTGACGCAAGTTGGCACTTTGCGCAAGCTATGTGGCGTTTCGAGGCGCGCGACCGAGGCGTGAGTCCTTTGTATATAACACAACGCGTCAAGTATACACAATGCGAAATCGACTCGCGAATATACAGTACTAGATTAACCGAGCTGCTGCAGCTCTCCCTCCTCCTTCCCCCCCTCAAAGACCACAGACGACGTAATTATGTCATTTGAACATGTTTTTATGGCCGACATATTAATTATAGATGAAAATGGATAAAGACTCACCTGCATGTGTATTTAGGATCTCGTGGAACCGGTCTACGTACTGCATGACGATCGACATCTTTGTGCTATTGTGTTTTTGATCGAGGACGTGAGCCGCTCGACACACTCGAGTTCAGTGGGGATCGTTGATAACGAAATGGATCAACCTGACAAAGAGTTCGGCTCAAATTTTTCTTGCTGCTTCTTTTTCCACCCGGAAATGCTTCCTTCTGAAATTAACAGACGTGTCTCGGTTACTTTTACATTCACAGCTATTACACAGAAAATAAGTTATAATGTGTTCATCTTATATATATTCTCCTGGAAATGACAACATCTCTGACTCATGTACAATCGTAGAAAAAGTTGATGCTTCGAAAATTTCAACAAACTTAGTCGAAAAATCCTCGATCAAATAACGTATAATCAATCAGCAAGAAGTCTTTTATTTCTTAATGCATGTAAGTAAACATAACTTTATTGCTTTGATGAACAGTACAATGCAAAGCAATGTATGTCCTGAAGGCGGTGCGTAATCGAGATATAACATTGACTAGTCATAATAGTTTGATTGGGGCTATTGAATGGAATTTTTCTTGCTACCCTAGCCGAAACTAACCTTTTTCATTCCAGCGGTCAAAATGAAATAGTATATTACTGCCCTAGTCCGCGAAAAACAGAAAAGTCCCAGAGTACGTGTAATTAGTGGCCGAGGCCGATAAACACGTGCTCTGGGGCTTTCTTTTTTCTATGCTTCTTTTAAATGATCGAAAGACTTTCCATACGGAGTCTATTTCACGAATCACTTTTTATGCAATATCATTCGTCAACTGTGAAAAATCGATTGGAAAAATAAAACAATAAACCGCTGCATGAAATTGATAAATATTAATCATCTTCGTGATGTTGTTAGTCGCACTATGCATATTTCATAAAAGCGGTATCAAGGAGTACACGCGCATACGAATTCCATTTGGCAACCACTTTGGTGTCGTGATTTTGTTTCTTTTTTTCTTTTTTTTATGCAACTATTATAATGCCGATCAGTCAAGGTCACCACGTACTGTTGCTATTGCTGCTTCAGCTGTCGAGCGTCGCGAGAGCGTACATATGTGCGACATAGGTAGTTTGCACGGTCGTCTCGAGCACTCGTAATCATCGGCGATTGGGTTTTATTTTTTAAATATCATCCATTTATGCAGATCCGATGATCTGGCGATAAATTATCTCGAGTAGAGCTAAGTTTAACGCAATTATAGGATTTTCTCTTATTCACGAAGAGAATCATCCATTGCAACAGTGAAATGGTTCTGAATAAAAGACGATGCACGCAATGCCAATACGTTTATCTCATCATCTTCGTCCAACTTGATACGCAGACCGAAAGAAGATTACACGTAGCTGATACTACACAGAAAATGTACATGCGATATAGGAGCTGCTGCTCGATATCTAATATAATAGATTCGCGAGTGGAATATTGCAGACGTATGCACATACAGGCAACGTACCGTCTGTGCACAATTACGCAATAAATACGATGAGAACGAACGAGTCGCGTGCCGTACGTCAAAATACACGACGACGATGATGACGAGCCGCTGCCATATTACACGCGACATTTTGTCACGAAAAAGACTTCGCAGAAGAGAACGTCGATTTCACTGCGACGACCCACTGCAGACAATTTCGATCGTGCAGCAAGCGCAACTTCACGAGGCACTAAATATTTTTCGACTTGCAATATGTACTTGCGTGTCTAAATTGTTTATTGCTTAGGCGAGCAATTGATCGATAAAATACGAGCTATTCCAAAGATCTAATGGCAATCGATCAAAATAAGTAAAAGAGTCTTTTGCGACCGTTCGACGTTTCGTGGAGTGATTACTAGAATCAGCGATTAATAATTATATATGTTACTTTGAATTTTCTGTGAACTGTAGAATCATGTATTGTCAGAACCCTTCGATCAGCAACATAGTAACACATTGACTCGACCCCACCGAAAATCTGAGCCTAAAATCCGCTAGCGCCCCTTTAGCAGTCCTATAAATGTATAAAAATTTAGACTATTCGATATAATTCAGGGTACGTGCGAAGCTTCTGTATTAGCCTAGCAAACAGATATATTATATACGAGCAGAAAAAAGAAGCAAATTTGAGAGAGATTTTGTGAATTAATTACTTGATCCTACAGTAAAAAAAAAAAAATATCAATCGAACAAAAATCATGCGATGAACATCAATCGATGAAAGTAGGTTGTAGAAAGTGAATTAAAAAAACATATCGTAATATCAACAAAACGCGCTCGATATCCTGAATTCCCCAGAGCAGAGTCCATTTGGCCACTTTTCTTGTACGTATGTGTAGTGTTCAGCCATCGCTTCATAGTAATTTGGCTCAACAACGCGAAGAAAGTCTTTGATGAAATGATCATCCGGACATTTAATCCATTTAATCCTTTTGTTTCGTTAGAGTCTTGAAAGATGAGTTCTGGTAGGAACGTTAGCAAACGTTAAACAGTCGCAACCAAAACAAACAATTCACGCGTTAACATTTTTTAATTTAACCTTCACCGGTATAATATAAATGAAGTGCATTCAAGTTGCAAAATCCTCGCGACAGAGAGAAAGAGAGTGAGAGAATAATGCCCGAGACGCACGTGTGTACGCATAATTGCAAAAATACAAATCAAGGACATCTAATCGGGGTCAGTATTTCGTCGGACTATTATATAACAGCTGCTGCTGTGACTGCTACTGTTATATACACCTAAAAGGAATCCATACTTGTGATACGCACACAGAGCGAGCTGCACTTCCTGCTTGCTTCGGGCGCAAATCCGAGGATAACTCAACTGGAAAATAGCATTTTTAATAGAACAATTGTACAGAACCGGAGGATGAATATGAGCAATTTTCCTCTACTCTTGTGATTCAAGTGAGCCCGAAATTGCAACAGTAAATAAATGAAGAAACGAAGAAATTTCACAGGTGTCAGTTTCGAAAGTTTTTTTCCGTTTTTAGAGCGATTTGCATCGCGAACAGTAAAAAAAAGTTATTTCTTCGTAAGGTGATCGAGCATCTTTCGTCAAGGTCGCGCGTTCTTATGGCAACGATGAGCGATTTTATAAATTGTACAAATTAAATTGCGAAACTTTCAAAACGTGAACTTTAATCAAAATTATAAAAAAGAAAAGAGAAACCGCAGAATTTTGACAATTTCAAGACTCTTAAATGCATTGTACAAACGGGATTTATGGCTTGACCCGCTCATGGAATCACCGAGAAGTTTCCACTTCCACATAAAGGGAGGTTATTTAAGGTAAGCACTTAATAGAAATGCTGTAGTTTATTGATAAAGGTATGACCAGTAAATGTGATTAATTGATGGGTATAAGAATAGTCTACTAAAAATCTTTTTTTTCTATTAAAAAAAAGTTCGAATCCAAAACAATAGCCCAGGATAAACCTTGTTGAATTTGCAAATAAAATATACCGACCTTCATTGTTAGGAAATGCTATGGTTTTTTCTCAAATAAGCGACATAATGCACGTATCATCGTCATTACACATTACAGCATGAGGTGTATATAGAAAAGCGAAAATGCACGTATTTTCTTTATGAAAAAGCAATGATATTTTCAGCTCTTTTGTACCCATATGGCGTGGGTAAACACATTGCGTTGGACGATTATGCAAAAAGCACCAGAGACTATGTATGCGTCTGTGTGAGCGCACGTCGCGGCGACACATTACACACGCTCGTATTATGGAAAAGATCGTAACCTTTTTTCTCTCCCTCTAACAGAACCAGAGACCTTTGCGCGTGAGATGTAAAAAATCAAGGTGATATTGTCTTTTTTTAAACCGACACTGACATAGAGGTGTCAATCAAAAAAATAAATAATTATTCGCGCATTGTAAATAATGACCCTTTTGTCATACGTAATATTATTTATATTACGCTTGAGACCCTGCATGTACATCACAAGGAGAACAAGGCCTAAATTCAGAAGTTTCAAATGATAATGAAATTTGCGAGATTACGGGTACACTCTTCAATACAGGTACGTAGTTAAGAATGCATAATTTACACACACATGGACACACACGCACTGTCATACGATGTAACAGCCACCAAAATGAACCGATGAAAAAACAGAAAAAAATCAGAGACACAAAGAGAGCGAGGATGAAGATGCTCGTTTTTTCGCTCAGGTGCGCGCGCGACTGGCATATTTTTTGTATAAATGTTCAGAGTAACTGAAAAATGCGTTTAACAGATGGAATTTCATCAAGGGTATAAAACAAGCATGTGTACAGAAGCAGCAGCACGAGTGCAACCAACATATTTATTATATTTATGAGAAGAGAAAGACCTCAATGCACGAAAGGAGTCATTACTTGTGCGTGGAGCTAAGCCGCGCTTGAAGGAAACACTGTATGATTATAATTAAAATTGTACAAAAGGCTCAAATAGAATAATTACTTTTTATCAGTAAATCTCCGTGTGTGAATATAGACATGCGCCGGGGCAAAAAAGGAGGCTATTATAATTACTCAAGATTTTTCAAAGTGGCAAATGTCTCGAGTTGTGCTTATTAGTCAAGTGTGCGCGCCAAAATTTACACGCTTGTAAAAAAAGTAAAATAATAATAATAATAATAACTCGCTCGAATTCGTCGTTAGGCGCATATGCGCCGATGAAGTGACTCATGCATGCAGCAGTGAAAGTATAGCACATTTTCATAAGCTGCACATTGTTTATTTTGTCGATGCACATTAACGTCGCGAGTCTCCGTTACAAAGTTGTATTATGTAAGACGTGCCCGAGTGCAAACTATATCCGTAAGTAGTGACACCAAGGCAGGTGTAAACGGTACAGGTACTTGCTCTCTCTCTCTCTCTCTCTCTCTCTCGACTTTATCATTTGAAGTTTTTGAGCTTGGATGATACTTGCGGCCTGTTGTTGGGCGCGCATATTTATGATAATGAGCTGCAATGGCGCTTCAACGCCACAGCAACAACGGCTCTTGCGCTTTAAATAACGTTGATCTCTATGTATTTGTAAACATTACAGAATCCTATCAACGTTTATAAAATTTTGATTGCTCATTAATCTACGGTGTAGAATATTGATTGATTTTTTTATGGCAAAACCACAATAACACGCACTGCACCTTGAAAAATTAACTCATGTAGCTAACCTTTTTTTCGAATCCTCTAT